AAATAGGATATTAAATAAGAAAGCCTAGAAATAGCTACAGGAAAAAAACGAGTTATAAGTTAATGCCCGGAGACCCCTCTTATCGCCCTTACCGATATATAGTTAGTAGGAAGAGCTAGAGCCCCTAAAACCACGTATAAGGGAGGGATCGAGGGTTAAGGGAAGCCCGGTAGATACTACCGGACGAATAACAGTCGAGAATAGCTAGAAACGAGTTACGGAAATAATCGGGTATGAATAGGATATATTAATTAGTTTATAGGATTAGGATTAATTAAAAAGGATCGGCAACAGCTATGAACGAGAAGGACGGGATTACGTTATATCGTATGGGATTATTTCTTTCGTTTCTTACGGGAGCTACGCTTATTTTACCTACCCGTTATAGTTCCTATTTTCCTAACGGATCCCTATTATTTCTTAATGGCCCTGATAGACCTGGCTCGCTCCTAGTTAATTAGGGTTAATTAGGAATAGATTGATTAGGTTAGTTTATAGTTATAGCTCCGCTAGCCTAGTTCTTATTATTAGATCTTTCCTATTTCCTATTAATCGTTAATTAAACTGGCTTAGCTCCTAGTTAGCAGCGATTAAATAGGTTTAGGATTAATTAGGATTAATTAGGCATAGTTAGGTACGGTTACAGTCACCTACCCCACCACCTACTTATTACTATTATAATCGTTCCTAGTTAACCTACCTAACTTATCCTATTGGCCTTTAATTGAACTAGCTAGCTTTTAGTTGATTAGGGTTAATCGGGATTAGGATTAGGTTAAATAGGAACGAGAGCTACCGTACCTATTACTATTAGGAGTTTAATTACTCCTTGCGGATTAATTGAACTAGGGAGGCTGTAGTAGTACGGTGGATCTAGGCCACGTAGCCTTTTCGATGTATATTTATATAGGTCGCGTACTTATATTTTCATTAGCTAGACTTAGACCTATAGACATTACGACCTATAGCTATTCACTCGTTTCTTGCCATGCCTTTCTAGCCATCCTCCTTTACCCTTTTCTAGTCCCCTTTCCCAGCTGCCGTTATTAGCTAGCCGATTAACCGATTATAGCTGTTTACAGCTATGATCTTGGTTGATCGGTACTGGGCCAGTTATTAGCAGTTAGGCAGTCCTTGTTTCGTGCCTCCGTCAGCGTGCCTACGCTGCTCCTGTTCACTAATATTACGATAATCGGGATAGCTACCGGTATATTTTAATTATTAAAGGCCCCGTTATTATTATTCTAAGATAATGCTATAGGAATTAGCGGGATAAGTATAGAGCCGCGGTTAAGGAATAGCTAAGTAAGAGTTTTATCGTCGTCCTCCTCCTCTTCGGGCGGATATAGGAACGGAAAGCTAGTATCGATTCTTAAGGTTTTTATTAATAGTTTAATTTTTATTACTTCGGGTCCTAATAGCGATTTATTCCGTTTCCTAGTTATAGATTCCGTTTAATTTAACGGTATAAGGTATAAAGTAGAAAGGGAGGTAGTAAGGGTTTTATTATCTAACATAGGGGTAAAGGTATAATAGCTATTATTTATATTCTAATATTTTTCCTTTAGTATAGGTATATTATTATTTATTATATTATTTCGATTAATAAGGTCCGGGTATTATACGAGCTTCTTTAATCGGCTAACGCCTAATTAAAGTACGATACGTATTTCCTAGACTAATAGTTTAATTATTATAAATAAATCGACGATAATTCCTCCTATTAAGGTTTAAAACTCCTAACGTATAACCTTCGTTAAGGTAATACGTATAAGAAATAAATCCCGAGTAAAGGATCGCGCTAAATACGATATCGGTTATAGCTATAGGCTAGTTTCGATTTAACGGGGGCTATTTAACGGTATTAGCGGTATTATCGCTAGGCGCCGTTTTACGCCTATGTTAGTACTTCTCGCTATACTAGTTATTAGTTAGTAATATAAGGCTAGCTTATATATAGGTATACTTATTAATTCGACTCTAGTTCCGTTTCCCTAATCCTTTATATCTACGTAGTTTTATTAATATTAATTCCTAGTTCTCTTTAAAACTATTAATTATTAGTAGCTATTAATTTATTAATCTTATTTATACTATTAATATAAATATCTATATTATATCGTATATTATATCGTCGAATCGTTACGCCTAGGTATCTTAAAATACCTTTAATATAATAAGTTATTAATATTTATATATTTAATTTATATCGATTAATAGGTTTAAAGGAAAAAAGAAGCTATCGTAAGGTCGGTTAAGGCATAATTATTATTAGCCTTTATCCGTCCTTAATATTAGTAAGGGAGTAGCGGGTCGTATAGGTTATCGTAATTTATGCTAAAGCGTTCGTACGTTTAATTTATATAATAAATAAATAATTATAAGGAGGCTGTTTTAATTACTATAAGCTTTATTTATTCGTACGAGATATATTATATTATTAGCGGTTCGGGGAAGCGGTTAATATCGAGGGCTAAGTATTATTCCTAGTAGCGGTAGTATTACGACGAAAGTTCTCTAAGTTTTACGGGTTCCTCCGTATAGTAAATAAATAACTATACGAAGGATATCTTAATCGGTATAAACGCGGTTTAGTCGTCGTATTATATCGTAATATCGATAACTTATTAGCGTTATAAGTATTAAAGGCTAGGTATTATTCTAATAATAATAATATCGTTATAAAAGTTCCCGGGCTTATACGTACCTTCCTATAGTAAATAAATAACTATAAGGCGGGATATTTTATTTAACGTAAAACGCGGACTACTTCGCGGGTTAAATAGCGGCGCCGACGGCGATCGGTATCCTTTAAATCTTAATAGCGTAATAAAAACTCCGTAGATTAAAGGTTAAGGGGTCGAAAAAGTTATAGGGTAGTCGTTACTAAGGAGGAGTAAAGCGTACGCGATATTAGAAACCCGGATATGTTTACTCGAAAGTATACTTTATCGAAGACTATAATACGTACGATAGTTTAAGACGGGTAAAATTAATATCGCTATACTAATCGAGAGATAAGGAATTTAATGTAGTTATCGTATCTTAGCTATGCCCCTTAGTCGTAGAGATATAGTAGTCGCTAGCCCGAAGGCATAAAAGGTAAGGAAAGAAAAGGGGCAAAACGTAAAAGTTACTTATTCGGCTATAGCGGTACGACGAAGTAACTTAAGCGCCTATAACTAAAATAAATATACTAATCGGAAAACGACGAATCTAATAATAAAAACGAATCTTTAATTAAGGTAAAAATAGTAAAGATAGCAATCTAACTAGGTAATAAACTAAATAATAAGCATAGTATGTCCCGCACTTACGGGAGCTATGGTTATTCTATATAGGCATAAGGCCTATCGTAGCGTGTTACGTAATGTATCAAGAGGGTATGTCTTACCGCACCACTACAGTAATCAGATTACGTAATTAAATCTCCGATTTTTCCGATTTTTTTCCGATTTTTTATGGCTTTTATTAAAATAAGCTTTTTGTATGTAAACCCCATACAAAATGCCTGGTCCGCGAAGGGGTGGTCCGTGAAGGGGTACCCTAACTTACTACATTGGGGTGGTAGGACTAGCCCTTGTAGGGTTTGCAATGTAGGTATATTTATATAGGTCGCCCACACATATTTTCTATATCATATACCTATATTATCGATCACACAGAGCCACACAGCCATACACTTTTTCGATCGTTGATCTCGCCATCGTTTTCCTCCTTGTTTTTGTTTCTTATTTCTCCTTGCTGCTGTTTACAGCTGGCTGATCATTAGCCACAGCTGTCACACTGCCGCTCCTGCTGTCGTTCCTATTGATCGGCACCTGGGCCCGCTGTTAGCAGCTGTGGCTCAATATACGACTCTTCCAACAGTCTGCCCACGCTGTTCCTCTTTATTAAATAGCTAAGTTAGATTTATATTTTTGCGACTTTTCCCCTTTTTTTATTAGAGGGAAAAACAGTTTGTAGGTATGTAAACCCATGTAAAAAACCCGGTCCGTGAAGGGGTGGCCCGTGAAAAGGGGCAGGTTAGTTAAAGCTACAAACCCCTGGCGGCGTCCTTTGCTTCGTTTAGTTCGTTCCGATAGGTAGTTAATTTGCCAATTGACTCTCGGTGCAAATTAGTTGCCTAACATTTGATCGACTCATATCCTTCTTTAAATATCACAGCAATATGAGAACTCGCTCTTTCTAATGGTTAATTCGGCTCAGCCACTGGGCTATGCACCTCTTGATGCTGCCCTGGTTCCGCGCCGATTTCGTCCAAGATTTGCGCGACTGTCTATAGAATTAATAATACCCCGAATGCAGCTGCAGCGTAGCATTAGGATGAGGTGCGAACAGCACTATACACAGCGTTAAACGTGTATACACGGCTGCGTCGGAAGGCAGATTCTCCTACGAGCTGGCGAGGCTGCATGGATTCGCACCAGAACCCACACTGCGCCCCGTCAAGCCAAGTTATTATATATCTAGGTATGAAGTCATTCTCGTAAGGAAAACCACAGGATCACCCGACACGTGGAGGCACAGGCTTCCCTCCATCTCCCGTCTTCTGCCCTTGGAAAAGGAATCTGCGGCTCAAGTCACATAAAGACCGTGGAGAGAGATTGCATGTGACGATAACGACAACGGCGTTGAATATGAAAGGGAGAGATAGGTATATTGCCGGGGGCGATATCAGTGAAAGGGAAGGCAGTATTCCTCGGCGCTGTGCGGTGAGATGAAGTCTCCTATTTCAGACAGCTATTACAGAAATAGTGAGGAGATTGGTGCGTTTAAGGATTCGGAAGGGTTACTGGTGGGTGTAGTCAGCCAGGTAGATGATATGTTACGTAGAAAGCTATAGTAACACGAGACCACAACCACTGATCGATTATAGGGTGTAGAAACATAGTATATAATCTAGGCACCCCTAATCACTCCACAAAATACGTCAACAAATCCTATGCGGTACGTCTCACTGGGTCCTAGGTCGGCTACGATCACAATTAACAAGAGACATGGCGGACAACTACATGTTTGGCAACACTCAACTCGACATAGTACACCGCGGAGGGTATAGAGGGAGGGCAAATGGTGAGGCTCAACACACCGACGTCTTTGACGATGAGTGCCGAAAGTTGCTGTTGCAGGGTCGGATTGATCGTATCGTCCACGGCGAAGAGAGAGAGGGCGGGAAGCCGGCGACTCTTGTTGTTTTTGGGTTCCGTTTCCATGGAATCAACAGGAATCGGAGATTCAGGGAGGCCATTATTACGATCTTATTCCAAGACGAGAAGAAGCGAGATGGCGCTGACCCCGCGCCCATCGCCCTCTGGCCCAATGGAAACTACACCTTAGGGCATAAGACGGAAATCGACAGAGAAACAACCAATACAATCGAAACCTGTGCAAGAGCCGGCGCAGTGGGCGGACCTGTTGGAGCAGAGATAGACGCTCTGTGGAAATGGGAGCGAAAAGAGGGACACAAGACAACATGCCGCGCGAGTATGACAGGGTCTATCATTCTCGACACAGCTGTACGGCAGAGTGGCGATAACAATGCCATTCGTCTGGCAATCACTGAAAACGAAAAAGAAAGATCCGGCCTTGTCACAGACTTACGTGTCGCCGTTCTCCTGGAGCGGAAGAACGACACGGACAGGTTCACGGCCTCGATTAGGGTCAACGCCAGAGCCGACTTGCTCTACAATGCTATCCACAGGATGCGGGCCTTGCTTGGCCGGGCACCTCCAAACGACGCCGTAATTTTCCAGCCAGGGCTGCCGCCCTACCTGCGGCCCCCGACGCTCACACCTTCCATGGAAGCGAAACTAGCGGTACACGTGGATGCAGCAAATCTGAACCCGGAGACTCTCAACGAGCTGGGTTCCGCAGTGGCAACCACGGTTCTAACTACGACGGTCACCGAGTAGCGTCCCCGTGTCTGTCGTTGAGATGTATGGGGTGGGCCTTTATCGCTTGTTGTTCGAATTATGAATGTTAATAGTTTGCTATTGCACGGCTTCGACGTGGTGTTTTGTTTTAGCTGCTTTCATTGGAAATAGAACCATCGTTTTTCTACAATCGTAGCCCATCGAGGACAGTCAAGGCTCCCAGCATGAGGTCGATAGTCTGCAGCTAAGACGCCCATTCTATGTTCGACCGTAAAGTGATTATGCGGGGGGGTACCTACATCCAATGGCTCACGGTATGTAATCACAAGATGACTGCATGCCGTGACAATATGCGATTTACCGGCCCTGTGTGGCTGATGCATGCCTGATCACATTGAAAATTCAACAGTCTTAGAAGTAAATCCGCGACGACGACGTAGATCGTTCCATATTTTGATGTTGGCAGGCCCTCTTTACTGATGGCTAACACTGTCACGTATGCTTGCAATATACCGAAGGATAGGAGTCGGCTTCACAGTGGCTCTGGTGGAGATCAAAGGGAGAGGGTGTATTACGGGCAGAAGTTCCCAGTCGACGGTGTGAAGGGAAAACCCCTTCACTATAAGATCAGTAGGGACTTGCCTATGCCATCGCAGGCTGTTAGCACATGTACTATTACACTACGCGTAGTAGAGACTCTGCAGTGAGTTTAATCGTACCACGTAATATAATAGTCCTACCGCCCACTGCCCTGCTGGTACCGAATAGAAGATAGTGTTCTTTTCACCGGGAAGAACGAAACTATTGGTGAAAGGAAAATAGGGGGCCGGAGTGGTGTGGGGGGAGGAGGAGGAGGGGGGACTGGAACGTGATCATACCTATGTATCATAGGCGGGTAGAAACGAGGACGGAGATGAAACGACATACGGAGATAAGCCTACACGATCTTAAATGTTTTCTTCTCTTGTCTCCGGTGTCCCTCTCAGGGCCTTGGGTACCTTTACCACAGCGCGTAATGCAGCGGGTACGATTGTAGAACGCCGCTCAGTAGGCGATACACGATCTGTACTACCTTAGGTACCAAGGTCGATGCTACGGTGATAACATCTACCCAACACTGGCACATGTATCAATATAAACGGCGGCGCGTCTAGGAGCACTTGAACCTTGATAGGGGCCTATCGCATTCTTCCAGGCCTCATGACCAGGGACACGACGTAACTATGCCCGGGGAATGTAACGGTTCCAAAGTGCCGAAGGAAAAAGCGAAGTTGCTGAGATCTATAACAGCGCTGTGGACTGGCTTCGAGAGCCTCCATTGGTAAGTAGGAGAGGCGATGCCAGGATTCCTAACGGCCGCGGGACCCTGGAAGCACAGCACGAAATTAAAGTGCGATCTACGGGTGCTTCAAAGTCGCATTCTTCGGTATGCCACCTCCAAGTCGTCGCCTTTCGGATACCGTGACACTGCGAGCCGTATGAAGGGGTTTTGGGGTGCCTGAGATTGTTTCTCGGACGTGAGCTGGTATTGGGTCTGTAGGACTTATTTTTGGATATGCTGACAACAGCCGAAAGGAGGTGAATGCTCCCGAGGTGGTCTAAAAACTGTTGGGTTCCCAACAAGGCCCTCTATCTGCGCCCTGTCTCTGTTTCAAGATGAAGAAAGGAACACGAGGCAGACACAATGACGGCCGCAGGGCTGAACTGGCATGCAATGTCCGTTAATGAGTTATTAGTAGATGATTCGTGACTCTGGGGAATAGTTTTATATATCTCATTACTCCTCTTAGCTAGGCTTAGTGAGATGTGAAGCCGAAACCCCTAGTTCTATAGATGACTCACTTTGTCATGCTGGAAGCTGCTACAGTCGAACGAGACACCTTCGGCATGATAACCCGTTCCCCCTTAGGTCAATACCGAGACAGCGATAATGAGTCGAGCCAAGAAGACGGGGAGAAAGCATGCAGCAAAGGTAACGAGAAAGCAGGGTCAAGGGACCAGCCATCACTTTCCTCCACTTGCGTACAGAGGAAGCTGTAGGCAGCAGTTGCTCTCCCGGAACCGGATGAAAAGGCTACATATTCTGATCCTGCTGCAGAGCCAGCAGCCTTCCAAGCCGTGAAACCAGAGCGAGAACAAGGCGCCAACACAGCTTCAAGTATGACCTGATTTGTCATCTCACGAGCTCACGCATCCTCCCCAGCCCGGGGCAAAGCGGCAGTGCAACTCTCTTCCGTTAAGATGGCTCCTGCAGGTTGCATCGAGGCTGTACAGATACTGCTCCGGATGCTGGAAACCCCGGGGAGGGTCAGCCCCAAAGGGTGAAGCTATTAGCCAAGCAACGCGCTGGACTAGAGGTAAGTGGCCATGCCGGAAAACCAGCCATCCACTAAAGTGCAGATTCAAACTGCCTTTCCATAAAGATAGACCAGGTTCGAGAATGAGGTGATACCATTGAAAATCGCTATGATCTGTCATAAGCCAGAGATAACCGTGATAATGGTCACACATGTATACTACCGCCTTGTGGGCGTCATGAACGGCGAAAGATCGAGGAAATAATACCGCTCTGCAATACGCTGCCGAATTTGGTTCGCGATAGTCTAATATTACCCCTTGTCTTCGGAACCCACGTTTCCTAATGGCGATGGGACTCGAGGACTGGGACATCTATCGTCAGCCACCACCAGCAAATGCCCCCAAATAATTCGTTCTCTTTTATGATATGAAGCGTCAATATTCAAGACAGCGAGAGCCAGCCCACCCTATCACCCCTCAACATCACAGTGCGACGAACCGGAACCACGACATCATTGCCACGCTGCTCAGAGATGACGCCAACATCGACGACTTACCTAGTACGTGCGAAATACCGTTTAATATGACGGCAAGTAGAGCACATGCGAAGACAATCCAACCGCCCTCTCGTGAAAGGCAAGCCTTGATGCTCTCCTGCTGACCCGTCCGCCTACGCTACATATAGCAGTTGAGAACGATAACCTAGTGTCAACACCCCGAACCCCCGCTTTACTAGATCACGGAGCTGATCTTGGTCTTCTAGATGGAAAGGCCAACCCTTTCACAAACAATAATGTCTTTTATTCCTCATACGGCGGAGTGGCTGTTCGGCAAGTGCGGCGGCTAATACAGGATGGGTCAACGGCCCGCGCTCCTCGGAAAAATATGATGGGCCGATGCCCTTACAAACGTTCAAGACAATCCTGACATGGCTAGCCTATACCGAGAGGGCGCGAGGGGCATGAAGGCCGACGGGATAATCGAAAGTTTTGTGCCGAAAGAGCTCCGACTCCTGTATGAGCATCCTAACCGGAGCCCCACAAGCCCCAAAACACGACTACGGAATAGTTGGGAGGACGAATAGGTGTCAGTGGCCTCTCTCCCCGTCAAGGTCGGGGCTGATACCTTTAAGAGACCGCAAGCTGGGGTTAAATACTATTTTGAATTGGCCATCGTATCTGTCCGCAGCCACTACAGGAGTGCAAAGAGGTAGACGCTCAAACGCTTCTTTAGCATGGCTGGCATGAGGTTAGTTCCACGGCCAAATGGGTCTACTATATCAAGACACGAGAGGCTGTCGGGGATGATGTCGCCAACGTGGCCCCACCCTGCCTTCAACGACAGATCTCTCTTCAGATAACATTTAAAGAACAGCAGGTTTCGTTCGTATGTGAGCTTCGAAACCTCAGTCTCTCTTAGCTTGCCTGACTCATTACTAATCTAATAGTATATCTTTCGTCTTTCCAGGACGAATCCGCAAGGATCGGCCTTAGGGCCGTTACCAACTGAAGGCGAGAGGCTTACCTATCTCAAGATCACGGTATTGGCCCCGAACACTTGCGCCGTAGACCTAGAGTCTGGTCATCTCATACTCGTCATAGAACTCCACGGCGAGTTCCGCGACGAGACACTAGCCCGGGCGGGTTAGAACCGATGGTTCGCCGGCTACCGTGGCAAGAATGATGTCGTCTTCGAAGGGCTAGGTACGGGTAAGGAAAATCCGTGCTGAGCATGTGTATATTCAGGGCTAACTCTAACGTAGGCGATGGTATCAGCTCTAATAGCCAAGAGTATTGCTGGACCCTTGACGGGAATATTGTTGGCACGTCTTATCGACCCCTACGCACTCCTGAAAGCGCCACCCTGCCTCGTTATGGGCATCAACAGGCCGGGAACAAGGGCGAGGCGATGTGTAGGATGTGGTCGCCGAATCTCTCAAGAAAGCCATGGGAATAACCCACGACATTGATCATCGCTCTGTAGACGCGGCTCTGGGGATGAGATTTGTGTGTCAGGCAGCTACTTGTCATGTATCTACGTAATTAATATTAACACCCATTTCTCAGCGCGATGCATGTCAGATCGTGGCTTTTCCACAGACCAGGACGCCGAGTCCTACGAGGGTGACATAACTGCATATATTTATGGCCCCCAGGGTATTGAAGAGTACCGGCGGCAAGCTTGGCAGAGTGAATACCTATAATACATGCGGTAGGGCTATGTTGCCATGGAAAGAGTTATTACATCAGCCCAGGCCCGAGCCTACCGACGCCAAAGCAACGCGACGTTGCCTATAGAAGGTCTGGGCCTGTCAGAAGAGGCGGGGTTGATCGAGGCTATGATGATGAGGCGCTTAATACTGCGTCCCAATAATTAATACATACCAGGTGTCGTGAGTTTTCAGCCCTCACAATACTCCCCTTTTTCCATTTGCGTACAGATTACCATCGTAGCTTCGCCTAATCATCAGTTAACTTTACGTATTTGCAACTATCACACTGCAACATCATGTCTTCATACTCCTAATGAGGAAGATGCCAAGGTGCACTCTTGACCCTTTTTAAGCGAACTGACCCCGTCGACCTGCAGGAGATCGGCATCAAGTTGAATACCGGCATTTTGTGAATAGCATAGTGTGTAGGCATGCTTATATCTGAATTTATACCTATTACACGTTTCCGGCATTCATTCAGCCCCGATATTGACCAACGTCACCGACATGGGACCTAAGATCGCCATTCTAGGACTCGTGATGATGAGCCGGCTGGGGCCTATCTGACTTCAGCTGCCTTCGCTGCATAGGTTCCTGATGATCGTCAGGACCTCTTCCTCCTACGAGCCCTTCTGTGGGGATTCACGACCAGGGACGCCGGAGACCTAGCTCGATACACGCTGGAATATTCTGGTAGTGCTCTCCCCCCGTGCCGCAAGACGCGAAACCGTCCTCACCGGCATCAAAGCGGCAAATAATATCGACTTGTTGACATGAAAAAGCTTACCATTTTGGGCAGACAGACCGGCAAGAATGAGCTGAAACTCATGTTGGGCCGACATGATGTGTGCAGTGCGAGCTCTCAACTCGACAGAAGCGTCCAGGCAACGAGTCTCGGCCTACGGGAAGAAACGCGTATAAATATGCCAGGCACTCCCGCGTTCCACTGGGATTCACGATGACAAGTTTCGTAGTGCTCAGACCAGCCATCACTTAAGCTTCGGCCCATCGTACTATCCCACAATGCCTCGCCTTCAGAGTTCCCTCTTCGCCACTGCAACGCTCGTTGCAACCGCGCTCTCCAGTCCTACTCCTGTCATGCGCAGGAGTGAGCCTAGCACCATCACGCTCACGGAGGCCCCTCTTATCACCGAGGTGGTGCCTTATTTCACCGAAACCGAGACCACCATCCAGAATCCAGGGACTTACACTCTCGGGGTCGGCTGCCTCAGTATCCTCGGCGTGGAATGCTTGGTTGAAGTCAAAGACATCCCGGCGCCGACCGTGGTCACCCTCACCGGCGTCGGAACGAGGACGACAACGTATACGCCGTCTACGTCCACCACGTTCACGTCGACGACGTACGATGCGGGATGCGATTGCCTACTCTCCAAGGTGTTCTGCTGGCTTCCCCATCCGACTCACCCCACCGTGACCTCTACGACAACGCCGGCACCCGTGACCCCGACTGTTACGACGACCTCGGTCACCGTCACCGAGACTGCCACCGCGTCGTGCTCCTCGGTGCCGGCCCCGACCCCGACCCTGTCTTGCGACGAATACGGGTATCTCATCCAGGTCGCGACCCTGTATCGCGTCGATCTGGTGACGGGCGAGTTCACGACGGTGCGGCAGAGCGTGGGCGACGGGTCGTCGATCAACGCGATCGCGTACAACACGCGCGACAACTTCCTGTACGCGCGGCAGGGCGCGGCCAACCGCATCCTGCGCATCTCGTCGGACGGGTCCTCGGAGGTGATCGGGCGGCTGCCGGACTCGAGCTCGTACAACGTCGGCGACATCGACTCGAGCGGGTACTACTGGTACGGGAGGGCCGGGCAGAACTGGCACCAGCTGGACCTGATCCCGGGGTCGCCGACGTACGGGACGCTGGTGGCCAACGGGACGACGGACAACCTCGGGCTCGGCATCGCTGACTGGGCGTACATCCCCGTGGCGGGGCCGTACCTGTGGGCGGCGACGACGAGCTCTCGGGCGGGCGAGACGACGCTGTCGCGCTTCCGCCTCGAGAGCAAGACCTGGGAGGTCGTGTCGCGCCACCCCGGCATGGGCAACCGCGGCTGGGGCGCCGTGTACGGCATGAACAACGGCACGCTCTTCGCGTCGGACAACCTCAGCGGCCAGATCTGGGCCTTCCCCGTCCTCCCCGGCGGCGGCAGCCCCTACCTCGCCTCGAACGGCCCGCGGTCCGGCCAGAACGACGGCGCCCGCTGCGTCTTCAACCTGCTGACCAACTAGGCCAGGGCCGCGCGTGGCCCCGGCGGAGGACGGGATCGACGGCGTGTTGGGAGTGGGAGGGGCTCCGGCCAATAGCGACTAAACTTCTGCGCCTGCTGAATAGCTAGCGTTAGCTGCAGCGGAGACGAATATTAATCAAGATGTGAATGGATTAGGATTGATGGGCAAGGCAACGGGTGCGTATGGCCGAGATTGGCGGAGGTAGCGGACGTTGTAATAGTTGGTTTCTTGTTAGCTTGGGCTTTTATTACGAAATATTAAGAAGAGGTCATTCTGAAAAGAGCGACTGATAAGTGAATGTCCTATTATCGCATTATTGTCGCATGTCCCTAGGGGGGTCACCTCTTAGACTGCCTCCCTACTACTGATGTTTCGATGGGAAGAGCCGAGGAGGAAGAATTCTCTTGCTGTGAACTACACGTAAAGGTTTTTTAATTGAGTGAAGGTAGGCGTGAGTAGTGAGCGATAAAATATGGTGATGCTGAGATTGATCGTAAGCAATGCTGGATTCTCCTACCCGGGAGATGCCTGGTCGCGAGACAGAACAATCGAGTCCACATGGCCCAAACCCTGGAGAACCAGACTCTATAGGGCAATCAGAAGAGGGACAGGTCAATGCATCTGGATAAAGAGACGCAGCCACGGCCTTCTGGTGATGTCGACCACGATGACAGTTTAGAGTCACCAAAGGAAAATGAGTAAAATCTTCCTATCCCGACCATTCACGTAAGCAAGGAGGGGTTGGCTAGATAGGTACCTACGTCATTCCGCTCCCCTCAATGCAATTCATTTCCCCGCTGTCAACCCCTCCAAAAACCCCTCCAAACCCCCTGATCGACCCCTGGACCCGGACCGACAGCTAGCTCTTATTACTTATATCCTACCTTATCCGATTGGTGCTCGCTCAAAAGGGCCAACTACCTAAATAAAAACAAATTCACTCATTGATTCTGTCTGAATTTCTAGGGTGAACCCTCGATCTTAAGTCAACGTCTTGCAACCTGGTGATCACTCCATTTTGCGACCTCGTGGTTAACCTTGCCCCGACCTCCCTCATCATCCCGACGGTCGATACAAGTCCTCGATATCGTCGATTCGGAATAGGTCGTGATGTTATCCGGCGAGACGGTGTTCGAGCGTTAGAACACTGCTCATCGGCGTATTTTCAGGAGAGTTGGCCGTGGCTTATGTAGGTATTTATCTTCGGAGAGTGTTTGTAGTACGAAGGTAAGTATGGCTCGTCCGAAGGAGCGAGCACACTCTATGGGCTGTCTGCAGGGCAATTTCGCCTAGTCACGGCCTGGCGCCCGCCATGAGGGGCTATACCCCGACCTAATAAGCTCGTATTTGACGGTTTAACCCAGTCCAGCCGGTTAAGAAATCCCCAGCGGTAACAGAAGCAAAGGGGTAGCCGAGTGTATTACACGGCGGCGTCTACGGCAGACCTGAGCCCAGACCTCGTTGTGACTTCCTCTTAGCCGGGCCTCGTAATATAGGACAGCCCGTGGCCTCGCCGGACACTTGCGGATTAGGTAGGCGAGATCCCAGCCCGGGCATCTCCTATGTCCAAGCTTCCGGTTAATTTAGGGCTTATTAGGGGAGGCGTCACATTTTGTGAATGGTGGGAACGACTGATCTGAGGGCTAAGATGCCAGTTTGACCAAGGATGTTTCAGGTAGAGGATTAATAATTAATAACGTCTCTCTCACTCATCGCCTCGCCATCTCCCCTTGCTGCCACATCCTCATCGCAGATATTGCGGCCATGGTCGCCCAGCGCTCACCCAGAACGCCACTGGCTCCTGAACCTAAGAATCGAAATTTCATGAGCTCACTCGGTCCCGGACGAAGACCTCTCACGTCCGCCCACACGGCAACGCTGTATTGGCAGTAAACATTAGCCGGTCTGGAAATGCCCCCTTTCTATGGAACGTACGCATCAGAAAGGGCGACGATACGTAAGTCGTCACTCGCTAGGCATGCATGCATAAGCCCGCTTGGAGCAGCACCGCCCCTAAGTCGCATATTTGGGGGAAAGAAGAGGGAAAGGCTTAGGTATAGAAAAACATATATACTCACATCTCCTTCCCATCGCTCGAGAACTCCCCACCACTTAGAAAAGCCCAGTCGTCGCTCCTGATACCGGGCGGCGGGTCGGGCGAGGTCCGGATGAGTTTCCACCCCACCGGCGCGGCGTCGAGCGACGCGACAGCCGAGCCGGCGCTATGCCGCCACTCGAAGGTCTCGCGCCGCAGCCATCCAGAGCGGCTAGGATCGGCGGTGCCGACGTCGGCGTCGAACGCGTACGAGATGTGAGGCCAGCTAATCACGGTGCGCAGCGGCTCCTCGGGCGCGACGCCGCTACCAGCGCCGGGTAGCAAGAGCACGGAGTGGACGCCGCCGGCGAGCGTCTTGTGCGGGCCCCCGCGCGCGAGGGGCGGGGCGTCGCGACCGGGCCCGTCGTGCAGCGTCAGGTGCGGCTGCCGCCCGGCGGCGTCCGGCGCGTGCGATGTTACGGCGAAGACGGCCCGCGACGGGTCGCCGTCGGCCGCGATGTAGTACTCGTCCCTCGCGCCGCCGCGCCGCCGCAGCGTCCAGAACGCGGGGAACTTCTGCGGGCCCGCGGCGGCGGCCGCCGGCGGTGACGGGAAAGACGTGCGCCGCGGGGCCTGTTGAGGTCGCGGCGGGAGCGCCGGCGGCAGGTCCGGCGCGACGCTCAGCCTCCCGGCTGGTTCTGGCTCGGGATAGCGGCTATACGGCGGCGGCGCGTCGTCTTCTAGGCCCATGATGGTAATGCTGCCGTATGTTTTGCGCCAGAGCAACGCTCCAGTGTTGGTACGGGTGCGAGGTTGCAAACTCCTTGATACCGGAAAGATTCCTTTGAGGACTGCCGTTGGTGGCTTGCCATGACCCACTTCCAAGAGACTTAGGCCACACCGAAGTAGCCGAGATGACCGTGGGAACACATGACAATGCTTACAGAGGAGATGAGAAATAGAGAGCGGTATGTGGTCAATATACCTGCGAATGAGAAAATATATGCCAATTTGTTCTCCCCTCAGCCCTTATTGGTGGCTTGAGCACGTAACAACCATCCCTCCATTCGTCCCCGGTTCACGTAGGTATGAGCCACCCGTGACCTGCTGTGACGCGCGTCCACCATCTGGAATCCGCCCCCAACATCATGTGACCATCGTGACGATTAGGTAATACGAGCCGGGGTTAAGAGTTCTCGTTGTATACCTATATAGTAAGGTTGGCACACCCAGGAAACAACACTCACAACTTCGTCAACGGTCATCGTCCGAGCACGTACCTTTTCAAACGCCTCAACGGCATACCTCACTCACAGTTGTTGAAATGGCGTTGTAGACATGCCCTCCGCCGTGTCGTAATACCTATTACATACCTACCTGCTACCGAGGTACATCGTATCGTCACTATTGACGGGCTGCCTTCAGTTGGAGGAGCTATGGAGGTCGGTACCTATGTCTCGCCCAGGAGCACGGGCGTAAGTGCCCCACCTGTCCTTGTATATGAGAGAGTGATAAGAGAGCGAGAAAGATAAGAGGGAGTTGATAAATGTAATAAGAACGGGAACGGCTAATGACACCGAGGGGTGGATGTAGTCTGGCGACACCCCTTACGGTGTATGAGTAAATATACGGGCACCGGAAGTCGACACGGCCGATCCTGCACCCGAGACCCGCGCTCCCCAGCACGATCGCCGCCGTATGCGTAGCCGCTGGTGACGGTGCGGCGGCACGGAGCGGCCGAGGAGCTCTTCGTTGGCAGCGCGGCCGGGCGCCTCAGGAACGGCGCCCCCCCCGCCGCCGGGCTGTAGCGCACGCTTGATGCTAAGAGCCAAATCTGCCCGTCCGACCAGACGGACACTTTGCTGACCGCGATGCGCTCGCACACAACCGCATTCTCTAACAATGGGCCGGCTCGCCCGTGCCGCACTACTGGGCCGGCGTCTCGCTGGGTAGAAGATGGCCCCGTGGCCCTCCACCACGTCAGAGTAGGACCGGCCACACCACCACAATCTGGATCGCGGCGTAAATTATCCACCTATCAAACGCCCGACGGCTGAGAGCAGCGAAGGCGATTACACCCAGATTTGTAAGTGGTAGCCGCCTCCTGATTCTCTATGTTGTCATCTTCAAACTCGAGAGCCTCTCTTGCCCTCTCGTGGCCCAGAACAGCCGCGCTTCCCTCCGCCCCGGATTCTATCTGCTGGCCTTGGCTGTATTAAGCCGGGCATCGTGTTCGAGACTCTGTCCCCCCTCGCGTAGTAGGGGCTCGCTGCAACGCCCTCTGCTCGCAACAAGGAGTGTCTGCTGCCGAGGTCGCATCGCGCTGTCACGGATCGCTCTGCAAGTTGTGAGGGTATCTCCGAGACCTCTCTTCATTCAGCAGGGAATGGCAAGACACTCGGAGGCATCCTGCGGTTTCTGCGTCACATGTTAATATAACATGATGATCCCGCGTACGGTCGGTTGGGATAGGGCTTATAGTTCGGCCCCATTATACCTGGGGAAGTATTGTTAATGGGCAGATTACAGATCAGTAAGTAGGTATTTATCCGCACTCCCCTGAGACACGCTGTCATTTGCGGAAGCATGTCTACATACAGCTGAATGATGACACCTAGCCAAGATCCTTGGTATTGGACGTCAGAATTACTCGTCGTGTTGTGAAATATCAGCGGCGCTTTGTACCTATAATACAGGTGTTCAGCTGAATATTGCTCAACATTTACCTACTCAAATTGCTTCCTAGGATGTCCCCAGTTTCAGGCGTCCCGCCTGCTAGTATTATGATCCGGGTTCGCGGGAACGAGCGTACGGAACGAGCCTATTTCCCGGCCTGATATCACGTCTTTTCATTTCGTGTTGACTTGCTTAGCCCCCACATTAGAACGGGCAGAGCAGCTGAGGATATATCCAGTAGGAAGGGCCACCGAATAGGCTAATACCAACAAATTTCCGAGCCCGTGGACATTGATTGATTAAGAAACGCGTGGCAGATCCAGCCGTCAGGTTGACGTGCAGAATAAAAATAGCCGTAACCAAGAGGCACACTTGGCTTTAGAAGTGAAGCCGGGGAAGAGGGTCGAAATAAGAGGTTCTGATTTGTGACAGTTAAAAGGACATGCTCTTATCTGGGTCCGAAGTGGAACGAGAGAAAACCGGCGATAATTCCCCAGTAGAATGGTTGGTTGGCACTGGCGGATAGTTCCGTGGAGTATTTTTTTTCCGCCACTGATGGCTAACGACGAGGACAGCCACCCCGCGTGACTCTATTACCTACGTGCCGGCGACCAACGTGCACCCCCTTACCATAGCCAGACGCGGAGTGCAGAGAAGAGAGAAAAGAGGAGATCTGCCCAGGTGCGGTGGGGCGGCTGGGCAGTCTGAGAAACTCGAGATGAGATGTCGACTTGAGGTTGCTTCTTCTTCTTGTTTCGGCACGAGGTTTAGCAGTGACTTGCAAGTTACGGCAGAGGCCGGACCGCCATCCGAGAGACAGAGCGCTAAGACGAGGTTAGGCGGTTTACGACACAAAACCAGAGAGAGAGAGAGAGAGAGACAGGGCCCGGTGCGGTGCGGTGATCCGTTGACGATATTCTACGGCACGGCAATACGCAGACAGGGATCGCGGCCAATTACAACCTGACCTGGATAGGAAAGACGGCAGTTTGATTGGCCCAGAGCCTCATTTCCTATTTATACGGGCTCGAGGGAGGATTTTCCCGGCGTATGTGGATGGATTTATTTGGTACCGACTTACACGGCGCAGAGGAAGCGTTATAGCCTGGGTTGGAACCATCGATCATAGCCGTTTTAAGCGGAGCCGTCCAGGAGATATGCTACCCTGCCATAGAGTCACCCTGCTGTGGCATCACCCTGCCAGCTCGTGAGCCTGTCCCGGGTCTGTAGGAAATCACAAAACGACAGTGCGTGCTTTATACGACGAGCTTCGACAGGAATAAACAAGTTTATCTAGCCATAGCCTATCAGTGCGCAGTGGGGCAGAAGAACAACTCGATTCCTTCGCCGCTCGCACGCACCACATCTACTCACCCAACCTGCATGCCTCCAAACGAGACATACATGATAGCCTCTGGGTAGGGAGACGGAGAAATAACATGGGGGGGAGAGCGTGCATCGAGGTAACTGGGGGTGGTGAAGGCCCGAGTGGAAAGAAAAGCTTAGGTGTCCTAGGCGTGGGGTTCCTCATTGCGCCCCGGAAACCCCGCGGTAGCGAGCGAGGTGCCCTGGAAGAGCCCTGAAAGAGGTCCCTAACGGCGAAGGGAGCCAATGGAATACAGCGGCTCCGCAGCGGTATAGAGACACCCCGGAGTCCTGGACCAGGGCCAGGCGGGACCCTGCAATTCGGCGAAATATTTCGGCTGGGACTCCCCGCGCCCAGTAGCATCCGGGGCCAGCCTAGGGCTAACTCCTAAAAGCTGTCTCTTCCCTCCTTCGTCTGCGCAACTCTTATCCTCCCCCGTCTCACCAGCTTCCCCGTCGACACCCGCCTCGAACATTAGCTGGAGAATTTCCTGCTCGAGTGGCTGGGACAATTAACCACATCAGCTGCTACCAATCCCGCCTTGTCTCCTCTCTGTGCCCTTGGCTAATTCTTCCGGCGCCTGGGTCAGGTCGAGCTCGGGTCGCCGCACCGCGACGCATTGTGGCCCTTCGCCTCTCTCCGTCTCTCGCTCAGCTCGCGACTTCGCCAACTCGTCTCTCGAGCGCCGCTCTGCCGAACACCGCCGATTCCTGCCCCGGCGAACCCAGATCTTGCACAGCCGTTGATGGCCTCCGCGAAGTAGACTCCTCCCGGTGCTGCCGATGCGCTGCCGCCCCTCGTCATCGCCGTACGATAGACGCCCCGACCAGACGCACTTTCGACCGGCTCCCCCCCTATCAAGGCTCCAACCCTAGCACTCCCCGGTGTCGATGGTGACGCGTCTGCCATGAGGCGCGCTGCGCTCGAGAGTTCCGATATCCGACAGTTTATAGCGGTTTGAGCCGGAGGGAATACCGGGCGTGTTAGTCCTCTTCTTCAACTATGATGACGGCGGTTCAGCAGATACAGCCGGCCCCTACCTCAGCCCGGCCGCTCGGCAGCAATGGCGTACCCTTATCGATGACGACGACGACTACGGCGGCAGACGTGAATATACACCGGCACACTCGATCGTGCGTGAACGGGACGAAGGCCTGCACCGGGCTGCAGACCGGCGACGCGCGGACGGTTGTCATCATCTACGGCTCCGGACAGGAGAAGATAGTGTCGCTCTTCGCCGACGTCCTGGGGAAACCCCATCGGATGGCTGACAGCTTCCAGGGCATAACATCGGCGGAACAGGAATTAGTGCTGGGGATACCGTTGAAGAGCGCAAAGATGGACATCGCCTCGCGCAACCGGGATGCCGTCGTGGCGATCAACGCCCATTGCGTGAACCTAGGGATGCCGCCCGACGTCTACATATCGGCGCAGTGCGATTACGAGTTTTTGTATCCCGAAACGTCCTTCTCCCGCCGCGACCTTGCTAGGTTCATCTCCTTTACCCTCGGTCAGATCAACCACCACGAGACTCTCATAGCGAAACCGCGAACCTACATCATCTCGACGACGTTTCCCGACGTCCGGGCCGCTCTCCCGAATATAGATATCCTTGCTGTCGGTGCTGATGCCGTAGAATTACGTATCGATCTGCTCAAGGAGCCCCTAACCGACGGCACTTTTGCGCCGATACCCAGCCTTAGCTACGTGGGCGAGCAGGTAATGCTGCTCCGCCATGGGACCGAACTACCGATTATCGCCACGACGAGGTGCGCGAGCGAGAACGGGCGCTTCCCCATGGACGATCCGAATCTATTCTACGAGTACCTCTCCCGAGCGATCCAGTGGGGCGTCGAATATATCGATGTCGAACTTTGGCTACCCGAGCACATCCGTCGAAAGCTGCACGAGAAACGCGGGAACAGTCGCATTATGTCTGCCTTCCACGACTTCTCTGGCACCTTCAAGTGGCCTTCACCGCAAGCCGAGGCCGTTTTTCTCGAGTCTCGAAGATACGCCGACATCGTGAAGATGATAGCGATCACGACCGAGCACAAGGAGAACTTCGAATTGGAATACTTCCGCTCCAGGATTCGAAGCGAATACCCAGACGCACCCCCTATATCCGCCGTTAACATGGGCGAGGCCGGCCAATTCTCGCGAGCCCTCAACACGTTTTTCACGCCGATCACCCACCCGCTTCTCCCGATCATCGCCGCGCCAGGGCAAATGAGCGCTGCCGAGATCAACGCTGCTCTGTCACTGCTCGGGCAGCTCCCGAAGAAGAGTATCTACGGAATCACGAGCCCATTTTCTCGCACCACGACGCCCTACGCCCCTTTTTACGAGAAATGCTTCAACGAGCTCGGATTGCCGCACCACTTCGCCGTTGTCGAGAGGCAACGCAAAGGTCCCGACTGCGTAGAAGCGCTGTGCGACCAAAGATCATTTGGCGGAGCGTATCTCAACCCGCCCGTATCGCTAACCAGTCTCTTGCACAATAGCTCCTTCTTCGCGAGGCTCAACAACGGGTCTGGCCCGATACTTACCGAGGCGGTTCGCGTAATCGGCATGGTGGATGCCATCGTTGTTCAACCTGGATCGTCGTCGTCGTCGTCGTCGTCGTCTTCAGCACCTCATACGACTAGCTCGAGCCCTAGCCAACATGTGGACGGGCCTATCGGTTCCGGAATCCGTAAAGGCAGCGGACTGCCGCTAGGCTCCTCGCTGATTTTCGACAACGCAAGTTGGCGCGGCATAGTTAGCACCTTGACCCGCGACCTGGCGCCCTCAGCCTACTCTGGGCGTGCGGCCGTCGTTTTGGCTACAAACGCGGACGATGCGGCGTCAGCGATGTACGCGTTGAAGGCGCTCCGCATCGGCAAGGTGTACACCGTGGGCTTCAAGACGCCGCCGAGCCTGGCCCGCGGCCTCGAAGTCGAGCCCTTCAACAGCCTAGAGAGCTTGCAGCGAGCTAGGATGGTGCGCGACAAGGCTAGCCCGTTCGTGATAATCTCGGCCCTAGGTCCAGACAAAGCGAACATCGTCGGGATGCTCGTGCGCGCATTCGGCGGCTCGAGAGGCTCGTCGACGCAGATACGCAAGGTCTTCCTCGACCTTGCCGACGGGCCGAGAAAGGGCGACCCGAGCGCGGTCGCGGAACAGAGCGGCTTCGCCGCCTATGGTGTGGCAGACACGACGGCATTCACCACGGTAGAGACGCTGCGGCTGCTTGTCGGCCAGAACGTGCCGTACAACTTCGTGCGGCTAGCCCGCGGCCACGGGATGTTTTAGAGAAGGGAGGGAGGGAAGAAAAGAGATGGACAGAAGGGAGAGAATATCTAATATCCGGGCCATTTATATAACCCTAACCTACCCATACACATAGGCACACATACAGGCACACCCACGGCACGTATGCACCCTTCCTCACAGTCACACACACACACATCTACATCCTTACGAGCTATTTAGCTAGGAGGGAAGCGGTCGAATTTTCGAATGTAAGACAGGGGGAAGCTTACCAGGACACGGTGGGAAAGGGGCCCGCGGTGGTAGATCGCACACATTATTGCATGCATACCGGGCGACTAGACAGCTATCTTTATATCTTAGATGATCCCAACAAGAGAGCACATCTCACGGAGACTCGCTTATTCTTCCACCCTTCGTTTGCTCCCCCCCTCCTCCGTTCCTGCATGCCCATGCTTTGCCATACATAAGCACGCCTAGGACTCGGAGCACGCCTCCGTTCTCGAGCGTCGGGGGCGGCGTCCTGCTGGCGGCGATTAAGAGGTAGCCCCGGGTACGAGGGAAGCGAGTAGTAGGAACGGCGACACGCGGGCTGTTCTGCGGCAAGGTACTGAGGCGTAGGGATGGTTGGATGGGAGAGAAGAGAAGAGAGGTGGAGAGATGGGAAAAGGGAGAGAGAAGGCAAGTCGACACGGGTCGGTAGACGATCACCCGGGCGCCGAGTGACGCGCTGGAGCTATCCATTCCTCCATGCCGGATGGGGGGAAGCTTGGATGATGCGGATGATGCGGATGATGCGGATTGTTCGCGGCACTTGCTTGTCTGGGTTGTTTGGCCAGTCAGTCAACGTAGACGTCGCCATCTTGCTGCTCCTCTTCTTCCTCTCATTTGACCGAGGCCTCGAGGCCCGCCGCGACGGCGACGAGCGGATGGAAGACGGCAGAGCGACAGAAGGCGAATACATGGCCGTAGGACAGACACAGTGCTGTATCCCTACGTCCGCGCCCATCTACCTGCTGGTCTCCTTCGCCGACCAGCCAGCTAGCTAACTACGTATTGACGCCTCCACCTAGGATATATATACTACGTAGTAGGCTCTAGTCGCTACGATGGCTACTGTGGGATCCACCCCAACTATCTACATATCTGCGAATATACCTACCTGCATACTTAAGTGCCCGTACCCCTTCTCACCCTTACTTACCCCACACAACTTGCTACGTAGCAGGCGCCTACTACCTGGTCTAAGTCGATAGCGCGGGCGGAGAGACGGGGAGAAGAGCGACGGCCGAGAGGAACGGAGGGGACGGCGCGATGAAGCGTCGCGAAAGGAGAAGGAGGAGGAGGCGATGGGATGGGATACTGCTTTCGCGAAGGCGGGGGGGAGCGGGGTGCGGAGAGCAGGAGACAGGGCTGCCGAGCTGAGCTCTCTCGCTGTCGATCTTAACTAGATCGAGGCGTGCGATGTTGCGGATGCGCGGGTAAGGGTGGGATAGGATAGATGGGATTGGGATAGTATGTATGGGGATCGCGATGACCGGCGGAGGGCTAGATCCGGGGTTTTCTAGGGGGGATCTCGTGTTCTTTTTTTCTTTTTTTCTTTTTTCCTTCTCTCGGTCTCTCCTCGGAGAAGAAAATCGACTCTGCCTACGAACGCGAAAGACGCGAGAATGAGCAAGACAGTTGAGGGGAGGAGCCCCAGAATATAGGATACATAGATAGACGTCGGATCTACTGCGCGTTAGGTGAGCAAGCGAGCATGCGGGAGCTTGACGGCGACGTACGAACATAAATTACAGCCTTCATACTTGCGAGCCACCGGACTCCCCAATCGTGCAGATGCTGTAGAACCGCAGAAGCGAACTTGGACGGATTCCTGCTAGCCACACCGATTTCTTCCCTTAGCCCTGCTCGCCGCCGGGGGAAGGGGGGGAGGACAAGCAACGGCGCTCATTTCACTAGCAATTTAGCCGCCAACTTATCCCGCGCAAGCGTGTAGCCAAACCTGGCTTGGCGGCGGGACCACACGGGCATTTCCTATGTAAGTATTGCACGCAGGCACGTAGAGGCTTCACGGACCGACGAGGGCTTCCGCACGCTAATCCTATAGAGGCGGTTGAGTGGTCAGGGCGGAGGGATGCTCGGCAGCGACGGAGAGGGAGAGCGAGGGCGAGGGACAGAGAGCGAGAGGGAGCGAAGAGGGAGAAGCACAGTCGTGTTCGGGGTTTTGTCAAAGTCTGGGAGGTAGTTTCCAGCATGTCACATCGCGCTGTCTCGCCTCTGTCTCTGCCGCTCTCTCTCGCCATCCGGCCTAGGGATCCCGGGTGTAGTCGGGTTAGGTAGGTAGGTTGAGCGGCCAGGTATCGCAAGGTGGGCTTATCCGCAGGGAGTCGCTGGGGCGACACGGGCGACAATGCCTACAGAACGGGGGGTCTCGGTGAGTGGGAAGGGGAACGGGAAGGGGGCCGGGGAGAGGAGGGAAGAAGTGGAGACGGTGGATGGGCTTGTTGTTGTCGCGCCTGGGGCTGCCAAAGAAAGAGAAAGAGAGAGAGGCAGAGAGAGAGAGGCGTGCATGGATGGACCGGTATGTAGGCCATGTAGCAAGGAGCAGGTCAGTTAGGTAGGCGTGCGTACGGGCCAGGAATCGAGGCAAGCGAAGAGTGAAGAGTGCGTGTATGCGTTCGCGTATGTAGGTATATGCGTGTGCGTGGCTGTCGTGTAGGCGACGGCGTATGTAGTTTATATATAGCCATCGCGGATGCACATCTGGGATACCGCAGGCCTATATTGCGTATATCATATAGGTGTGTATACATATATATATTTATACGTGCGAATACGTACGCAGACATCATACACACCCGTATCCAGATATATCGGGTCGCGAGATGAGCCCAATATAATTCACGGGTACCTGAGTTGCGCCCCAATATAGGGTAGAGGGGCAGGGCTCCCCATCGCGAGAGGACGCCGATTTATATGGGAGGCGGGGAGTGCAGCAAGACGCTCTATATTCACTTTATCGTAGGCCGCCACATGTAAGCGAGAGCTGCGCGTACTGCGAGACTATGAGACACCGAGGTGGGAGCCCGAATGTCATGTCATGTAGGTCCCGGCGCGCGCCCATCTATCTGTAGGTAGGATGGATGATGAGGCCACATGCACTTAACCCCAAGATAATATGCGGAGAGTGTTGTGCAATGTTGGACGAAATTGTCCCGAGTGCGATGTTACCATGCTTTACCTGCCGGCGAAGAGAGAGAGAGACGGAGAGAGAGATAGAAAGAAAGAAAAGCGAGGGTGAGGGGAGCGGGGGGGAGAGAACCTGTGTGAGGCCATCCCGTCCCATCCTCCCCTCACGGTTTCATGTCGAGAATTCTGGGTTGGCGATGGCTAGATGACGGGCACAAACGAGCGACCGAACAGCTCAACGGCCAACTCCTGCTGAGATAGAAATCGTAACACCCGGTGCGACATGTCAACACCACACATGTTGCTCAGCATCACGGTGGGTTACAGGTTCAGGGTAATATCCCCAGAGTCCGGATCTGTCACCAACCCGAATAGCATCAGTCGATGATCCGATAGTTGCATGACTCGTGCGAAGGGATCTTCTCTCTTCCTTCTTCTTTTCTTTTAGCTTCTCCCTCTCTGTGACGAAAATCTCAAGCCCTGTCTACTGTAATCTACTCTGCTCGTCTTAAGTGCTAGCAAGTTGGCTATATCGTACAGGGATTAAGACCATCTGCCGTAGTAATAGCGTGTAGAGAGTTGGCTATATACGCAGGTACATGATGGCTATCAATTTAATGACCCACGGCCACGGGGACATGGGACCAAAGAGAGAGAGAGAGAGAGAGAGAGAGAAAATAGAACAGAATCAATACGACATGGTAATAATTAACAAGCAGAGAGGGTGGCAGGAGGGAGAGGGGAAATGAGAGAGAAAAAAAAGAATAATAATATGGTCCCTCTTTCGGACAGCTAACGAAGCCAGAAAGCCAGCTTTCTTCGTCTACCACTACCCAATCTTCCCCCCGGATAAGACGATTTATAAGGAACCGATGCGGGCTTATAAGCCGGTTTTTTTGACGCAACACTCGACGCACCTGGGTATATTATAGATGCATATGATTCCAGGTACGGACTGGAGTGCAACCAGAGTTATGCTTATTTCGCTGTAGAGTAACGCTCACAGGACAACCGCGTAGGCGAGCGAGCGACTCTGCCTGCCGAAAGGACCCAAGTCTGTACGTGTGTGTATGCACATACTGACATCCGTTCTTCCATCCCATACTATATAAGTTATATGTATACCTACATTCTTGCATGGCTCTCTGTAGGCCAGTATTGGGGGGAAGTAAGGGGAGGGGGGAGGAAGAGAGATGTTTGGTCCTTATTCTATCTTGTCCTGCAGAGCTCGGGTCTTCTTGCAGCGAAGAGCGCTAAGTAAACCTGGTTCTTCACCACTGGGCGAGTTTTCCCCCCCTCCCCCCCCCCCTGGTGTCGTGACATCCGGAATTCTCACCCGCGTCTCCTCGAGAGATGCTGTCTCCAGAAGATCTACTCTTAGCGAGGCCTCTCACAGCTCCCTCACTCTTTCTCTCTCTCCGCCTCTCGCGCGCGCCTGCGAGAATGCACACACATATGCGCATACACCATATTATGTATTTCCAACTTCGCCGTCGCGTGTCTTCCCGATTCTGTACAGCCTCGGCACCGACAGGGGTGGTGTGGATATCCCATCTCACGAGACGCTCCCAAGTCTTACGACGTTATGGAAGAGCCCCTCCTCCCCTTTCGAACCCCCCCCCTCCAAGCTACCCTACACATACATACGTATAATATGTGCCATGGGCTGCGACGTACGTAGGCCATGTATTTATGTATGAGTATGGAAGAGCCCGGGTACGCGAGCCTGATCGGCTCATCCCGGAAACCCATCCACCCTTCGTAGGCCGCTCCGTAGGTCTGTAGGTCTGTAGGTCTGTAGGCGTGCATGTACGTGGACGATGGATGGTAAGGCCCTGCAACGTCGCTAGGGATTATGGATATTCGACCCGTGACCGCCAGTTCGGGTACTCCCATGCTGCTGGTCGGTCTGAGATATCACCTGCCTACGTTACTATGCCATGTAGCATGTGGACGCAAGCGCAACTCAGGTCCCGTCGACTATATTGCTGCTTCCACGCTGTCGGTATCCGCGTCCCGAGTCGTCACTTGTTCCCTAGGGCATGCCCGCAAGCGGCCGCTTCGACATGGGATGAGCTCCGGTCGAACCGTCACGACGGACGTCGTCCCCGGATCAGGTTTCAGGTTACATCTCTGAGGAGACCTGCTCGGTTCCCAGAGTGCGAGGTTTAGGGCTTCGCACAAGGAGCTACAGGATTCCTACCTCCCCCCAACGTAACCCCGGACGGTCGATAGGGTGCTGTGAGCCACGAGAAAACCCAGGCGCTGTGTAATCCGCGCTACGCCCTAGTATCGTAAACTCGTCCTGGTGGGCTTCTCAGCTCCGCAGTTCAGGGGTAAGCATTAGGACGATGGCGACCGCCGATGCGCGCCGTAAACGCCGAGCGGGCTCCCGACCCCAGGACGGAGTCGAGACGCCTGGCACAACCTCTCGAAGCAGACAGCAGCAGTGGGAGCCCTGCCCTAGAACCGCAGGAAAGCGAGGGGACTGAGTTCGGATGTCGAATGCTCGCAATCCCCCCCTTAGGAACTACCAGGCCTGCAAGCCGAGATTGAAGTCGAGAGGCCGCATACGCTTGTGCGACTGATGCTGTGCCTGTCCAGATAGAGTCGGAGGAGAGGCAACGTCGAAGCCGAAGAGCTCTATATCGAACGCCGGTTTCACGGCAGGCTCTCGCGAGTGACGGGTTTGTATGCCCGCACCGTCGCATTCCCGGCTCTCGCATGCTTGCGAGAAGCGAGTGGACACGTCCCGGACCACCAAGCCTGGAATCATATATCGGAGGCTCTTCAAGTCTTTCTAGATCGCAGTCCCGCCGCGGCCGCCGCCAGTCCTAGTCCGGGCCGCAGATGTATGCATTCTGGGACCTTGCGTCGCGGCCAGAAAGAAAATTTTTTTCCTTTCCAGAGCGAGAGCACGCGTTCGCGACCAAAGTCCGCCGGCAGGACAGACAGGCCAGCCTACGTCCAGCCAGCAACCGAGGCTACCCTGCATCTGTCGAGATTCCGAGATGTATCTGATTTTGGTCTGCTCCGACGCCTGAATCGACCAGGTAAGCCGAGGGCTACCAGCCCATCGGAAGACTGATATGCATCTAGTCGATCTAAATCCGGGGCAAGCTACGCTCCGGGAGGACTGGCCTCCCATAGTAACCAACAAGCCGAGGTGACCACCGCTGTGTCCCACGGGCGAGTTACCTCTTCCGGGGCCGCGTCTGAAAGCAGTTAGTTCTCTGGGAAAAGGCTAGTCCTATTGGCATGGGGAAGTTGTTAGATACCATAGTAGCAAGATCGCAGTTTTGGTGACGATGGCGAACTCGTCGCGAGCGATCACCGTAAGGATCTGTTTGGGGGACTCTGGGGTCGGCGCTTCTACGGCTTCGAATGCCTGGCAACCGTCAGTCAGCATCGGGGTCGGCGAGGATATGTTTTCATTGGTGCGCAACTGCGTGTTCTCCCACCTCCAGCTCGGGATGGCACCGTTCTGGAAGAGTTGGGATTCGTCCTCTTCCCCCCCTTCGCTCTCCAACACTTCTCTCCCTCCTCCCCTCTGCATTTCCGCCCTCCCGCTGCCTCTCCCTCTCCCTCTCCCTCGAATCTCCGCGGCAGTGATCCCGTTAGCCTCTAGGGGGGGCAGTATTAAGCTCACGCCCCCGAGTAGTGACGGCAATTGATCCCTCTGGCTAGTGGCGTGGATCCCAGGACAAAGCCAACGCCTGCCTGCTCATACAGCAGGGAGGTGTGAAGGGGAGGGGTGGGCTTCGTGAACCCCTGTGTTGACCAACTTCTGGCCATGCTCCCAAGCAAATTCTCGTGGCCAATCCGATATCCCTGCCTCCTGTAGGCCCGCTGTCCCCGCCAGGTCCCGCCACGACCAGGGCCACACGAGCCGAGTGGATGATGGTGAGCAGGGCCGGCGCCAGAGACAAGAACCCTGGCTGGGATGCGGGCATGGACTACGTAGGTATGCAGAGATGTAGACCCCAACCGTTCACGAGCCATCCTCCTCCATCTCAGGCCCTCTCCGCATGAAATCATGCCCCATGCCCCCATCTTTTTCCATCCGAATGAGGAGCCACGAAATGTCGCCCCATGGTGCATAGCGCGGCACTGAGCTCGTCTTCTTATTAGCTCTTCTCCGCCGTATCATTTCCACCCTTCTCCAACTTCCAGAAAGCTCAGAGAGTATCATTGGGTGCGCCGACAACTTATATGCCGTACCGGTCATGACGCCCTTCGAGCACGGAGAATCGAACTAGAGACACACCGGCGGCAGGCAAGCATGAGTTAGCCACTCGCAATTCGACCAGAAGCAGACGAAGAAACGGCTTCTACTTGGGTGCAGAAGGACGGGGCTAGCCGTGGAGGGATCGGCAGTGATCTTCCAGATTCCTCATCTCCCAGAGATCACCGGATCGGGAAAGGATACGCGTGTAATAGATACACAGAGAGAGCTCAGCTGGTTCAGCACCTCTTTGGCATGAATACTCCGGCTTTCGAATCGGTCACCATGAGCGTCGCGCCCCTCCACGGAGTGCGGCCTGTCATCATGTCGCGGCCCCAGGTCGGCATCGAGCGACTACCGAGTCGCCGCATGAGCAATGAGCCCCGAGAAGCGATGAACTGCAAGTCGTGTCGAAAGCGGAAAGTAAGGCTTCCTCTCGAGCTGGCGGCGCCGTACCCACCCCCTCAGGGACTGTCCTCCGATCTAACACGCGACGTTCGCTACATAGATCAAGTGCAACCGACTGCGACCATCCTGCGAGGCCTGCCAGGTTTTCCAGTGCCCGTGTATCTACGGTAGGCTGTTCCTGTCTCCCAGCGGCGGCGGCGGCGGAGCCTTATCACGGCGGTCAGTTGTGAAAAAGGCGGCTAATCACCCCACCCCCCTGATCTATAGATGCTGTACCGAAGAAGCGAGGGCCCAAGACAGACGTGTTAGAAGCGCTGTTGAGGAGAGTGGACGGCTTGGAGGCCCAGCTTAAGGATCACAGGAAGACAGACGCCTCGCCGACCGCGGAGAAGCCCGCACGCGCTTCGACGGAAGAAACGCCCTCGACGACGGAATCGACAGTGGCCGACTCAGATTCCGAACCCAACCCTAAGCGCCTGGCTCTAGATACTACTCGAGCAACGGAGATGTCTGCGGAGTCTGCCGCATATTCGCCCACACCGGCCGGCGAGCCGTCGCCTGTAGTCCAGGGAGACGTGCTCCTGGATACCTACTTCACTCGGTTGCATGGAAAGCCCTACTACGTCCTCGACGAGTCGTCCGTCAGACAGCGGTTGCAGCTCCACCAGCTGCCCAGTTATCTCATACACGCCATCTACGCTGCTGCGGCCAGGTTTGCACCCATCGATGAAGAAGCTTAGGTGTGCAGGGTACTAAGACGCGCTCAGATACGCACCCCATCCGGCCGGGCACCAGTCCGCCGTCAAGCTAAGCGAGAGTTACGCGTCGCGGTCGAGGAGCGAGATAGATACGGACGAGCCGTCCATCGACGCACTCCAAGCCCTTCTTCTCCTTTCCGCGGCATTCACGGCAGCCGGCAAGGGAAAGAAGGCCTACATGCTTATGAGTACGTGCTTCCTATATGCCAGGTCCAATCCAGACCTCGAATGTTGCCCACAGCTCGCGAAGTCGTCGACTAACAAGCTTACACAGCCAACGCCATCGGTATGGCCATGGCCCTGGAGCTACACCGAGAGGTCGGCATACAAGCCCGGATAACCGCCGTGGAACGCGAGATGAGGAGGCGACTATTTTGGACCTGCTATCTGCTCGACAGGTTCGTGGCCTGCGGCTCGAAGCGGCCGTGTCTGGTCAACGACAAGATGATCCTGCTCCGTCTACCATGCTGGTCACCAGGCCCCTCCGCCTTCCCCGTCGAAGGTGAATTTTTCCAGAACGGTTCGAATGTTCAGCAGCTACAAGGCAGCGTGAGGAAATCCCAGGGGAGCAGCGGTATGCTCATCGACATCAGCCGCATCCTCGGCACGACGAACAGATACCTCGCAGCGGGCGGCGTCAAGGGCGATTCACACTTCCCTTGGCACGCGCTCTCCAACCTATCCAAGATCAGGCAGGATCTCGAAATATGGGCTTCGGGAACCGACAACGTCTTCTCGAGCGTGGATACGTTGTTCGGCCAGCCGGACTCGACCGTCCTCGTACTCAGCAAGCTCGTCTACCACCTCATCCACTGCCTCATCTACCGGCCTTTCCTGCCGATCGACCTCGCCGAACTGGCCGGGACGGGGCAGCACCAGTCGTGGCAGATCGAGGCTACCAACATCTGCTTCCTGCACGCCAACGCCATTGCGGAGCTCGTCGAGCTCGGGAAGCAGACGGGATCTATCGAGTGGCCTGCCTTCGTCGGATACTGCATATGCACTGCCGGCACGGTCCACATTCACGGGGCACACTACATCAAGAACGGGGCGGGGGAGAGTCTAGGCGTGTTCGCGTCGTCGGCGGACTTCCTGTCCCGGGAGATCAACCAGTTGACCGAGCTCAGCTACTCGTGGGCCAGCATGCAGCACCAGCGCGAGACCCTGGAGGGTGTCTACAACGCCCACGTCGAGTTAGTGAAGGGCCTCGCGAACAGCTCGATGCGCTATTCGCCAGCCTTCAACCTCGAGGACTTCTTCGACCGCTACGCCAGCGTGAGCAGGCCGGGTGGACAACCCTTTACGTTCGACGCCGCGAATCTCAACATGGCAGAGGTCGCCCTCGACTTCGCCGCGGACGCGTACGGGACCCCTGAGCTGTACACCGCCTCTCGGGCGAACGGAGATCCGGAGAAGCCAGGGTTGAAACGGAAGAGCATTTCGGGGGCTGGGCGGAAACGACCCGACATTAGAAGCCTCTCGTTGGCCCATACCGCTCGCGATGGTCCCCTCTCGCCAGGCCTGCCCACGCCTGGGGGCCATCCCCGGCACTTCTCCTTCTCTGCCGCCTCCCACCACTCACCCATGCTCCATACGCCTAACTCGGTCCCCCCTCACGTGGAGAACTTGCAGACAGGGTCCTGCGCAGCCGCGAACCCAGCACGAAACCCGATGATGGATGACCCAGCTACGAATGTCGCCGTCGCGCCCACCCCCATCGCCACTCCATCCGCCCCATTCGGGCCGACACATCACTTACAGACGCAGCAGATGGAGGCACTTCCGGCGACCTCCTTCTCGCCGTCCTACCACTACGCCACGCCCAGCCCGAGCGGGGACACAGAGACCAATCTCGGCGTCCCCAACTACGATCCGATGTTCGGCACGGTCCCGACCAACTCCTTCTCCTCTCCCACGCCTTGGCACGGCGACGAAGACCGCGAGCGGCGGCAGCAACATATGCACCAGCAACATGCACATCCACATGCACATCAGCAGCCACAGCCGCAAATCGCGCCGAGCCCGGGCGCGAGGAGTCTCAACGACAGCACGGGGACCGGCCCCGCAGAGGAGAAGGACCCCTTTCTGAGCCTGCTCGAGCAGCTCGCGGAGAACGAGCACGCCACAGGCCAGGGCAAGGAGATCGACTTCTTCCTCGCCGGCGTGCAGGGGTAGAAGAAGGGAGCGCTGTCGCTCTGTAGCATTCGCATACGCACACACGCACACCTACACTTACACAACGCGCGCGCGCACAGCACACATACATGCGCACACACGCATGCAGACTTCTCACAGGGGAGGGGGGCGAGAGGGGGTGAAGGTGGAGATGGATATTGATTGAAGCGGTATATGACTATGAGACACCACGAAAACGGTTCTATTCTACGACGGACATGTACTTCTACTTCTCCCTCAACTTCTGCTTCTGGGTATATCTTTAGAGCGCGGCCATTTGACCTTGATCTGGAGCATTTCGGCGGCGGCACCCGGGTCGTTTCAGCAGCACGCCGGCATTTACGAACGAGTCCAACGACAGCAGCAGCAGCAGCAGCAATAACAATAACAATAACACCAACAACAATAACAACAACCGCAGAAACAAAATCTTCTATCAGTACGGCATCCTGATTGGGCCCGTCTACTACCACTGGCTTGGCCTAATATTGGTGAGCGACGGCGAGGAGAGGAGGAGAGGAGGAGAGGGGAAGTGGAGGCACAGCGAGGCACGCATGTACATACCATACAACCAACTAGCTACACGTCTAGGTCGGACAACAAAAGCGGGAGCACGGGGGTGGTTGGTGTGCGTGACGACGGTGGTAGCCGGTAGCAGCAGCAGCAGCAGCAGCAGCAGCATAATACTACACGTTACCACCCAACCATACGTCAGGTTACCTGACCCGAGAGGCAGCCTCTGGGAGAGTTTCCGGCTTGCTGCTCGCTCTCCATGCAGCAGACGGTCATCGACTCGTGCACGGCATGCAAGGGCGAGGACAGGCGCTCGAGGAGAGACCGAGAGGATTCCCACGTAGCGAGCTTGGCCAGCAGCAGCAGCAGCAGCAGCAGGAGGAGGAGGGAATCGCAGCCGCAGCCAGAAACGAGCAGAAGAACGCCTTCGACCGCAACATAACCGAGGTTCTACGAGGCGAGTCCCGTCCGCCATGCAGGTAGGTAGGTAGGTAGGTACCTAGGTATGGACAGGGCCCGTTCCGCCTGAGTTTCCTCTGTCGCCGTTCCCGCGCCCGCTATTCATTCCTCCCTCCGTAGCCCTATCATACCGGGGTAGCAATTCCTGCTGCTTGCTGCTGCTGCTGCTGCTGCTGCGGGCCGCTGCATGTAGGTATCCTCTATAATATGGGCTTGCCGGGTTCCACGGTGCTTACTGAGAGGTTTCTAAGCCTAGCCTGCCGGACACGACCGCCTTCTTGACGTGCGACTCCCGCTGCCCCCGGCACTTCTAGCGACAGGTAAGAGCTAGAGCGCGCGCGGGAGCCAGGGCGAGGGGAGCTGCCCCGGCCGCCCGGCTCCTGGTCTAAGGAGGCAAGCTGGCCGATAGGCTGGCTCGCTGCCAGGCAGCCAGATATGGAGGCAAGTAGGTAGACACACGAAAGGCCCCCCTCCCCTCCCCATCCTGTGGGTGTGTTTCTGTATGCGCGGGACGACGGCCCGGCAGCCAGCCAAAGTTGCAGCCTTGAACCCTGAGAACTTCGGGGTGGGCTCGCCTGGCGCTGCAGGAGGGCGAGGCGAGGTCTGCCTGCCCCTGCTCGGGTCTGCTGTACGTACGGGGTCCGGGTGGTGGAGAGGAGATGTCTGCTTGCCCACTTGGCCTGCCTCACCTACGTAGGGTACCGCATATACACTTGCATACACACCTAGGTACATACCCTACATCTCTATATAGAAAGCAAATACGGTGCGGGTGGGTGTGTAGGTGGGTGTGTGAGTGTGCGTGTGGGTTCGGAATCGGGAGCCGTGCAAGACGAGGGTCAGACCAGAACCTCGACCTCTCACACGCACACCTCTCCTCTCTCTCTCTCTCTCTCTCGCTCCCTCTCCACGGCTGCAGCGGCCCCCACCGCGTAACCCCGTCATATCCTCCGCCCGTAGGCGTAGGCGTGGGCGTAGGCGCGCCGGCCTACTACGTAGTACCTCGCGAGGGTTGCTTCTGCAACGCGCATAGGCTGGGTAGCAGGAGGGAGCGCAGCTGGCTATCCCGGAAGACGGGTGGACGCATGCAGTCGCATCGGGGAGGCGTTGGGAAGCGCAGGGTGGTTCCAAGATTCGGGGGCGTTCGAGGAACCCGGGTCCTGGCCCGCTTACTACGTCTGTACATATGCCCGTCGCCCTCTCTCCCTCTCGTCTCTCTCTCCCTCTCTCTCTCTCTCTCTCTCTCTCTTCCCCCTGACCTGCAGCCGTGCAGGGTGCTCTCGAATGGGCGGCCGGGAGGGCGCGTGCGAACCCGAATGCGTTCGACTCTGGTACCACGTGCATCTGGTAATTAGGTAGGTAGGTAGGTGTTCCGGCCTGCTCGTCTAATTGTACGAGAGCGTTCCGTTTCCTTTTCTTCTCCCCTTTCCCTTTCTTCTTTTTGGTTTTTGTTTCCCTGATTTCTCCACGTTCTCCCCGCTCGTCGAGCGCTTCGTTTCGGGACTCGGATGGGTGCCTGAGAGAATAATAGCTATATGAGATCACCCCATCCAGCAGCCGATCCTCATACGCAAGGAGGGGGCACAGAGACAGGAAATCGGTAGGTATGTAATCATTATTAATATTAATCAACCAAACCACCCGCATGCATGGGCCGTATCAGGTACCGCCAAGACGTACGGAGCGGAACGGGGGTGGAGGAAGAGGGCGTAGGTAGGGGCGGGAGGAGGAAAGGGAGAAGTATTGCCTAAGGGATACAATGATGTGTTTACCATAAAAGAGTATACACGTAATTGTAGAGACGAGTCGAAGTTCAAGACCTGGGCCGGTGGGATTCGGCAGCCTCAGCATTTAGGTTGCCTGCCAACGTACCTAGTTAGGTACCGCCTACTACCTCGGTAGCTCGGACAAGCCAGGCCGGAGCTCCGACCGCGCGACGGCGATACCATTTACCTAATGTCAAAAACTAGAGGTATATACCTCCATTTGGTGTAAGGTAGTAAATCAAATCAGGGCTCGTGGTTTAGTGGTATAATACTCCTCAAGTATCTTTATCTTGGAGTGGTCCGGGGTTCGATTCCCCGCGAGTCCAACATTTTTTTTTTTCTCTAGGACATCTAGGAGCATTCACAAACCCGATGCGCATCTGAAAATGTATGTAGGTATAATAATTACCTATAACTTTCAAATTCTCCATCACTCCCTTCTATTTCTTTAAGCAACTCGCCGCCAGCCCCCCAGCTCTCGGATCTCTGGCGTGTATGAGATGTCCATTTGGTCGTTGATATCATCTGGAAAACAAGGAGAATTTCCATCAAGTCTGATATCAGGCTATCCAAGCAATGCGCTCGGCTTCAAACGGGAGTCTCCAGCCGTTACCTCTGGCCAGCATCAACCCCCGCTTGGTAAGACATACTTGTCGGGATGGAATTGGCAGCCCAAGTTGCTCGAGTAGCAGTATAGAGTTGCAGACTCGGGTGTCATGGCCTGGGTGCAATTATATAGGCCTTGGAACTATAGTTGCACTCGGTTCTTCCTCTCCGCGATTCCCAACAGGGCGGTTCACGGGCTCGCATAATATTGCTGCCGCGGTAGCCAGCTGTATTATGGCTTGGGTACGCCATTAAGAATGCGGAACACGGCGGGAGTAGAAACAGGATCGGGTAAGCAGTAAGCAAATACGACTGAATATTAATCGAGTGAATTTTTATTTTTATTTTTTTATTTCTATTTTTCATCCTTTCTTCTTTGTAGTCTCCTCAACTTGCCCGAAGAGGCCCAACCCAGCGCCGTCAGCGCCCTCGCGCCCTCGATGAGAGACCGCGCGATAACCCGACCTCAGTTAGGAATGGTCAACTATACCCGTCTCACATTTATTAAGTGGCAGAGAGTGGATACAGACCATGTCGCCGCCACACTTCCAGCCACGAGACTCTCCTCTCGTCACGGGCCGCGGGGAGGTTGGCGCTCTCTAAGGCGCCACGTCAACATGCTGGCTGGTCTGCCAATGGCAACGCGAATGCAGCACAGACGGGACCCGGGCGGTGAGTGGTGAAGGGGCGCGACGCACTGCACTCCATCGCTGCCACATCGATCCGTCCCTCGGCCTGGCGTGTTCGGGCTCAAGACAGCACTTGCAAGGCCTCCACACATTGGTTACCCTCTGCTCCGTTATATCATGGGCCTGCAGAGCTCGTTCGGCGACAAGATGAAGAAGAAGCTGCTGAGAAAGACGTTCGAGAAGGCTATCGACTTCGCCGCCAGGGCAAGCCCGGTCGTCAAGACCATTCAGGCCGCCCATGGCCTCACCCAGGTGGGGGGCCTCATGAACCAGACCTCCGACTTCCTCCCCAAGGCCGCAAAGGCTGCCCAGGCCGCTGAGGAGTTCATCCCCGCCATGCAGGTCATGGGCCAGTCGCTCTGCGACAGCGTCAAGCTCTTCGCGCACTTCAGCGCCGTCGCCAGCGCCGTCGGCATCGGCACCAACATGATCATGACGTACCAGGGCGTCCAGGCGCTGCAGCTCATCGCCGCGCGGCTCCAGGACATCTCCGACAGCCTCGCGGCGCAGGCCGCGCTGATGGCCCAGCGGGACTTCCCCGAGCTCGTCTACTACATGATCCGCGAGCAGCTGTCGCAGACGGCCGACGACCCGGACCGCGACCACTGGTTCTTCGTCTACCACCCGGACAACGATTGGTACCCGCGCTTCTTCCACCTCGTCGAGGAGCGCCCGCTCGACCCGCGCTTCTGCGGCTACACGAACCAGATCGACACCGCCTTCGTCTTCATGCTCGCCGCCCGCAACATCATCGAGAAGCGCACGACGCAGGCCCGCCGGCACGGCGGCAAGCCCCCGCGCCCCACCCGCATCCACCTGCTCATCCCGGCGTACCAGCCGATCCTCGTCGCCGAGGCGCTGCGCATCCCCGACGAGATCGGCGACTTCGTCATGGAAGGGCGCGTCCACAACACGCGCGAGTTCGTCTGGTTCAACCTGCCGCCCGAGCAGCGCCGCCGCTACGTCAAGGACATCGGCCACTGGGTGCCCCCCACCCAGGGCTGGTGGGACTGGGCCATGTCCAAGTTCAGCCTGGCCGGCAAGCCGCCCCGGCTCGGCGAGCGCCGCACCCTCGGCACGCGGCAGCAACCCCTCGAGATCGAAGACAGCGTCAGCAACGCCGCCCCCGCCGCCATCGCCGCCGGCGCGAGCAGTACCAGCAGCAATACAAACGCCGACGACGACGACGCCGCCACCGTGGTCTCGACCAACACGTCGGGGTCATCGTCCGCGCGCAACGGATCCAAAGGCTCGAGAAATATACACCAGGCGACGCCGCTGCACAACCGCCGGCAGCGGAAAAAGTGAACCCGAGCGGCTTCGTCGCGGAAGCAAATCAAGTTTGCCTTGTGGGTGGCGGTGGTTACGAGTCGGTCATTTCCCGCACAGATTTCAGGCGCGGTGAGATTCTCTGGACAGGCGGATAGAAGCCCTCACCGCCACATCAACTTGCTTAACCCTACGCAAGAAGGCTCCTCCGCACTCCCGGACAGGACTGGGTTGTCTCTCGTTGGCTAGAGAGATGGAGAGCAGCGGATTGCATGTCGGCAACGAGGCTTACTCGCGAACCCAGCGGCATTGGCGATCTATCGAGAGACCGCGAAGAAAGGAGGAAATCCAAGAGAGTAAAATACTTCTAAAAAAGGAAAGAAAAAAAAGAAATTCGCTCAAAAATTAGAAGCATGAAGCAATGGTTACGCGGGGAGGAATATGCCTCTCGTGTTCAGCTCGGCGTTATTAGTCCTTTTCTTTTCCCAGATGAACGACCTATCTTTCCTTTCGTTTCCTTTTTTTTCCGTAGGGTCACCGGCGATCGAGGGCAGGGAAGGAAACTACATACGTAGGACAGCCGGCGATGCCTGTCTAAGAATGACTTTTTTCAAGAATACGCAGATGCTATTACGAGGGTTGGTGCGGCCCTGAATCGGGACGTCCAGCAGTCGTCCGGGCCAGCTGTCGCGCAGGCATATACACATAAGCATATATATATATATCTCAATACGCACATACAAGACCAAGCGTGCAGAAAGCTTTCCTGAGCTTCGATAACTAATTATTTGGGGAGTGACCTAGGTATGCATCTCGTTTCGGTGCTCTAGGTGTATTATATCATATGATTAGACCCAGTCCCCTGGGCCATATTTGCAGTTCTTCGCAAGTGTCGGTGTATAATAGCTTCGGCTGGAGAGGACTCTTGTCAATGGTAGAGGAGCTTGGTGTATATTTAGGGCGATATCCAGTTATCTCGCCAGTATTACTACGTGCGCTGCCCCAAGCCCCAGAACGACCTCCCTGGGAGAAATGCCAAGGGCAGTGCGGTTTGTTTCCGTAACAGCAGGCTTGGGCGTACCCTGTTATAAGCTAAACGAGAAAGTCCAGGGGCCTGGGTAGAGAACGTGTGCACCATCGCTAACTCGTCAAATGTTGCCTCACGGGGAGCGTCGACTGATAATGGGTCGGCTTGACCATGGAACATGTCTCGATTCAAACGACATTCATGATCAAAGCTAGCTTCCGATATGGGTAATACCGTTGCAAGAAACTAGTGCTACGTAGCCACAAATTGTATTCCAAATAGTTATCTAAAACCATACTGAATCTCTAGTAGATCTGATGACGCTATTTCCAAAACCACAGACCATCAAGCTTACTGGCATAACATAGGATAGGGGTAAGGGGCGTGGGGGCTGGGTGGAAGGAGGTTATGATTACACCAGCCTACGTGGTTATTATCTCTATGTTATTAGGTAGTCCACGATCGCAACTCTAAGCCTTTTTATACCAAATACAACTCAAGGAAAAGCCTGGTAAAAAGGAGATATAAGTACACGTTATCCCCAAGTCTCTATTTAGAAGCACGAGGTAGAAATTAGAGATGATGTAACGTAGTCTCCTATTTGTGAACTGGCAGCCGTGCGAAGTTCCTCTCCCACAGAGACAACATAGCGAGCGGGGCGGGCGTGGGAAGCCCAACGGAGCCCAACATGACACAAGACCATCATGGCTACTTTTCTCTTTGTCGTGTCATCACGAGCCTGCGGTCGAAATCTACGGCCGGTGGCGTAGGCCAGGGAATGTTCAGACAAGCAGGACTTGTAACACTAGTCTAGAGGCATCAGTCCGTAATGTCGGCTAAGTATCGTGGGTTGGATAAGACACCGACATCATAATAATAAACACGAAGCATGGTGGAACGGAGGATACAGTCCCAGCGGATTCAGTAAGCTATTAGAAATGAGACGGCGGGCCTAAGCGAGTAGTAACACCTAGCGGACTGGTACGCCATGCGAGCTCGAGGCGTTGCGCGGCGGCGGCCAGAGTGGCCAGCCAGGCTAGTTTTCATAGTAAGCCGACGGGACTAGGTTCAAGGTCAACACAATCGACGGTTCAAGGCCCCGACAGGGCCAATTATGGGGGAGCGGCAGACAGCCCCGATCAGGACACGATGTGTGAGTGGGCGCGGACGGTTGACGCTGCCGTTCAGCATACGTGGATCAATGGGATGGGATCGTAGCTAGCGTCCTGCTCACCTCGCTGTCGCCCACACGGCAAAGCCCACCCACCCGGCCTCTGCGACTACGGGAGCTACTACTGCATCGGGGATATAACCACCAGGTCTAGACAGAGCGTGATAAGGGAATCACGAGCCGGGGCCCGCAGGGGAGCCTACGAGGCGAGACAAGCTATGCAGCGGCTAGCCGGGTCTCCAGGCTTCCAGAAGCTCTAGACCAATATGTACAGATGTATAGATGGCGCGGCGGTGACGTCGAGGAAGAACACATAGATCTCGGCGCGATTTAGCCTACGGCACACCATAGCCCAGCCAAGCACATCAGCATATCCCACCTCTCGCCCTCCCACCTGCTAGCTCCCAAGCGCCCAGCCGCCTAGCATAGCGTAGGTGTTAGTCAGCGCCCCCTCCCGTGCGGCGCCAGGGCTTACGCCTCGCGAGTCGCGGAGCGGCAGCCGTCCCTTGCATCCGCGCGGCGCAGCGCGGCGCGGTGCCATCCAGGCGGATAGAGCCTCCCCCCTCGGCGTCATGGACAGATTGGTACGGAGAAGAGAAAGCGGGAGAAGAGCCGGAATAAGGGGCTAAGAGTACAGAGGCGGTGATGTTAGGCAGCGCGAGTACCTTCTGCCCTCGTGCCTCTCCAGCGGACCGCGGTCTCGAGAACATGGTTCACGTGCGAGAAGCGGCGCACACGGCCCCTTCCCCTATCAGATGCCGACAGTTGCCCGCGGACCAAAAAGAGGCGGCAGAGGACGACGAACATGAAGACGGACTGACACCTCTTGGGGTGGGCATATGTAGCGAGGCAGGCAAGTAGGAAACCCCTTGTCCCTGCCGCGCATGTGATTCTCTCGTCCGTCGTCAGCAGGCTCTTCTTTGTCCCGGGGACGCAAGCCGTTGTTTGTTAGGTATGCCTGGACGCAATCACGCCTCCTGGCAAGCTTGCGTAGCAGGCAGGCCCGCTGGCAGACCAGGGGGCCGGGTGGAGGAGAAGGGGCGGCCAGTAGCGGCGGCGGCGGCGGCGGCAGTGGTGGTGGTGGTGGTGGTGGCGGCGGCGTCCGCCGCGCTCGCGATCCTACTCTACTCAACGAGCCGCCTCGCGAGGGTGGGGAGTGGAGAGGAGGGGAGGAAGAGCTGCGCGAGAGAGAGAGGGAGAGAGGGTCCCTCCCGGTCCACTGCCAGTATTGTACCTACATACCTTAGGTAGGTATGTATGTTTGCAAGAGGCAGCCGAGGGATCCCGCAACTTAGGTATGGAGACCAAGGCAATAATACAACGGCCTACTCATATAAGTAAGAGGTCGAGTAAGGGACTGGGGCCAGAGCCGGTGCTGGGACCGGGACCGGGGCCAGGACTAGGTCGGTAGAGAGGTAGGGGTCGGCGTTCGCGAGCAGGGACAGGGGATGGGATGGCGGTTTGACAGGGACGCTGAAGGGTGAAGAGTTTTTCTCGTCCTTCTGAACGAAGCACGGCGAAGAAAGAAGAAGAAGAACAAGAAGAAAACTCTGCAGGGAATCCGCAGACAACCGAGATCCATCTCACGAAAACAAAACGGCAGAGCCCTCGTCGCTCTCGACGGGAGAGACTGCCAGGGCTCACCCCCCCGCCAGCCAGCCAGCTGTGCTGAATTGCTAATCTCTCTCTCTCTTCCTCTCTCTCTTTCTCGCCTCCTACCCATGTCCGGACTGCTGAACGCGGTAAGGTGGACGGCTTACGATGCCTTCCCATCCCACCTCGCTATTCCATCCCACCTAGCTTACGTAGCTAGGTAGCTTAGCGGCCCTGTCCCCTGCCCCGGCCAGGCCGCCGCTCCATGGCCCTCTCTCTCGCTCTCCCTTACCTTGCCTTACCTCGGGCGGCCGACGACCTTCACCACGTTAGGTAGGTAGGTATGTACAGGCTATGTACGCACTTATCTACCATCCTGCTGGTATCCACCGTCAAGCGTCGGCTACTGTGTCCTCGCTCTACCTGCCTGCCTGTCTACCGAAGAGAGAACCCACCCGGCTCCCGACGTCGCGTTACGTGGTTATGTGGGCTGCCACGGAGACAATGCCGCAACGAGGTTACAACGTCGCCCGCTAGGTCCCTTCGAATGCTCCCAATGTAGGTACCCACGGCATTCGCGCTGATAAGTCATTTTTCATCCTTTCTTTCTCTCTCCACCTCTTTCTCTCTCTCTCTCTCTTCCGCCCCCCTCCCTTTTTTGTTGTAGTCGTCATGCATACGTACTCATATATATATACCGAAGCAAAATACCGGATCTTCTCCATGCACAATGCGATGCGATGCGATGCGCCGCGCGCACGGATGATCGACCAACCGGAAGGACACCCCCCGCGCCGTCCGGCCGGGGCCTCCAAAGCTGGGCCTAGACATGCGCAGATGGGTTCGACGGATACGTACCGTGTACATAGCGAGAGGAGGTCTGGCTACGACTTGCTCTTTTCGCTTGTTTCATCTCTTATCTATGGGCCGGGGGCTGTGGGCCGGGGGTTGTCGAGGGGAAGTGAAGGGGGGGGAGGGGGCTATGCGTGTCGCCGTGCATGTATGTTTGTATGAGGGTGTCGACGTGTGGGAATGTATACGTGTGAACGCGGGGGTTGGGACGAAAGATGGATGGATGGATGGATGTAGGCATGCCTTCTAGACAGATCGTAGATGCAGAGTAGGTATGCGTACGGGCTGGGCACGGAGAGCAACGCTCGGCAGGGGATCCGAACATGAGAGGAGCGTGTCAGCAGCTAGGATGGAACTAGGTCGTATAATAGGTGCCGGCGCTAACGATGGTGGCGGCGGCGGCGACGACGACGACGAACGAACGAGCCCGTACTACGTAGATGATCTTAACCTTAACGGCCTGCTTATCCTGGTGGTGATCTCCGATTCGGGTGTCACGCAATCTCGCGCCTTATCCGACATCAACCTAAGCAAGGGAGTGGGATCTGAGGCTGGGATTATTCACCACCAGATAGCGGCATCGATGGCTTGCCGGCGAGATCTGTAATGAGTTTGTCATCCGTCTACGGTCGACGGAGGTCCCGTCGGCGTTCATGTTGCGCCCCATCCTATCGCTCGTCCTGTCGCTCCTTACCAATACGGCATGTGAATCTAGGCGATGCAGAGGATTTACGGGGGTGGACGATGGAGGCGGGGATCGAAGATAACGATGCAATGGCGTGCTCGCGCTCACTCGCTCTGTGGATGGGCCCGCATCTCTCTCGACGAGTGGCGAGCTTGGGAGGCCGAATCGCCTATTCGACGTGAGTACGAGAGCGAGAAGTAAACGACGAGTATCGACAGTGGACCGCGAGGTGTCTCGGCCAGATAGGTCATGTTCTACTCAGATGGCATATGGGCTCGAGATTTGGAATATTATGTTGATGTGGATCTAGGCTGGTGACCCCCGAGCCTGACTCAGGGCACACTCTCCTGGAACCCGAGAAGTTTCTAGTTATCGATGCAGGCAAATAAAAAAAACTGACATGTGCCAACAACGCCGGTTACCACCACCAAGGGTGACTAGGGCCCTGATGCATATTACATAGGGGCGGAATTTTCTTCTAACTCGTAATGCTCGTGACCGCGTAACTACTACTACCAACCGAACTGCTCGCAGTGGACCTCGACGCCAGGCCCGTTGACGCTGATGCAGCTAGCTGCGACATTTCGGACAACCGTAGTCAAGCTGTCGGGCCCGCAGGCAGCAATCAGAACCCGCTGGTTCTTCGTAAGGGACTGCACCGCGTTCTTTATCTCCGTCTCAGTGTCGGGCCTCCCGGCGATAATAGGCAAGTCGACCACGCTCGACGTAGATGACGCGACTTCGGAGCGCTGCCCCATGTCTCTCTCCTCCTTGTCGGAATCGTATCGGGTGGCGGTCGACGATGCCGCAGCGCTGAAAGTAGGGTATTCGGAGTCCGTTCCCCTCTCGAGGCCCGACTTAGAAATGACTTCCGTCAATGTACCCGCGCCCGGGGCACGCTCGGCATCTTCCAGTGTGTTTGAAGACGCCGCAGGCTCAAAGTTTGTGATATGTACCTTGAGAGCGACTTTCGGGGCGTGAGTGTGAGACCGAAGGTTGCTAAGGTGCTGGGTAAACCAGGTCAAATTATCTACGTGTATGTTAGTGTGATCGGAAATTCCGAGACGGGCAAGTGTTGGCGCCTACCGTGCTTCTTAACCGCCCATATGAAGTCGATGCGTTGTTGAGAATCCTCTGTCATCCGCCCGAGCATGTCCGCCGCCATGCCAAATGTGAAGGTTGCACCCGAGCCGCCTGCCACCAACACTACTTTATCGTACTCCAAAGGATCAGGTATTGTGCCGTACGGACCTTCGACTGAGACCTTCAGGTCTGCTGCCGGGTTCTCCAGGGCGTATTTGTGAAGGTCGCGCGTGAATCCGCTGTATGTATTTATTACGAGTTCCATCGGGTTACTAGACACGATGGTGAAGGGGTGAGTTTCGAAGGCGCGAATTCTCGGCAGCCAGACGTAGCAGTGCTTGCCAGGCCGGGCACGGAGGAGAGGTTTCTTGAGCACGATCCTCGTACCGCCGTTCGGGAGCGCGTAGACGTTGGCCTCGTTGTTGACGCTGTTGTAGACGAGTCGACAGAGCCGGATGAGGCGATCCCCGAACCATAGGGCGCCGAGGACCACGACGGCGTACAGCCCCTGATCGTGTTCAAAGCTGGGGCGGTGCAAGCCCAAAGTGACAGCGATGACGATGAAAAGCACGACGTGTACAATGTAGAAAAGTTCGTAGTTGAAACGCCTCAGAATCATGCCAGCTAAGACCGAGAAGAGCAAGGCAAACCCCAGAACAATACCCGCCGTGACGACGTCCTCGTGAAGGACCTCAACCCTCCCGCCATTGATAAAGTAGGCCGAGTAGATGCAGCCGTGCAATATGGTGTAAATAAGTGTCGTGTACCCGGATATCTGATGCAAGACATTTAGTCGCTCGTACGAGTATGCCGTTAGAATGGCCAATGGGGTATTCTTCAGAGCTAAGAACACGACTAAGACCATGTTTGCGGTCGCCATCCTAGAATATCGTACATCAGCACAGCAAGTTAAAAAGAACAAGCATCATTACGAGAACGCACCAGCCGAAACGGGAGCACAGATCGGTGGGCCTGCTGTGGTCTATGCGATAGAGGCTGAAGACGAGGTTTAGAGCCACGTAGGTAACCACAAGGAGAGCATGTCCAGTGGAAGTGAAGCCGGGTAGATGTCGTACGAAGATTCTTCGAGCCGCCCTAGGAGAACGTTAGACCATGCATCCTCTCCTCCTTCGCCCTCATCCCCTTCAGCGTGCTCACCTTGTTGTGGCAATCAAGGGCAACAAAAGCACGTTCCGCGAGCGAGTCAAACCGAATCGGACAGCTACATGACGGAATATGTGGGTAAGGATGAAGACGCCTATGAGAGCGCTGACCGATACTGCGTATAGGATCGTTGCTTCGACGTTTATCTTCTGCCGTGCTACCAACCAGGCCCTTCTGCCTCCGGTGGCGGCTTCTGTTACCGATGCCATCGGTGCCAGACTTGTAGATGTCGATGCCATAACGGTCTATGTAGGCGATAGGTATATCGCTACGGTTATGTTGAACCCCAGGAAGTTAACTGAGGGCGAGCCTGGGTCTTATAGGCAACTGCGTGATGGTGAGCTACCTATCTGTAGAGGGACCAGGGGGCCTGAGATATTGTGGTAAGCTTCGACAACTAGACACAGCGGGACCGAGGACATAAGTGTCAAGTGAGGATGGACTGCTATTGATATAGGGCAGGTTGTCGAGGAATGACGTGAACCAAGCAGCTCGTCCGCAGGTAGGGGGGGTTAAAGGGGGGGGAAGCAGACGTATTCCGTTGACTGATGAAGTCTCTATGTGAGGGAAAGCAAGATAGGATTGAATGGATGCCCTCACCCTAGACCTTCCTGAACCGTGTTGCTTGGCTAAACGCGTGCCCGAGTAGTCTTGTTCCGCGAGACTCATATAACTAGGTATATAAGACCTCAGGTAGATGAGTCCCTAGCCCTAAAGGGGAAATATCTGATATGCCATGGGGCTAACCCGGCCCATAAGGTCAGGCATCACGATTTAACACTACATGCATTGCCAGTCCCATCGCGGAGTCATGTTACAAGCCAGCACCCAGGCCCGTTACGATTGCGAGGGGGACGGGGGCGGAGTAACACCAACACCATCTCAGCAAGGCCGAGCATACTTAGTATGGCAGGGTCCGGAGGTAGGGCCGTCGAACGGAAAGCCTGTGACGAGACATCGTTGCAGTCCCAGCGGGAGAGAAGAGGAGGAGGTAGATCAAGCAAGGGTTCGCCTGTGTGGGAGGGTGACATGGCTGCAGGCTACTTGCATGTCGAGCCCAAGCAGACGGAGCTGTGGAGCAGACTGGATTGAGAGGCAGGCGGGCATATTTGTTGGGGGCATGGGGACGAGGGCAGGCGACGTTCTGGATCTTCATAGCGGCGGGTGTCCGTATCGAAGTCGCGGCGGTGGTGGGTGAGGGTTGGAAAGGAGGGTGAGCGTAGTGGTAGGACGTTGTTAAAGGAGAGAGTAAGAGAGGGCATCACATGGAGACCCCTGAGCGCTGGGGTACGTATCCCCTTCCGGTAGATGCCCCATTCAGAGTGAAGCGAAAAGAAAGTCCGAGATGGGATCTCAGTGGTGGATAGCCCTGGGACAGGAGCGAGGTGGCCCGCAACAACCAATGCCCGCTCCGTCTCGCCAATCGAATATCGCGCCTAAGTCCATGAGGCGGTGCTGCCTATACTGCTTAATTACGCAGAGCTAGTGTATACAAGCATAGATATGCGGGTAGTGGTGCTGTACGTAGTTAACGAGCCTGCGCTATTCGTCCCGTCCCTATCTTGATTTCCTCCCCAATTCCTCCTCCTTCGATATTTTTTCCCTTCCTTACAACAATCCTTGTCCGGCGACTCCAAACTAGCCTTGTTCAGCGCTCGCTGGCAATATGGATAAACTCGACCGTATTCTGATGCCATGTCCGCACCCCATACTCGGATGCAGCAGCACCGCTTACGAGTTGTTGGCCCGATTAGGTCGTGGATAACGCACTCTCCTACCCCTCCGCCAGTCGAGGCGTGGGGATTCTCCGTGACCCTGTAGACTGCGACGCCCGTTTCTCTACCACCTACCGGCGTTTCTCGACCGAGTCCGCTGCAGGAGACGAGCTACGATCTTCCTCACACTCGACGGCAGAATGATCTCGTCCAAATTTCGTAAACTGAGACTCGGAGCGCTAGGCTGTCGATCGCCAAACCATAATGGCAATGGAGGTGGTGCGCTATTGTCGTCTACAAACCCTTGGGCCGGGCAGTGAGAGCTTAAGAGTAATTCCAGAACTTAAACAATTCCGGGTGGATCGGGGACAAGAGTTTGTGGTATCGGGGATGCTCGGCAGGGTTAGGCGTCCCTCCGTCGTTCGCACTATGAAGGATACGGCTGCGCGGGTATGGCTCTCCGCGGTCACGGCGGACGCAGAGAGAGAGAGAAAGAGAGAGAGAGAGAGAGAGGCAATCCGCTATCTTCCCGGTATTCGCCCTGGCTGCGCTGCGTGATATTCTCCGCGTCCCCCGTCGTGCTGAGGACCGGGTGGCTGGACTCCCCGAATGTCTGCTGCGTCGCGCTTAGATCGGCCGACTTTGATGTCATCTAGGCCCAGACGATTGGGTTTAGACGCGGATGCGTAATATGCCTCACCTTACCTTCCCTATTCTCACGATGATTTCTAAGGCGAGCCGAGCCTGTGTCAGCGACATGTCAGCATAGGTGGGAGCTGCAGCCTCGATGGCATCACAACGGTGACCGCCGAGAGGCCCAGGAAATGCAGCCACATCCCGACATCGTGGCTAAAGGATCGTGCGTCGAGATTGGTGAGGGAGGACTCGACTCGACGCCACCACCGGCAGGGCCCTGCTGTGAAGCCTCTACTAGCTGGAGAAGCGACCCCTTTAGCCATGTTACATCCAGGCGACGCCCCTGGTCATTGTCAATCTCGCAGAAGATACGACGGCTTGAATACAGAAGCTTGTTTCTAACCTTGGCGCATACAAGCTTATTTCTTTAGTCAGCGTGCGATACGATATCTGCTACTTGTAGGCACCCATCGCCCATGAGAACGGCGCAATCGAGGCCTCAGATTCCTCAACCTCTGGGCTTCTAGCACGCCATATCACCACATTCATTTTATCAATTATTTTACTCCTTCTTGTCTGGCTCCTTTCCATGGCGAAAGCCTATTTACCTTCCCATTCCATCGAATTCGGCGCGGATGTGGCCCTATGCCGGCACATACAGGGGAGGAACACGATCTCGCCGAGAGGAAACCTTGAGGCTCTCTCTACGTCAAGAATATTTGCTGCGCATCGCAGGATTGTTCCCACCGCACTGCTTAACGATGCCACCCTAGGCTCCAGGGCGGCCCCTCGGCGAATTGCCTTGCAGCTCCATACAAATCTACCTTCTGCGTGCGCCGACAAGGGCCGGAGCAGAGGGGTCATTGGTGATCGTCATGCGTGCAAACAAAAAAAAAAAACAAACAAAAACCCCTGTAACGACATGGCAAAACGAGCCCGCTATTAATCGGTTTATCGGATACTGGTAGATGGTATTATATTGTCCTGTTACGTCCACATGGTGTTTTCGAGGCTCCCGGCTACAGATCTGGCGCCGAGGCACCGCAAAATGATGATCTCTCTGGGAGACAAGCCGAGGATGGCTGTAGGCACAATTGAAACGACCGGTCACCGCTGGAGACACTTGTCGCTCGATACTATCTTTGCTCTTTCGTAAAACATTCCCAACCCCACAGTCTGACAATAGCTTGGTGATGTTGACGACCGACATAAAATAATTTCGGCCTCGAGTCCTGGTACCTAGATAGCAGCCGCGATACCTCATTAAGCATCCGTTGGCCATTCTGCCGACACCATGGAACCCAAGCTGTTACCTATCCACCTGAGCGCGCTGCTCAACAAGCCTATGAAGTCGGCGCCGCTCGGTTTCTGGGAGAGTTGTGGTGTCCTCAGCCGTGGCTCACCGGCTCACCGACGAGATCTTTCCGGCTACCCTCGAGTTGTCGCATTCTCAGCTTCTGTCACGCTATACCTACAAATGTACTTGGTGGGTATAACTACCGCCACCCAGTGGTATTAGGCTCGTCGGCGTGATGCCAAGTTTCCTGGGGACACGCCTAGGTCTATTTATCCTCGCTACGACGTATGACTTCGGTTGAGCGCGCGCCGCCAATTCATTTCCAGTAATTAATTGACTACGAGGGCCAGTGGACGGGTCGCATCGAAGCCCCAGATACTCGCTTGACTCCCTAGGAGCCCGCCATATTCTGCCGAGCGAGCGAGTCTGGGGAATCCTTGGCCAGATAATATCCATTGCAGCTCGTTTCCCCAGATTATTATCTGCAGTCCTTATACACGCCTACTTACGAGAGTCCTCCTCTCCGGCCCGCGGTTCGCTTCGCTGGACGCCGTTTAATCGCGGCAGTTACTGTCGCACCCGGCATGTCTGCGACGCAAGGCGCGGCTGCACGTGCGCTCACGACAAGTGCTCGGCTCCCTTCTCCTGGTTGTGATTGATCGCCCGCGGTCGGGGTAGCACGACAGTGCGGACTGTATGTCGGCAATATATTTCGACTCGGGCCGGAAGGGGTGGGGAAGCGTGCCATGGCGCTTGGATCATGGAAAGAAATGTGAGGGAAAGGGAGCTAGGAAATCCGACTTCGTGAGTATTCTATTACAAGACTGTTCTAGGAGTTCGTCGAGACTAACAATAGCGATGCTATTGACGCCCAACCCGATGCTTGGAGAGGGAATACGCCCAAGCCGGTCCAAAGGAGTCGGCTCTACGATCAGGACGGTCTACGTGCGTGGGAAAATATGGCTATTGCCCCGTTTACCCATGCATGAATCCCTTCTTCTCCAACGTCGGGAGAGGCTGGCCTACCAAGACTAGCGGAACGCCCCGGCCGGACTTTTGAGATTAACCAGCGTATTATACCTATGTCTCTTACTAGGCTAGCTGCAGATACATTGCAGTGTGTGCGCGGCAGAGGCAGATGACAAGCGGTAAGTATGCGAGGATGACGGAGTGAGGTTTGATGACAGCCTCAATCAATCTAGACGCGCTACCTCGCTAAAGGTGTCTGCGGCTAATCGCGCTTGCGGAAATTAACAACGGGTGTATGTCGCCTATTATGTACACGATGACGATGATTATGATTACGGTGGTGGTGGTGGTGGTGGTGGTGGTGGTGGTGGTGGTGGTGAATACGCTGCTATAACTCCTTCTTTCTCGTCAATCATCTGCAACCATAATCAAGTGCCGCCACGAAGATTGTGCGTACACATCAGACTAGTAAGGCGACCCAATCTCTAGCAATTTACGTCAATGGCGCGGTTAATTCTCAATAGAATCTTTCTAACGCCGGAGTTAGACTTACGATACGGCATCGAGCTACCGAGCCCGTCCTTGTCTCTATGTCGTCGGCATGAAGGTATCATGAGTCTGACTACCAAAATAGCTGGATCGACAAGGCATTATTCGAGGACAGCCTCTGGAAACCAACTCGGACACTAACGTGCCACTCAGACACCACAATAGATCGGGCGCCAGGTCATGGGAGCGTAGATATTTATGTCGTCGCCCTAATCGGAATGCAAGTCGTCCAGTTAATCAGGGCGTGCGTTGCTGCCTGAGCCTTGCCCATTCTCTCACCCCTCTTTTCCCCCTATTGCACTCGTGATCCTGGTCCGGCGGACGTGTATCACCCAATTTGCGATGCAACTTTTCCGGCAGGGTAAACGAGGCGTGGTACAATCTCGCCGTAAGGTGTCTTGCGAGCATCTACTTCCTTAGCATCAATATGCCCGAAATTGAGGAGCTAGATCGACTTCTCCAACGCCAACGCCGAGAACACGCCGGCAGTGGCGCCTCACCAACAGGGCACAGCGATCGTGCCAGTCCATGGCAGATCCTACGACGACCGCAGTGCCAGTGGGGATCAAGACTATTTTGGCCTACGCCGAGAGTTTGCGGGCCTACATGATCCTGTCGATGCTGGCCGCCCTTTCTATCGTGTCTAATACCATCGTAGGAAACATCGTACGATTCTCACCTTGCCATTTAGACGGGTAATGTGCGACTACCATGATATCCCCTATTCCCAAGTGGGATGCGCGAGTGAACCAAGGGCACGTCAGGTCTAGTTGCATATTTTTCGTTCTCATCACCATGAGTAGTGATACAGAGTATCCCCTGGAAGTACCGCCGCCTCCCTAGCGTACCGAAGTCGCGGATTCAAGACGAGCGGACGGCAGAAAAATATTTCGACTAGTTGTGTGGCAAAGTTAGTGTCACTGGGTGCGGTGCTGGTTTTTGAAGCCCATCTTTCTCGCTCCAAGTGTGAGGAGTATCCATAACCTCCATCAAGAGCAGACCTAAATCAGACAGGTTTACAAGTCGACAGCCTCCAGGCTGGCCACCGCCACACCGCTACGACAACAGGAAAGTTACCTTGATGTCCGTATTTACCAGACAAGAGTGCTAGGCGTTATAGGTTGTGGCGATTATTTGTCTCTCTTGAGTCATAACATCTTCTTGTGCCCCGGGGACTCAGTACGATGACGAGTGGCGACGGCCATCATGTCGAAGTCTCCTCGGCTGTTCATCACTCAAGGTCCCCTGGGGGCACAGGCAGCGCGAACTGACGCCGATATACTTAGTGTTTGACCGCAGGCCCGTCCCCATAGCTAGTATTACGTCGATCGCCGCCGACTCCTATGAGTTTCTCGATCGGATGGAAGTAATGACTCCAGTTTTAAACACGCTATCGGGAGTGGCGCTACGTCGAATGAAGGAGAGGCTCGATTCCCGGTCGCCTGCCACCACGCGTAGCCGGAGCGGCAGTAACGTGCTTCCCACACGAATAGCTCTAAAGTGAAAAGACGGTCCGGGGTCTATAGACGTAGGAGTGTGTGTAGCTTCTTGGGGCGAACCATCATCGACTTATGCCAGAGGTATTCTTCTTAACTACCTTCTCCTCAAAACGAATAGGGGCAAACAAAAACGGTCCCTTGAGAGAGCCCGGGTCGAACCGAGTCGTACTTACTAGATATATTGTCTGCTTGGTCATATAAACCCTCTTCTCTTCCCGGTACCACTCCGGCTAGAGGGACAGTAGTTGCTATGCTGTTATTTCCGCACATAGTAAGTAGGTGGTTACGCGTTTGTGGGACGGCTCGGGGATTCTAGTGTCATACTATGAAGTTGCTGCGCAGACTGATTCCCGGACACTTACTTCCTACATAAGACTGATCTACTCTCGAAGGACTAAACACGCACAAGGCCCTGCTCTATAAAGTATTGTTGTGTAAGCGTGGGTAGGTGAACTAGAAAGGCAAAAGGGTCGCAACGCTGGTTAGATCCTACAATAAACCCCCAATGTAACGAGTTCCCATCAAATATATGAGCAAAATCAAGGGTATTTTATCTGTTGAATTCCTGCAGCCACTACATCTCGTTACCTAACTCTTAAAACACCCCTAAACGTTCAGAAAATTCACCACAACCCTTCTGTGACGCTTTGCTGGGGCCGCACCCTCGGAAGCACCTCGATGCTGAGGTACTTTGCGCGGACGTCGTGTACGGCGTCGCGGGTGCGGCGGTCGGTGCAGCTGTCGGCGATGGTGTTGAGGGCGATGTCGGCGCCGAAGATGAGGTCGAGGAAGCCGCGGCGCTGGTCGCGGTACATCACGGTTTTCTCGTCAGCGCGGCGGTCGACCTCGACCTCGTCGACGATGCGGACCTGGCGGCGTAGCTCGAGGTTGATCTCGGCGTCGGTCTTGCGGGAGTCGCGCTCGCTCTCGAGCGCGTGCACCCGCGTCCGCGCATCCGCCAGCTCCCGCCTCGTCCGCGCCATCTCCCCCAGGACCCGCACACTCGCCAGCCGCAGCTCTAGCTGGTCCTCTGGCTGCTTCTCCAGGTGCTCCCACAGGTGCGCCAGCGCCTCGCTTGCGCTCACCCCCCGCCCGTCGAACCCCAGGTACGAGTAGAAGGTGGACACGTCCTCCTGCAGCTCGCCCATCGCCCGTCGCGTCGCTTCAACCAGGTCCCAGAACTCCCGGAGCCCCTCCCTATTCCCTACTCGCTCGGCCAGCAGGTCTCTTAGCCTGCTGCACTCTCGTTCTGACGCCTCTAACTTACCTCGGAGCGTACCGTCGTCACCTCGTTTTTTATCTCCCGCCTCCGGCTTGCCTCTGTCACCTCGGGCCTTACCAGTGACCTGGTCCCTCAACCTGCGGTTTTCCTGCTTGAGCGCGTCCAACTCGCTCCGAAGGTCACTAGTAGCACCGTTCAGGCTCCGGGACTGTTCCGCTAGCTGATCTGTCAGTCTGGCGTTTTCCCGCTTCAGGGCACCTACCTCTTCCAAAAGCGCACTGGACTCGTCTTCGGACCTCTGCAGTTGTTCCAATTTTTGCTTGAATAGGGTGAGCTTTTCAACGAGCTTCTTTTCTTCCGTATCCATGGCAACTCGAAGTTCCTCCTCCCTAGCTTCGGCTTCCGCGGCCTGTTTCTTGTAAAGCTCTTCGGTCTCTGACGATATGCGCGCGGCCTCGTCGGCAGCTCTGACCTCAGATTCCAGCCTCTCGAGCTCGTCCCGGAGTCGAGTATGGTTCGCCCTGCATCCATCGAGGTCGTTTTGTAAATGCGTGTTTTTCTCCCTCGCCTGGTGGAGTTCCGCTTTGATGGCTTTTCTCTCCTCACCATCGTGGCCAGACGTCGGATCCTCGAGCTCGCGAATCTCGCTCTTAAATTTCTCCTCCATTTCATTCAGGAACTGCTGGTTTCTAGCCTCAAGGTCGGCTTTTATCGCTTCCTCTCTCTTAGCCTGACGGCCCATCGCCTTCGCAACAAAGCAGATAACTCGCTCATTCTCGGCGACGAGACGATTGAACCACGCAATCGGGACTGTTTCCTTTCCCTGTAGCTCATTCTTGATGCCCTCCAGCCACTCCATGCTACGAAGCCGGATCTTTTTCGATATGATTTTCTCGCGTTGCTCCGGGGTAGCCTTGTATCCCTTGATCTGCTCCCAATTTGCAATCGCCCGTTCTGCCTCTTCGGCTACGTCTTCCATAAAACTCTCGTTGGCTAGATACCCCAGCCCTTGGCTTTCTTCGTAGTGCCCTAGGAACTCGTGGTTGTCCTCAGTGTCAAAATCGGGGTCAGGCAAAGAGAGTAGACGGTGGGTCCCTGGCTCATGTCCAGACCCATCGTCTTCCGACGGCAGTATTAGTCCGTCGTAGGCTTCTTGGCTAGAGGATGAGCCCAATGGCTCTTGAGGATCCGTAATGGGCACATTTACCCAATCGCTATCGCTGGAGTTCCGTTCTTCACCTAAAGGCTCACTTACATTGGACGGACGATCGTCGGTGGCCATTGTGTCCTATGTCAGATCTGGTACAATTCTAGCTAGGTAATATCCAATAGCGTCAGAAGATTGTACTCGGTATGGGAGTCCAAGCGAGAGCTGTGTAGTGCCTGCGGTGGGTTATGTTGCCGTCGGCCGTGTTTGGTGTGTCTAAAGTGTGCTTATAGAATTCCACGACACGAAACTCCTCCAGCTTATATATTCCCAGATACCAACCACTAGCACGAAGAGGTTGATATGAGGCATAGCTTGAAACATCTGTACAATGAATGATCCATCGCTAATATGACACGTAGGAAGTGTATTCCCACAGACTTGAGACTGCGGTTTGGAGAACTGAAGATGTTATTGATGCAACTCTTACGAACATCAATGGCATTGTGCTATCGCTTTATTGAAGGCTAAAGGAACATACAACAGGCAAAGGAGACTGTGTTTTAGACTTAATTATTACAGGAAAGACTACAAAGAAACGGCAGTGAAGAAAGTTAAGGACAAGGCGGTAAATTAAGACATTCAGACACCATATGTCTAAGTATCTCGTCCCCGTAGATAAGATCTCGATCCTTCTAGATCACCTGTCCTTTTCGCAATTATTCTACTGTGTCTACTCTCTTCTAAGTTACCACTTATATTAGAACACAGTGTGGGAAAGGAGTATCAAGGCTTTCATCTCACATGTGATTTCCTTTATCGGCGTCATACTTCTACAAATGAAGTCTTTCCAATTCAACTATTTCAATGAGAAATCTCCTCAACACAACACAGACCGTGACCTATCATCCCAGATGGTGTTGGTCCAAGTGATCAAAGCGTAAAGGTTATGAGAGGATGCCGTATCGACAAATCAGTCCCTCAATCAGGATGCCCAAAACTAAGGTACCTTACCGAGAAGTGCGCAGACCATTGAAGGAGGCCTACCCACAAGCGACAACAAGGCGGCAGCCTGTGAAAGGAAATAGTCCTGTAAGCTTGTATTTTGTTATGACAACTTAATTTACAATGAAGCTATATCAGAATTACACACGTTAGGACGGCATAAGCAATGTAAGCGCTTGTGAGTCATTCCTCACTGTCTCGGGTATACTTGCCATCAGTGATATTACATACATACACGCTGCGGACACCTTTCTTAGCGCCTCTTTGTGATGATCGACATGACACCTGACGCAAGGGATAGGCTGTTGGCCTTGGCACAGCCTCCAAATACAGGTAGGCAGTGGTGGTGAGAAGCCCCCAGTGGGCTACGGGTTTATCTCCGTCACCTAGACCCAAGAGGTAACATATGTCCCTTAATTCTTGCCTCCATGTTAGTGGCGATATATATAGCTTTATGGCGCTTTATCCAGTGACTAGATCGCTGACATTTCCACATCCTAATCGGTCCCGGCGGGAAGGCAAAAGCGAGAACGGGGGAAGTTTTCCGAGCCCTTAGCCAGATAAGCCCGCGTTGTCAACCCCTAAGCGCTTCACAGAAGATATCATTTATCACAAGCACTGGATACAATTATAACTACGGGTGGCGGAACTTTTCAGGCGATCGTTACCCCTTTCCCCTTATCGTTAGGTGTTAACGAACCGTTTTGTCACACCAACATACACAGGTATCGCTCAGATGATATTCGTTGCAGAAAGGAAAATCAATCTCGTGGAGTACCTTACCAGGACGAGAGGCAGAGTCTACCGGGTCGGTTGGGAACATACACATACATGGGCGACACATCCAGCGTTATAACATTGTACAGGTAACGGGATTTACTGTCAAGTTTGTCAACCATATGCGAGGCAGATTCCGTAAATGTGCGAGGAATCTAGACACCACCAACGGTATCACCCTCGGTGACGCCCAATCCACGACTTTCATACAAGCGAAGAAGGTATGTCATGGTCAATCAGGTCATGGAGACGCACACCTAGGCGCCGCTTCGTAGATTAGTTGGTACGCTGCTGAAACTTGAAGAGAAGAACTGTGCTTAAACAGCGCACCGTCGCCACCACGTCTACCTCCACCAGTTGACCTCGTCCATGTTATGAATAGAAATTCTTCCTGGACAAGGGGAGGGCCGGGGGGGGCGTCTTTTGATACGCCGTCAGCAACCCGGCGATAATCCCCGGCGAACAGGACTGCTACTGGATGGTAGATAGACCATTGAATCCCGATCGACGAAGCGTATTGGACTTGCTGTGGTTGTTGAATATGCCTAGGGTCATGGTGTAGCAGACCCAACAGGCCTAGAAGCCAGTACCTGCCTACCTCTTGTACAGAGATAAGTCGAAATTGAGTGGCCAAGTACCATCCTACACGCGGCAGTTCTCTTTGGGGCCCATGACAGCCCTTGGCATAGCACTTCTCGTTAGCACCGTGGTTATCCCTGGGCATGACAGGAATCTCTATGCCCACCCAACACACTGAGTAGAGGAATTTGTATGAGAGCAGACAGAGTTCATTGGAGGGGAGTCAAGATATTATTGCATAACAAAAAGAACCGCCGAAAGTCAAGAAATAACCATTCATTGCCACCTTTTCCCTAACGACCTGGGTGTAGATATCGTGTACTATCGAGACATCATTCATTTGCGAAAAGGGGGAATCTAAATGAGCGAACTACATAGTGAAAATTGCTGAAAATCAACTGTGGCCGAACCAACCCACCGGATATGAACCGTATAGCCTGCGTAAAGAGAGTATGATGAAAAAGCCTCCGACGATAGAGAGTGAGCGCCGTCCATGATATCAAATATGCCGCTTAAATACTTTTCAAATAGCATCGCTCCAACCGCTCAGACCGTACCGCATCAGTCGTATTCAATGGCCCACGACGTAGGTCTACCTTCTTCTAAACCGCTCGCTCGCCGTTTTATATCCCTTATAACCGCGGAGTGTCTTTGCTCACCACAAAGTATCCCTATCCACTAAGCTAGTCCCTGGTTGGGAGGCTTCGGAATGTTGCTTTGGCTGGAAAGGGATGGTGGTCAGGGATCCGATGGCTACCTGGTGGTGGGTTGGGCTATAGCGGACCGGAGGCAGATCGTAAGGAGGCAGTGGGTGTGCATGCCGTAAAGGGAATTCAGGGAGCCTCTGCGCCGGCGCTGCCAACGCCAGCTCGCCTAGGACGCGGCCTGGGAAGAAAGCGAGCAGGGCCAGGATGGCCAGGAGAACCATCAGTCCGTCGAGAATCAGGAATAGCGTCTCGGACCGCGCAACCGAACTGCTATATCCCTCGGCTACAGCGATAATGCGATAGGCTGTCCGAATCACAAGGAGCAAGATCGCGAACGATAGGGCTACACAGCACGGGGTCGAGTTAGCAAAAGCATTTATTACTGAAAAGTCACATAGCAGATCCCACATACCAGACAACAAAGCTTTGAATGAAGCTCCAGTGTATATACCCGCAAATTTGGGGTCGAGAGAATGACGTTTCAAGAGCACCGAAATCGCGAATAACGTCCCGTGGCCAACGAAAATAACCAAGGCGACGAGTTGGATGACGAGTCCCGCAATGAGGACATGAGCGCCTGTATCGACCTGGATATAATGTTAAGTACATCGCCTATCTCTATCGGTCACGTAGAGCAGATCCATTGCCAACTTACCTGTTCGGCGCTCTCTCCGACAGCAGACAAGACACTGCCAGCGACCTCGAGCACGAACGCGGCGGTAATCAGGCCGTAGAAGAAGAGCTGGTACCAGACGGGTCTCCAGGTGCGAAACTCTTCGCCATAAACGACGACAACGCGCGTCGCGGCGAGGAACACAGCGCCACAGATGAGGGTCGGCGCCGTCGTCGTGCCGGTGAGGAAGAGGGCAAACGCGCTCGCCGAGGGGTGGAAGTCGTGGTGTGGTAGTAGTATCACGCGGCCGACGTAGCCGAGCACCTCAAGGGCGAGCCCCGTGGCGACGGCGGTCGCGAAGATTGAGCCCCGGTACTTCACGCCGAGACCTAGCGTGACGGGGATGAGGAGGGCGAAGAGGGCGAGGAAGACGACGTTGCTGGCGAGAGAGGACTCGCTGGTGAAGAAGAGGTGCAGGCAGCGGCCCGGGGTGCAGTCTGAGGAACTATCCATGTTTGCTTGGTTCTGCGTGTCATCGCATGTGCGGACTGATCGATCAGCGGGAGGGCTAGGATGGGATGAAGAAGAACTCGAGAGGACTCAAGGGAGTTAAATTTAGTGAAAATCGGGTCGACTCTACAGATAAAGTGACTCAAGCCGGGAAAAGCCATCGAACCCGAGGGCCTGGCACAGCGCCTTTCTGCGAAGCTCAAGATAGAACAGAGCGAATGGGGTTGGCGAAAGGATAGACCGGGCCGGGATAGACATGCCTCTCCCCCTGGCGAGCCGATGTGGCATCGATGCTCCTCTAGCAAAATACGGTAGAAACCACACATGTGTTAACCCCCCTCGCCCACACGCACACATACACGCACACTGCGCATAGCTTTGACTCAACATCATCGGCCAGGATACCACACAGTACCTACCTCGCGGACGCTTTATTAGGGCTAGTCGGCCCGTGATTATCCGCGCGCCAGCGAGCAGGCCGCGATGTGCTCAGCATACCTACAGAGGAAGAATATTCCCACGGGCTTACAGAGGCAAGACCGGCGTAGACCCTTGTCGCGATGGTCCTGGCTCTGTTTTCCCAGTCCAGGGAGAGCTTCCAGGTTGTCCAATGAGGACAGCGGCAGGGGGCAGACGAGGCGGAGACCGACCCGGCGCTGTGGTTCACCCCGGCGCGCCGTATCGACGACGGCCAACCAGGAAGAGACCCGTGTAGCGGTGCGCGGTAAATAGCAGCACCTATGTGGCGCTGTCACCAGATCGAACCATGTCTGCGCACTTCCTGGTCCCGGAGAGAGAGTATGCGCACAAGTCGCCTAGCGTACGCGTCCCAGAGTCGAGCTTAGACTGTACCCAGGAATTCTGCCACTTCGCTTTAGCTAGAGTATAGCGGAATACAGGCCCACGAAAGCGATGGCTATCGGCCACGCTGCCTAACGGGCGCTCTCTCGCATACTCAGAGGTGGGACATGCTGCCTGCGTGTGCGCTGACCAGGCGTAGGCACAGAGGAGGCGGATCTCCATATTGATCGGTAGGACAGCAACGTCGCATGCTCTCGCCGGCCATGCCTAAGCGGGCGTGACAGGGACAGTGACGGCGATGTTGGATGCGGAGGCGATCATAAATGTAGGTAGATATTATACCTAGCAGAAGGCGATATGGCAGAGTGTTGGGACCAGGGAGGGCGAGAGAGGATGCGGCCGATTATGCGGCCACGATATAGATAGATAGGTAGGTACCTTTCGCTTATCGACGCGTGCCCGGTTGAGCAAGCAGCGGTAAGTGGGGTCCCAACAGGCGCTGCCAGCTGCCTACCCTTGTATCCATCATAAGGGTATATCAGGCACCCGCGGATAACGCCCCGTCGAGTACAATTGCTCAACACCGCCTAACGTAGGTACGTACCTCCTCCTAGCATACTGGAAAGTAGACGGGCAGCCTTCTGCAACCGCACAACAACATTGCCATACCCGGAGACGTCAACAGGGCCTACATATGTTCGGCACCTAAGATTACCAGGCGTGCGACAGCGACCTGTATCTTTTAAGACCTTGGTTCGAATGCAATGCCCTCGCCAGCCGGAAATAGAACGGGCTTTAAACCGCCGAAAAGGCGCTTATTCCTTACATATATTCCTAGATGCGCACCAATCACCAACGACCGTTTCTCTCCCTACATTCCAATATGGTTTAGTCTTTTATTTCTTCGTCTAACCCGATATGGGGCATGACGTAGCGGTGCTAGACCGCCGCCATCTCCATCCTTCTTCCTCCCCTGAACGCCCAGCGAGATCCCCGATCGATCCCGCTTCCATTCCACGCACGGCCTCGCTTTACACGATAACTATGCTTCCTCCACCCACACGCCAGAACCCCAGCGGCATGCCAAGGTAACGTAACCTGGTGCTCTCCTCCGGCCTACGCAGAAGAGCCCTCGAGGCGATGGCCACCGGCTTGCGCCGACACGTCGCCGGCCGTGGCCAGAAGCTGCGTGCGATTCGCGCCCTGTCGCAGCCAGGATGCTGCGCACACACCCATTCGGCTGCGTGGACGAGAAGCTATTCCGCCCAGGGCGACGACCCTAGACTGCGAGAGATACACGACGAATATGCCACCATCAGAGAATGCTACGGTGCGGGCCCCCCTCTTCCTCCCTCTTCGGTCGTCGAACTTAACCCACACCGTCAGCTACCCCGCGGGATCCGGTCGTGCTCGCGCACGGCCTGATGGGCTTCGCCGAGGTCCGGGTCGCCGGGGGATTCCTCCCGACGATCCAGTACTGGCGGGGAATCGCGGACGCGCTGAAGGCGAACGGCGTCAAGGTCATTACGGTCACGGTGCCACCGTGCGGTAGCATCGAGCAGCGAGCTGAAGAGCTCGCGCGCGGCATCGCTGCCGCCGCGCCAGGCCAGCGCGTCAACGTCGTTGCCCACAGCATGGGCGGGCTTGACGCCCGGTATATGATATCGCGGCTGCGTCCGCCCGACGTCAACGTCGGTTCGCTCGTCACCATCGCGTCGCCGCACCGCGGGAGCGCCTTCGCCGACTACGTCTTCGACGAGATCGGGGTTGAGCGGCTGCCCGGCATCTACCGCTTCGTCGAGCGGCTCGGCATGGACACGGGCGCCTTCGAGCAACTGACCCGCGCGTACATGACCCAAGAGTTCAACCCCCGGACGCCCGACCACCCGGACGTCCACTACTTCTCGTACGGCGCCATGATGGACCGGCCGTCGCTGTTCTCTCCGTTCCGCCGCTCGCACAGGATCATCGGCGAGGCCGAGGGCCCCAACGACGGCCTCGTCAGCGTCGAGAGCTCGATATGGGGCACTTATATGGGAACCCTATTTGGCGTCAGCCACTTAGACCTCATCAACTGGACAAACCGCCTCGGGTGGATATTGCGCAAGTGGATGGGACAGGGGCCAACGTGGGTTTTCTTGTTCGACTGTCACCGCCCGTCCCCCCCGACTGATTCGTAAAATAGCTTCAACGCCATCGCATTCTACCTCGATATCACCGACAGGCTTGCCCAAAAGGGCTTCTAGCCTAAGAAGATATAATACATCTCCAGGATGGCTTCTCGTCTAAAATATATACCGGCATGCCGTCAAAGCCCGTCTCTCATAGGCATTTTAGCTAATTACCCCTCGCGAAGAAAATGGAGGCCCTTTTTGGCATCCCGGTTTCGCTAGGCCTTCCTGCTCGGCACTGAGACGCTGGTATATTTACGTCGAAACCTATGTACGGCAGAGCCAACCCCAATAAACAATAAGGGCCCGGTTTATCATCTCTTAGGCGTTAGGCTCTATTACCGTGCATATCCTGCCAAGAATGACAGATGCATGGGAGGGCTATACGGTACCAGCTACCACACGCAGCGCCTATGGAACGCACCCACGCCACTGGTGACGTTCTCTTAACCCGACGGCCTTGGGGATTAACCTAGTGATACACTCCGTGGAATGACCACGGCCCCGGGAATCTTGACCACAAGAGACGATGTCGCTGAAGGCGCCTACTAACCCAAATCCCAACACATATGCGCAAGCCAGGAGCGGCGGCTGCCTCCTCTCCCAAGTCTTGGACTTGTCCGTCTATAGTCTCTCGGGGTCTTCTTGACGCCAGTAGATACGGGGGCCTATTGATAGCCAAGAGATAACAGGCTCAGGCCCGAACGCAAGTACAAAAAGTTTAACCCCCCAAGAAAAAAGAATCAATCATATCATATTCTTCACCTCATGCCAAGGACAGAATAACCACATTCCGATTTCCATCCGCGAGAATGTTTGCACCACGGAAAGCTGAGCAAGTGTCGTCCACCGGCCGGAGGATATAGGGGTCGATGCCACGTCGTGTCGGGTCACGGCGATCCCCTGCTCCCCTGCTCCCCTCCTATGCGTATACATACGACCGACAAATCTAAGGGCTTACGAGGTCCGGAATGCAACAAACACCACTCACCAACGATATGCCGTTCTCCCAACCCCGTCCCGAACTCGCACGCGCGATCAGCTCTTCCTCCTTAGTAACCTGCTTACTTGCAGACAGAGGACTGACGAAATTTTCAAGCTACTGGGCCCTCGGTAACCTTTCCCGTCTTCTCGGCGGCAACGCAGGTCCCCAAGACAGCTCCGCCGGCGCGAGTGACTTGGGCCCGAGAGTCGTGGGCGTCCGTGCGCAAGTGTGTCCGTGTGCCCGCGCGCACGTCGGTCTCGCCGGCGGGTAGCTACCTAATGCCAGCCGTAGTCGTAGTCGTAATCGTAGTAAGGCGTGCCAAGCGGCCAAACAAACGAGCAGTACGCGCCCACTCCCGCGCCTCCCGGAGGAACGGGCGATCGTGAGCCCGGTTAGACGTGCTAACCGTGACGCCCGTAGAGTCGCCCATGTGCTCGCCGGCGAGGGCGGCCGGTGCGCAAGGGGCTCGCGTAGGTACAACCGTGGCATGCTTTCGGCGCTATCTCAAGTGCCGAATGCTCGAGATTACGCGTAGCGTGGGCGCGTAGCCAAGGCAGCAGCAGCAGGAGGGGGGGACGGCGCGGGTCTTGATGTCGCGACGTCGTCCTGTCTATCTACCTCGTGCCTGGCCGACTTCCGCACATAATCGACCGATTACGACGACGGGCAGGTAGACGAAGCGCCATATCGGAGTTGTCTCCACGCCCATGCTGGGCTCTCACGCCGTGCGCAGTCTGGTATAAGTAGTCTGAGAGGGCGCAGCAAACGCCAGAAACTCAAGAATCCACCCACCCCCCCCCCCCTTTACTGTCTACCCGCACTCTTCCTCCCCTCCCCTTCTACCTACCACGCCGCCCACCCTTCCCCTATCGGTATGTGTTTACGTATACCCTCACGTTGTGATTTACTCTCGCGGCGGCAGCTACGACACTAGCACTGCACACGCGTCCCCTATGCCGTCTAAGGAGGCGCTATCTCGCAGCCAAGACGCCGCCGCCCTAGCTTGGACGTTTCCGCTCTCGCGGCCGCGAGTCTGCCAAAGAGGGGAGAGACCAGAGGGGGGAAAAAAAGGAAAAGAAAAAAGAGGGGGGAGGCTAGGGCAAGAAGATGGCATTCATACCGAGTCAGGACCCATCGACGTTTCGCTGAAAAAAAAAGATTGAAAAAAAAAGAGAGAGGCATCTCGGAGACTTGTGGATACACTAGGCCGAGCCTAACTGCCTACCTACCTACGCTCCGAGACGGAGAGAAGAAGAGCTAGGTAACAAGGCCGCAGGCGCTCGGGAGACTACGTCGTCTCCCCCCCCCTCCCCCTTCCCACCCTAGCCTATAATAAGCAGATGGGAGGGCGGCCGGAGTGGATGCTCTCTATGCCCTTCTCGGCACTTCGCCATTCCTTCGCCGAGGAGCATGGAGACGGGTTCGACAGATGTAGGTAGGTATATATCGAGCCCGTGGGCCCTATAGCCTATATGGCTGTAACAAGGTTCGGCATAAGTAGGCTTTCCACCTCTCTAGGAGGGAGGGGGGGAGGAGAGAGAAGGGGGGAGCGCCGCCGCTCAGACTTCGCCTGGTCCGGATCCGGCTGTGTGGTCCTCGGCGACGGGCTCGCCCCCCATTTTTCTGTTCCCTTTTTTTTTAATGGTAATATTTTATCGTGGTATTCTTTTTCTTTCTTTCTCCTTCTCTCTTTATCCTTCTTCTTCTTTTTCTTTTTCCTTGCCTGTCCCCTTTATTCCCTCGCCCACTCGGAGAGAAGCGAGCCACACGTATACCACGTCGTACACATCTCGGACCTACCTGGCCTAACCTCAGGGATCTATGGCATATATGTGTGGATGTACGTACGGCTTATGTGTGACATGCTACCTATCCACTTATGTATGTACGATGTATGTAAGGAGGGTCCCCTCTATCTCTATCTCTCTCTCTCATCGGGAGCGACCCTACCTACTACTTACTACGTAGGTAGGTAGTACATCCTCCCTCCCCTCCCCTCCCGCCCTAATCTTAGCGGCCAGAGCGATTACTACGTCCGAGACGTCGATCCGTAAAGCCGGCCCGTCGGTGTCATCTTCGTCTTCGTCGTCCTCGTTGTCGTCTCGTGCCGTCTCGTCGGGTTAAATAACGCGCTCGTAGGAATATAGGTCGAGGCACGCTAGCGGTTCCGGACGCCCGCACACACCTGCCCACAACGTATAGGTGCCGGCTAAAAGCGCTAGCAACGGGGTCTCGGTGTCGGGTTGCTCATCCCGTTTCTAGAAGGTTACCCGTCAGCCCAGGTTCTCCGTAGGGTGTCGAGCACGCACGACGTACGTAGGTGGCGCCGCGAGAGCCAGGAGGCAAACGTTGCTCGACTTGTTTCATCTAGCGACGACTTCACCTAGCGCGGGATGGGCCGAACTCGGTTTCGCCTACCTACCTTATCCTATCTATAGGCCGCATAATCACGCAGCCTGGAAGGAGACAGATGGGGTGGTCAGTCGGTGAGCCGGATAGCTGGTTGGCCAGCGAGTCGCCTTCGTCGAAGGCCGAGTTACGCTTCGCGTTCTCCTCTCTTGCGGCCTCTCATCGTCTCTCATTGGCACGCAAGCCACGCCTCTCACGAAATACAGGAAACGAATAGGAACAGAGTGGGGTCATATCTTGGGGGGGGGGAAGCTGAGAGGGGGGGGAGGGGATGATCGGTCTGCTCCTCGTGTCCTGCTCCTCGTGTCACTCAAGCGCTCCCGACGCGAGGAGCGATGCTACGCGGGAGTCGCGATAGCCGCCTAGCTTAATATATGTTTAGGCACCACCCGGGCTGTCGAGTTAAGCACGAGGAGCTGGTCGGGCACGAAGACCGCTAGATAGCTGGCTACTCTGTCGAGCACGACGATGAGTAACAATTGACCAATGCTATGCTTCCTGCACACACGCGGGGGCTTGGCTGAATGAGATGGCCGTCGTTAGAGAGAAAGCAAAACGCAGCAAAGGGGCCCTTCCGTATGGCCTCGCGGGCTGTGGTGTGCCTGTGTCTGTGTCACATAGGTATATTTTCTGTCTTGTGCCCCCCCTCTATCGCCGGGTAGACATCTAGGCCCCCGTGGTGTTTTATTTTATTTTATTTTTTTGCTAAGGTATCTCGATGTATAAGTAGCGTTCGAAGCTCCCGATCCGATAGCAGTCTAGGACAGGTATAATTATTCATATAGTCTTAGGGGGCGATGATAGCGGCAGCGGCGAGGTCCTGGGAGTCTTGACGCCGTCCTGGCTCTGCGAGTCGTCTCGTCCTCGGGTATACCGTAAGGGGATGGAACACCTTTTCGACAAAATTTTTTTTTTACCTCGACTGTCGCGCTATGTGACCTGGCCGGTCTGCTAGTTGGCTAACCGTGTAGGCTAGCGTTAATCCCCGTCGAGTGAAAGCCGTGAGAGGCCCTCCCGGATGTGATAGGACGGACGGGAAAAATCACGATCCGCCCTGGAGCGTTCTAAGCAGGCTCTCCTCTTCAGTGAAGTGGATGAGAGAGGAGGGGCTGACACGAACGACATCGGCGGTGGTGCTCGAGAGCAGCAGCGGCTGTCCAGCGTCCCACGTAACCCGTAGGGAGCACTGAGTGACTGGGCGCGCCGAGGGGTGCGGGTGGCCATAATGTGACCAGTCACCGACGCTGGGCAGTCGAAAATCTGCCTGTACCGCGCATGTTTTTGCTTCCGCCCTTCTCTACATCGCCTGGGTGTCGGCTACGTGGCCCCTAGGCAGAAGCTCCCTGAACCGACTCCTCTTCAGCCTGCGCTCTTCAGTTGCATCCAGGGATGATGCCCACACACACACACCACACGAACACGCACACGCACACGCACACACGCATACGCGCACACATGAATCTTCGAGCCCGCTAGATCAAAGTGGCATCATGGTTATAAAATGCGAAACTGTGCCCGTTCAGGCAATCCGCGCTTATGCAATCTAATGTTTGTGGCATCGTATCGTCCAGCAGCAGCACCAGCAAGGGGAGGGGGGGGGGGAAGGGTAGTAGGGGGAAAGGGTCGTATGTACCGTATGTATGTATGTAGGCAGGTCGAAGAGTCCGGCAACCCTGCGGTCAAGGTGAAGGTCGAGGTGTGGAGGATTTTGACTCGTGTTGGAGTGAACACCCTGGGACAAAAGCCGAAGGGCGCTGCCCAATCTCTCGAGGCTAAGCAGCGTAACATCCCATATGCCTAGTCCGAAAAGGGCCACGGTTCGACGGAGGCATCTCGATCGTCCTCGTAGAATAGCTTCGACGCGCACGCCCCGTCGCGCGTGCTTTCTGAGATGTGATATTCGGTCCAGCATTCCCCTCTCCCCTCCTCCCCGAGGCTCGGGCTTAGTGTGTCTGCCTGTTGCCATCAAATAAGCGTGGATGTTCTTCGTAGCAAGGTGGTGCCGGCGGTAGATCAGGATGATAGTGGGATGACTGCTGGGCTGGGTTAAATACCGACCTGGTCCTGGCTTAGCCTGTATTCTACCGAATCCCTCCCACCGAGAGCAGCTGGGACGTACGGCGGTACGAGGAGAGGATATCTTCGGACGCCGAGAGCGACGGCGTCGCGCTGCAAGGTGCAGGCGTGTTGCCCGACGGGTCTCCGGTGCCTGACGCACGCCATCCACTGTCGCTGCGCACGGCCATGGGGTTTGCATGCCTGACGGTAGCGGGCCGCGGCGTCGCCATGTTGATCGTTGGATCAACAGGTGCTTAGAATAGAAAGGCCGGGACGCGTCAAATTAAAGGAGGTCCTGCTACGAGTCTTTACCTGTATAGTGCAGGCGCTCATACGAGCGCGCACATCACTTCCCCAGCGGGCGAGGGCCAGAATATCGAGGGGGAGGAGGGCATAGGCCGTGGGCGTCCTCGACAGGCATGTCACCCATCCCGAGCGTCGACGAAGAGGCTCTTAAGGTGAATGGCCGCGCCGAGGTGGGCGTTCCAGCGACGGGATTGGTCGGCGATCTACCCCGGTTGGTAGGTAGGTAGGCATTCGCATGTATGTAGGTTACAGGCATTGCCCTCTCTACCAGGCAAGCATCTCCGATCTACCCAAGCCGTAGAAGCGGAGAGGTCACCGATGCTTCGGATTCGTCGACCCCAATGGGACGCAGCGCGCCTGGTCCCGCGTGTAGTGATAGGGTAAAGACGCCGGGCTAGGGAGGCCGTAGAAGATTGTTGGCTTTTTTAAAACAAAAAAACACTCACCTGGAAGAGGCTTCTTCTGGCTCCGGAGGTCGAGTAGCTTGAAGCGAAGCGAGATAAGGGCAGTGCTCCCGCATAACACTCGTAGGGAGAGTCTCGTAGCCCAGCTCCTCCAATGGCCATGCGAGACCAACGGTCGTACTCGGCCTTATTTGATGGCCTACACGCTGATAAGTCTCAACTCTTCATCAGTCTTCATGAGAGGCTGAGGATGCGATGTCTCTGGAAAAAGAAAAAAAAAAAGAAAAACAACAACAACAACGACGCCCAATGAAATGAAATAAAAAAACAAAAAGAGAAGGAGAGGAGAGAGAGCCGCCAGCAACACGCATACCTTCGCTACCAACAAGTAGATCGGTCCGATGAATTAGCACTCGATCAGCTGGCGAGCGGGTGTGGGAGCGCGAGCGCGAAGACCACGAGCGACCGGCGGATGACAGCTAGCTGCTCCTCCGCAAACAAGCCCCGGAGTTGGATGGAGAAGCTCACCAGGTAGGCAGGATGTGCACATGGCGCATACCTATAGCGTCGCTGAGCCGAGCCAGTTCCCCCTCTCCCCCCCAAATCCTCGGCGCGGAATTTCGTCTGCTCTCTCCATTTAGGTACGAGGGACCGAATTCCGGGCGAAACGCAACGCTAAGACGAGAGCAGCATCGGGGCACCTAGTAGGTGCCTGTAATCCCGCTGTCTGCGCTGGCCGAACCGCTGACGACGCTGGAAGTTAGCAGAGAGGTCCAGGGGCTCAGAGGGGAAAACGGAAAGGTAGCAGTGGCAGCCATAGCGGCCATAGCGGCCATAGTGGCCAGCGGTGGCCGTCGTGGCCGTCGCGGCCGTCGTAGACAGCCTGTCGTATAGGGCTCGTGGTCCTACCTGGCAATCCTTCCTTGCTCGTCACCTTATTCACCCGAAACTCTCGCTGGGTCTAGAACGCTCTATGGGGTTGGGTGGCATACCCATGCAAGCCATTCTGGCCCATATACCTTATGCAAGGTTGTCTACAAGAGACAACGGGGTCACAAATTGCATGGCTGCATGTCTGGGCAGGAGACTCCACCGTTCCTCTGGCTCTGGCGTGCCCTTCGGTAGAAGCTCTCTCTCTCTCTCTGTGTGTGTGTCTGTCTGTGTGTGCAAGGCCTCTTTGTGCAAGGCCCTCCCCCTCTGTGCCAGGCAAACCTCGGTGTCTGCAAGAGTGCTAATCTATGTGGGCTGGGGAGGGGCCGGATCCGCTAAGGTTGTAGTGCTCGTACACATATATATCGCCCCGATCTGAGAAAGCGGTCGACTCTCTCGCCTGTCGGAGAATATTTTCGTGGATTGCCGTCTCGTCTCGTCCCCATCCAGCGTTTCCTGTGGTCTCTTGGGATGCCTGTGGTTGTACGTGTAAGATGAGCCTGCTGGCTGCTGCTGTTCTGCTGCCTCCTGCACCCAAGCCAAGTGGGCGTCTCTGTAGGGCCACCACCGCTACCCGCACGCGCGCACACACCCTTCTTTGTGGAGGGGGGGGGGAGAGTGGGCTAGTCCCTCGTTCTCCCTAAAAGCCTCCTCTACTCGATAGCGAACAAGACAAAAGACTGCCTCCCGTTCGCGTTGCCGCAACCAGGACCGCCCGCGACAAAAGGTTGGTTCTCCATCGCCGATGTCCCGGAACATGGTCTGATCGCTAGGGAGACAAAGACAGGCTCGTTGGCCATTTAAGTTTCCAGAAAGAAGAAGAGAGAAAAAAAAAACGCTGTTGGATCTCCGGGGGCGCGGCCCAGGTACTTCTCCATTTCCACCTAAATGCCCGAGGTTCCTATGGGTGTCGCTCCGAGCACAACCGGACACGGGGGCGGAGACGGCAGTGGCAAGGACAAAGGTCAGCTTCGGACGGGCGATCGCGATGACACGTCGAAGGATGCCGGCCACACGCAGACCCTCTGGATACTGATCTTCCGGGGCTACCCTCGCGATATCCAGAGCGCCCGAGTTACCGAGCTGAACATCGTCTTCGACGACAACGAGAGCCGCAATCTCACCATCCGAATTGAAGGCCACCATCCCAACTTCCGTGTGATCGAGGCGTGGAACCAAGGCCACCCCCGAACACGACCCCATTTTTTCCGACGACTTGCTGTCGCGACCGTCGAAACCACTGCGGACCGCGACACGCGGTTGCGGGATGCCATCTTGGGCACTCACGTGAATAATACCGAATCGGATTGGACGTGTCAGAGCTGGGTGGGCGACGTCCTGACGGCGCTGCAAGATGCCGCGCTCATCACCGTCGAGGAAGGCGACAACGCGCTGAACGGGATGGTCAACTATATCGCCCGTGCTCCTTGGCAATAATGTCGGCAGAAGTCCCCGCCGCCAATTTTACATCTCAGCAAGCACACCGAGATGATCGTCAACTATGGACCGAGTAGGGACTGCTTCAACGGGCGAATGGTCTGTCTCGACGGCCGTCTTCAGGTATCGCCGCTCTTCCGATGCTTACGCATGGTTCGCCGTCGCTGACAGGTTAGTGGCATATATACGCTGAGGACGGGCACCGGAGGGGGTTCTGCTTCCCACTCGTGGGAGTAGGCGATCGCTCAGCGCCTTGTTCGTCTACGCGCCGGCTCGCCTCTGTCGACAGACACTTGCCGCATCCTTCGACGACACGGGCGCCGGCCCGTCGGTATAAAATGATTCGTCCTTGCACGCGTTCCCGAGGGCAACGGAACTAGCCGCACTCGACGGATGGATATCTCTTTGGCATGAAGGGGTCCGGTAGGATTTCCGTGATAGTCCTCGCGACTAGGCAACGAGTTTCACGAGCAGCACATAACCCGATTTCAAATCGACGCTTTTTGCTTCTTCCGTATGGCTTTTAATTTCCTTTTCCTCTGCTCCTTTTACTCCCGTTGGCTTTTATCGGCATACGCATTCCGGCGGGATCTGGGGTTTGGCGGCATACATAGGAATATACCCTCAGCTCATCTCCCCCGGATAAAGGTAACCGGCGTTCAGGGGCAGCATACGACGACGGTTGGCGTCTTATACAGTTTTTGATCGCCATTTTTCTATCGTGAGGGTGGGAGTCTAGTCTGAGTCTGTACGATGTGATATGAAGACGAAGGCGAAGCGGCCTGGAACCGCGACGTGACGTATGCGAGGGCGGGATCTGGCCGTATCAGCCCTCCCGTCTCTGTGTTCGTGGGCGAGTGGACGAGCGGGCGGGCGGGCGAGTCGTCTCACATATCCGAGTAGGAGGAAGAAGCCGCTCTCTGCGAGCGGTATTCTCGGAGCGTGGGAGAGATGGCCGACAGAAGGTTTAACAATGGACATGACCAAACCCGTCCCCGATTCACACGATCCCTTTTGATGATTCCCGCTGATCAAACCCAGTCCGACAGGAAGCTACTTTTGCGCAGTACGTGGTGGTGGTGTGTGGGAGAGCCAAGATGGCGATCAACCTATCTCGTTCGCATCGGAGTCGAGGCCGGGAATAAGCCAAGGAAGGACACAGGATACCGGCCTACGCAATGGTTACGGGTTCTCAGACGACGCCGCCACCTGCAACCCTGCCCGCCAGCAAGCGCATCGGATACGCAGGCAGCAGAGAACTTGTGGTCGGTCCCTCGGCAAGCGAAGGTGGGCAGGGGTGACGGCGAATGAGGCTGGCTTCGACAGCAGATTTGCTCTATGCACCCAGCGTATTGTGATGCCGATGCCGATGCACTAATAAGAGGTTCGGCACTACCGAGAAGGCCTTGCATACACGCACACATAGAGACACGCATAGACACATGCATGCGTGCATACATGCATACATATACAGATACAGATATACAGATACATACCTCCTAACTACCTAAGGTACCTTACCTATACCACCTATACGCACACGAGGTCGGGCATTTCCTGCCGACCGCGGACTCGGACTCAGCGCCCACATCGCAAATGTACCTAAGAGGGATATGTAGGTATCAGTTCCGCGCCCGCGAGACCTACGCGCATGGGTACCTTGACTACCTATAGTACGCACCTGCATACCTAATACCCGCATACCTGTATACCCGCATACATAGTTCCCGCATACCTGATAAATGGTAGATGGGATGCATACACTACCTACATGCTGCGCACGTAGTTGGGTCGTAGGCAATGCTTGGATACCGTAAGCGTGCTGCCCTATGCATCTAGCCGCTCCATGTGCCGCTGCGACGTGGGCAGAAGCGGGCCAGGGGCCGGTTGGCCTGCTTCCGATCGGTCTCCGGCTGTTGCCCACGCGTACTCAGGACTGCTCCTAGCCCCTAGTACCAGACACCCGCCCAGGGTCGTGTACCCCTATGTACAGATGATGGCGTGGCATGTGCATTTCACACGCCCGTTTGGTGAACAGAAACCCTCGCCTGGTGGGGACGGTACCTGCGAGCCCCAACCGGTACCGCACCTCCATCTGAGATTACGTACCTCCACGTAGGCACAGAGGCCACTTCGCCGCTTCGCCTCCATTACCTGCCTACCTACCTATGTACCTCCATGTCTCCATCCGCATCCACACTTCATCCTGTCAACATCTCTCTCTTCCCACGCCCCTTGGCCCTCACACAATCCCACCACGACTTCGCATTGCACGCCTCCGAGTCCCTCCCTTCTGTCGCTGTCGACCCTCTGCACCTATACACGAGCACCCGTCTCCGGAATTCGATGAATTGAGCACAAACGACTCCGATGCCATCGTGACAGGTAGCCAGGGTCCTGCATTCCTCCTCTGCCGCCTTTCCGGTCATGGCGCCCCTCGCTTCGCTCTGGCGTCCGGCACGCATCGCCGCTGCCGTGCTCCTCGGCCTAGCTTGCCGCGCATCCGTGGCCGGTGCCGAGATGACGGCTGGAGACTACTACGTTGAGGCGCTACCGGGCGCTCCCGAAGGGGATCTGACCAAGATGCATGCCGGGTAGGCTCACGCTCAACCCCCTCCCCTCCCCCATATCCATACATTTCTCTCAGGCACCCCCAGCAGTGTATAAATGTGGCTGTGTTGCGGGCGAGTTGTTGACTCGGTGTGGTATATATAGGCATATCGAGATCACCCCCGAGCATAACGGAAACCTCTTCTTCTGGCACTTCCAGAACCGACACATCGCGAACCGACAGCGAACCGTCATCTGGCTGAATGGAGGGCCCGGCTGCAGTTCTGAAGATGGTGCGCTGATGGAGATCGGCCCCTATCGCTTGAAGGATCAGGATACGCTCGTGTACAACAATGGCAGCTGGAATGAGTTCGCCAGTTTACTATTTGTCGACAACCCGGTTGGAACCGGATTTAGCTACGTCAACACTAATAGTTATGTCCGCGAGCTGGATGAGATGGCAAGCCAGTTCGTCGTGTTTCTCGAGAAATGGTACAAGCTCTTCCCCGAATACCAGCGCGACGATGTGAGCAAACCACCGGCTGTCTTTCCTATATCTACGCGCGCGCGTGCTAAGCCTTTCTAGATCTACATCGCCGGCGAGTCGTTCGCCGGCCAGCATATTCCGTACATTGCCAAGGCTATACTCGAACGCAACAAGCGGCCTCAGACTCAGGTGCCGTGGAATCTCAAAGGCTTACTGATTGGTAACGGCTGGATCGCCCCTACCGAGCAGTACGAGGCGTATCTCTCGTTCGCTTACGATAAAGGCCTGGTAGCTAAGGGTTCCCAGAAGGCGGGCCCGATAGATGCTCAGTATCGCCAGTGCCGCAAGGAGCTGTCGCTGGCGAGCATGGACCACGTTAGCAACTCGGAATGCGAGCGGGTGCTTCAAGAAATACTGCGCGTCACGCAAACCAAAAACTCGAAAGGCGAGTCCGAGTGTTTCAATATGTACGACGTTCGCCTGAAAGATGTGTACCCGAGCTGCGGCATGAACTGGCCCCCCGACTTGGAACATCTCGTTCCCTACCTTCGAAAGCCCGAGGTGGTCAAGGCACTACACATCAATTCGAATAAAGTCACGGGGTGGACCGAGTGCAACGGGGCGGTAGGCAACGCATTCAGCACGCCAAAATCGAGGGCGTCGGTCGCGTATCTGCCGGATATTCTGAAGGAAGTGAACATCCTTCTCTTCTCGGGCGCCGAAGACCTGATCTGCAACCACCTCGGAACGGAAGCTATGATCAGCAACATGCAGTGGAATGGTGGGAAGGGGTTCGAGCTGTCGCCCGGCAACTGGGCACCCCGCCGCGACTGGACCTTCGAGGGCGAGGCAGCAGGCTTCTGGCAGGAAGCCCGCAACTTGACCTATGTTCTCTTCTACAACTCGTCCCACATGGTGCCCTTCGACTATCCTCGCCGAACCCGCGATATGCTCGACAGGTTCATGGGCGTCGATATCACCAGCATCGGCGGCACGCCGTCCCAGAGCTTCCTAGACGGGGAGAAGCTTCCCGACACCACCGTCGGGGGGGTGACGAACAACACCGACTCGAACCAGGCGGCCAAGGACAAGGAGGTGAACGACGCCAAGTGGGCCGCGTACCGAAAGTCGGGCGAGGTGGTGCTGGCCATCGTGGCGATCGGCGCGGCGGTCTGGGGCTTCTACATCTGGCGCAGCCGGCGGCGGACAGCAGGGTACTCGGGGCTGCCGATCGTGTCGCAGCCGCCGCGGCGACGCGGTGGCGGGTCGGGGCTCGAGGGGTTCCGCAGCAAGCGGGCGGGGAACCGCGACCTCGAGGCGGCCGACTACGACGAGAGCGAGCTCGACGACCTGCACCTCCGAACGCCGACAGACATCGAGCGCTACAGCGTGGGTGACGCGAGCGACGAGGACTCGGGAGCCGACGAGAAGGCGAAGACCAAGAACAAGGATAGCACCCGCGAGAAAAAGGCCGGCAGCGGCGGCGGCATCGGTGGTAGCAGCAGTAGTAGCCAATCGTCTGACCGGAATTAAAAAGGCGTCTGTCGGTAGGCTAGTAACTCGAGACCCGGCGGGGGGGGGGGGGGGGGGGTACATTTTCTTTTCCGGTTTAACGGCGAAAGCAAGGAAGGGCGTCCAGGGGTTCGTGGGTTTGTTGGTTGCTTTGATCGTTCACCACCATTCTTGTCCCTCGGTGTATCCGTATGTGTATTTAGGTGTGTGTGTCTTGTCTGTCCGTCCCATGGTCGTCTATAGGATTATAGAGAAAACAAAAAACCAGCTAGAGGCGTTGGTCCGGGTTCTGTTGCCTCCCCCCCCCCGCTTCCACATATTTCGGCCTAGGGGTTCTTCGCCTCCGCGTCGCACGCGTTGTCCTACTGGGGTTCGCTACCGCAGTCGCCGGCCGGCTAACGCTGGCTAGGTTAGTGAATACTGCTGTCTCGGCCACTGCCGCTACTACTATTACAGGGTCTCGGTGCATATAATACTTCCAATGTCGGCGTCTCCCCCCTTAGCAACGATGAGAAGAGAAGAAAATAGACTCGTGAAGTACCGCCGAAGGAAAGGGGGGGGGGGGATAGCAAGCAGGCTACCGACCTAACCTACCTGTGCCCGTGTGTACACAGCGTGTAAACACTCATAGCCCGCAAGCCGCGCGGCGTCCGGAGCAAAGGTTTCCGAGCGCGGCCCGGCCGCCCATCCATCCATCCATCTACCCATCGGCGGTATGCGTGCGGATTTAGGTTGTCGCGGCGCGGCGCCGGCTGACGGGCAGCCTTCTCGGTCCCCGCGAGTGCGCCCTCGCTGCGACAACACGTCACGTCACGCCACGCCACGCCACGCGGCCCCTCGTGCACGCGTACTCTCTCTCTCTCTTTCTCTCGCTCTCCACGTACACACCCCCCTAGCGGCGCGGGTCCTGCATCGTCTGGTCCTTGCCGAGGAGAGCAGCTGCAAAGTTCACTCCCGCGTCCTCTCCCGCGCTCTCCTATCCCGACTCCGTTACGCGAAGCGCCGTACCCACCTACCGAGAGGTAAGAAGCGCAGGGTCCCCCGGCGCCCGCAGACTTATACGAGGTCTTTTCGCCGCCAATTGCACGCACATACGCCCTTTCATAGTTCAGGTCCGTTTCGGGCCGGCTACCACGGCGTTGACTGGAGAGGGGAGGGGATTAGGTTGAACTATCGATTTGCTACCTCTCCTATTCTTCTCCTTATGTCTTCTTTTTCCTTTTTGTCTTCCTCTCCCAGTTTCCCTCGGGCCTGTAGGGCCTGTGCTATTTTACACCTATGACCAGGGGACGTGAGCGCGTGTTGCTGTCGTCTACCGCTCTCTCTCTGGACGGCATGACACGTACCACCCCGGCACAACTCGTACGTACTACGACGCGAATCGTCTTCCGCGCGGATACCATCGCACCGCGTTCGCAGGAGGGTCGAGGCGAAAGAGGGGGAACCAAGAAGAGAGAAGAAAGCGAGACGAGACGCGTAAATGCACAAACTCCCCCCGGCCTTCACCTTCTTCCTCGTCATCCGTTTTCCTTCCTTGCTGCCGAGAGCCTGTCCATACTCCGTCCCAATGACATGGAATGCTACGCCGCGAATGAATTTGCCCCGAGGTGACGCCCCTGTCCTGTGAAAATGAGATGCTGGAAAAAGAGAGACTGCTCCGCAAAACTCCGCGCCGAAATACAAAATAAGCATAGTACGCGAGGGGTATATTTCTGCCTCTTGGTAGACGAGCCATTCTCCGTGCTGCTGCTCAGCTGGTGTCAAGCCCGAAGAGACCTTAGCAAGGTTATGACGAGCCAAGCTCGTATAGCCGTTGGGCCGATAACTGTCCGATCGTCTCCTCCACTTTCTACAATACTTGATGCCCGCTGCGGGAGCGTAATTGTTTTCTGTACTAATCGTCGTCAAGTTCGATGACTTCGATCGGCGGTCTTTCGCGTTGGCGAGGGGTCGTGGACGATCGCGTTGGTTTCTTCTCTGGTAGGGCACCCCTCTCCTCATCGCTCTCGGCGTCGCTCTCCTCGCCGGTCGGCTCTTCTTTGGGCTTCCAGGAACCGTCGGCGAGGACGAGAATCGACTTCGTATGCAGCTTACCCTCGTGCTCCAGCCGCGTGCGCACTTCAGCGAGGAAGCCATCCACTCGAAGGCAGTAGGGACGCGCGTCGCCGTTGCATAGTGGACACTTCCACTTGTCCACGAAGGACGGTTCTTTGGGACAGTCCTTGCATTCCGAATTGACGTTGCAGTGGCATGACTTTTTGCCAAGTCGGGTATTGAGCCACGTCTCTAGATCGAAACACTCGAGGTGGGTACAACTCTGGCCACGAACTGGCACGTCAAAGATAAGCCTAGAGAAGGGGTCTGCTAGATCAATAGGCAAGTAGTTAATTATCGCAAGTTCGTCGTCGTCTGTGGTCTCGCCCGACGGCCTCGATAGCCGATTTCTGATAACTTCCCGTGTTGCGCTGGGCGGTATAGTAGCACCGGTCGTGACTAGACGGAGAGCGGCACTGTGGCTAAGGACTTCCACTATCTCGACCGCGATGTAAGGCTCGAGAGTTGACGTCAAACCCCTACTAGGGATGAAAACGCTTAGGGTATTCTCGCCCGGAACGACGACCGACGACACCTCGACGGGGAGATCCTTTGAATGATGGGCTTTCCGCATGATAGCGAGGCTACGGCCGTTGAGCTCCATAAAGATGTGCTCGGGCCAGGACGTCTCAGTAGTGACCCAGGCACTTTCAGAAAAAGGGGTGGACGGCCCCTTCCAGTGGCAACATCGGATGCGGATACGCAGAGAACCATTTGAGAACAAGTTCACGGGTAGGGACTCGCCTGGCACGGTTTCTTCTCTGGTGATCTTGGCGTGGTCAACTTCCGACACGACGAATTTGAGCTTGTGCAAGTATGGTTGAGGCGGAATCCCAACCGGCGGGAGGGCAAAACATTTGACCGCCTGGTAGTACCGTTCGGGAGGCGTCGAATCCACTGTTCGGGGTAACCGTTTCGGACTTCTGAGATGGACCTGATGAAGAGCGTTCTCGAGAGATCTTTTATCGTAAGGGGTGTGTGGATATTCCTGGATACTGATGCGTAAACCGCGGGGGGGAATTATCCGGTCCGGGTCGCTCTGAGGGGGCCTATACCGTGCTTGGGGGTTCGGGATCGCCCGGGGACGTATTTGGGAGACCTGAATGCGATTTACCAAGTGTGCCGTATGTGGTGTCAGCGACACATTCATCGCAGCAGGGTTAGGTGAAAAACGACCGTCAATCGGAACTCCGTTCACCGGATTCGCGGCGCGCTGCGGTGCGAGAGGCCGGCCCCTTGCGCTCTGAAGACCTGGTTGGGCCATCCGCGTGGAATATATAGAGTGCGGAGAGTGGTGCCGTCCCGCCGGGATAGGAGAAGGCCGCGGCGAGGATGTCGCCGCATAGGCAGTAGCTTGCTGTGAAGGCTGCCTCGCTGGGAACTGATGCTGAAGTTGCGGAATGCGCGGGAGTGGTGGCGTTAAGCTGCTGGGTTGGCTTAGTTGCATCCGACCATTGACATTTGCCGACGGAGGGAAGAGGGCGTGGGGCGCAACTATCGCATTCGCCGTGCCACTAGGTAGGGTCGGTTCCGGAGGCATCATCAACTGAGCCCCTGCTGAGGGATGGGTAAAAGTCGTGTCGGCCGTGGCTGGGCTAAGGGGGTTTAAAGGGCTGTTGAGAAGCGACCCTGAAAATGCAAATTGGTTTCCGGCGACGGGGCCGGGCGCGAAATATGAGGGCAAGAAATACGAGGACGAAGAGGGCGGGATTGTGACGGGTCGGACCCTGACGGCCGGATCCAAACTAGGCGCCACTTGGGGAGTCTCGCCGGGATTCATACGCATGTACGAGTTCTGCTGCGGAACTGGAGGCGACCCGTGGAGTGGCTGCTGGCTGGCCTGGTGAACGCCCTCCGCTCGCCGGGCCTCCGCTATGATAGCTCTGTAAGCTTTGACGAGGGAGACATTGTAGTTGTGGTACGCTGCGGACGGCGGTCGTCGGACGAAGTTGCCTTCAGTGTTGCGGTGTATATTTTGGTCGGATCGGAAAACCTTCTCCATCCGCGTCGCGATTTGTCCATCGGCGATACCCAGGCTTCTCCTCGAGGCTCGGAACATGATCGTCTGGAGGATGGAGGAGTAGAGGGAGAAGCTGTCGAGGAGTTCCTTCACGAGCAGGGGAAAGTTATTGAGTTGATGTTCCTGGTGCACTGCCATCCACTTATGGGATATGCATACGAGAAAATCGAGCACCTGTCTCACGGCCATGGCGTAGACAGGATTCTTGACTATGGTATTCAGCGGGGCCGGGAACCTCGTGAACCAGCCAAGGCATTCCGGGCGCAGCTTTGCATTACTCTTGAGGATCGACCCCATGAGTTCGAAGCCATTGTCCACATCGGCCAAATTGTACCCGCCTTCACCGCATATCTGATGGACGTCCGGTCGGCAACTCGTCCAGGAGCAGAAGAGTTGGTGCAATGCGATGAAGAATAGATCCCCTTCGCTACACGCTTCCACCATTAGGTGATATCGAGGCCGCTCCACATGGATATCTAAGTTCCGGTCGCCGCCGATACTATCTAGGTAGGCTCGAAGAGATCGGGCGGGATCGAATAACTCAAAGAATTGAAGCGACGGATTCCTAGCGAGACACTCGGTCAGCTGGCAAGATTTGAGTCTCTCACCCTTCTCCCGGCCAGCACGCGGCTGCTCGAACGGCGGCAATGGTCATTCCGCGAAACAACTCGGCTTTACACGTACCCTACACGTCTCCTCTTGGAAGGCGGAAGTTCTGGTTGGTCCTGAGCCGTAGTGGCAGGGTCGAACGAGGGCAGGTTCGGCGTCGGAGGCGTGTTGAGGGCCATGTTTGTAGGGGTAGACGCGGTCGGGACCGACGAGGCTTCGCTGCCCTGTCGCGAGCGTGCTCGTTCGTAGGCCGTACTAGCTCGGCTCCTCGTCGGCTCGTCCTGCTGGGTATCGATGCTGGCGTCGAGCGCGAGGTCAGCCACGACGGTCGGACGCGGGTTTTGGGGCTCTAATGAAGCCCCGTCAGGGCTGGGCTCGTCGCTGGGGGCAGGCGAAGGCAGGACGGTGTCGTCGGCCGGGACCCTAATGAATTCCCAAATCTAGCGGTTAGTAGCCGGACCAAACACGCGACAGGAGGGCCAAGAGAAGAGGGATAGTATAGAGCACGACGCGTACTAAGCAGACGAGAAGATGGGACACGTACGATGAATGCATCTGCACGGATGGGCGTTGGTGATCAGGGCGAAGTGGCCCGAGCGGGCCCGGTGTCGAGGTCGAGGTCGAGGCCGGGGTCGATACCGGAGCTGAGGCTGGCTGGTGCGTCGTCGCCAGGCGGGTGGGAATATTAGACTGTAGCGTTTGCCCCGGAGGTTTTGGCGGTCGCGGTGTAGGCTTGACGGGTTTGGCGTCGGTTAGCCATGAGGGCTGTCGACCACCAAACCAGGTGTTCAGGGTCGAGTTCGACGCGGCGACTTGGAAGTCCGAGGTATTTACGTTGCCGCTCATCCCCGTCGATGAATTTTGCCCCCCAGTTGGCGCCATCAGTTATCAGTCATCGGTCAGGTTTACTGGTCCGTCTGCACCTCGAGCGTCCCCGTCCCTTGTCGTGTCGCAACAGTCTGGGAGCGGAATAATAGGGCGAAGGAGCTGGGCATGGTGGTGAGGCGTAGAGGCGAGGAGGGCGAGGATGGGTATGGGGTGATATGGGGGAAGCAGGCACCGAAGGGGGGGTAGGAGAGCGACGGAATACCCTCAGCACTCTCTGTCGGGCTGCCTGTGGATGTGTGTCCCTCTCTCTTTCTCTCTCCGTCTCTCTCTCTCTCTCTCTCTCTCTCTCCGTCTCTCTCTCTTTCACTCTCTCACTTTCACTCTCTCACTTTCACTCTTTCTCTCTCTCTCTCTCGTCAGTCAGCGAGGCGCACCATGGATGGTTCGTAGGGCCGAGTCAGGGTGGTGGGCGATGGGCGAGAAGACGGAGAGGCTGGGTGCGAGTAGGGCAAGTCACTACCGGCTGCGCTTATGTGCTTTGGAAAGTGGGAAGTGGGAAGCGGGAGAGGCGAGTGGGATCTCTGGACGGAATGCGCCAGGCCTGGTCAGCGTCAGATTGGCGAGCGGCGATACGGGCGTGCATGGGGAGGGAGGATCGCAGGATGTGCAGGATGTGCAGAGGCGAAGCAGGTTGCAGGAAGACATACCCAACAACGGACGGGAGGTGACCCGAGAATCTGATGGCGGTTGCAGACGGATAGAAACAGCCTGACAGCCACGCGCTTTCCAGGATGTCAGCCCGAGACGGATCGGCCTGAGATCTCTTTACCAGCAAAACCCCAGGCGGACAAAGATGACGGCCTGCTTATTTGCTCTGGCACCTGCCCCCACCCGCCCGTGCACACGCATACAGGCATACCGCATGAAAGAGGCACCAGCGCGACTCGCATTCGCCCTATATATTATCCTATCCGAGGGACAGTTATATTTAATATATATATATATATACCTATGTATATATGCCGATGTAGGTACATCCCATCGAATGCTCGAGAATGCCTGAGAATGCGGCATCGCGTCAGACGAGGGCGACAGGCAGGTGGTAAGAGGTAGATAGGTAGGTGATGCTTAAAACAGACAGCATCGGGGTAATTTAACATACATGACACGCAGACGGGGCAGCCTCCGTTGCATCAGGCACATCAGATAAGGGTATCCATACAGAGCAGACCTTGCAGATACGAGGTTGCGCGGCTACATATATTTCCATGTTGCCGTCTCGCCATGTTGCCGTGTGGCCATCTCTACTAGCAAGTCTATTGAAGTGCGCTTTGTGCCGAGCCACCGCGAGTCTCCTCCATGGGGCGCGTGCGCCCCGCGAGTAGATTCGGTCTTGTTTCACCGGTAGAGCCGAAGAAGAGCATACGCATATATTCCGATATGGCGAAGCCGTTAAATGGCCACTCGCTCGCTGCTAACCTACCTACCTACCTATATGGGGTGGCCGTCCGTTCTCTTCCTTGCCGTACATTAAGGACCGATCGCATTCCACGTCTCGTCGCGGTAGGCTTATGGAGACTCCAATTAAGGTGTTTATGGTCAAAGGGGAGGGGGTTCACAGGCCCTCCAGCCTGCCTCTGACCGACCCCTGGCGTTGCATGCCGCCTCTGATCATCCATGCCTCTGGTTAGACACGTAATTTACTTGACGTTCTCTGTAAGACCGCGTCTCCTATTCCGGTCCCCTTCCCAATTCCGTGCGTCGCAAAACCCGGCCCCGTCTAGCCTTTGGCGTACCGCGCACCTAAGATTTGGTGGAATCTATAGGTGCAGCAGACGCCCTGAGGGCTGGCGCAAGTGCCGGAGCTCCCCCTTAGCACAGGGAGACGAGACGGATGTCTGGGGGGTAAAGCCCGCAGAGGCCCCCCGAGGTTGTACACACATATAGGTGCCGAAGAAGACCGCGCGCGTCCCGACGGTGGAAGGGGTGTGTGAAATGTAGCGCAAGAAGCTTCTAGGCTCTCTTGCTATCCTATATGTCCATTTAAGGGTATCGCTAGGTTCTGCATTCATAGGCATTCGTAATTGATCGTTGAAGGGCCAAGATCTAGGTATTCTCTAGAGATCATGGGGGCGACATAGGGCACCTACTTGTCCTAAACAACACGAGGGCCTTCCTGGTAGATAGGTAGGTCACGGAGGATGTGCCTACTAGGTGTATGGATAGACGATTCAATATATACCCTACTTTCTGGGTGCCAATAGATCATCTCGCGTAGGTGGTTGACGCACCTTTTGGGGGGGGGGAAGGCAAAAAGACATATCAGCTGAGATGTTCTTGTCCTTGTGCCTGAAGAGCTTGTCCGGTCAAGTGCCCATCCCTCGCGTCCCTCCCTCCCGGCTCCTGCTACGGACATGCCCACATATCACCCTCCACAAATAGTGGCCGGATACCCTCACGGGAGGGAGCACATCCACCTGCGATGAGCAAGTAGGAAGTGCGCAGGCCTCCTGGAAGGGTGAAGGTCGGATGTAGGTATGTATATCGATGCATACGCATACATACATACATACATGCATGTGTGTGCGTAGTATGCGTGTATGCATGTATGTATGTATGCAGGTACCTTTATGGACCTGATGTAAGCACCCATGGGCGTCAGGCAATGCTCCTGGCTGACTGTTACTGGATGTTAGACATTGTAGACGGTATCTTAGGTATCATGTAATCTACCTAAACTATAGGTACCTACCAGATAGGCTTAACAATAGAGACTACTAAGTAGCGCTGTTAGGAATCGAACCTGTCCTCTATTATATAACCTACTTAGCTCGACCCATACAATAGGCACGCGCCCCCGCGCGCTATTATAAACACTGCCTGCTCTAGTAACGTCGGAATATAGGATCTTATAAGGATAAGATGCGCTTTACTACTATCGTATAGCCTGTACTGGTATATACGTACTACCTAAAAGGACCTTATTATAAAGGCGGCACTCTGGCTCGAACCAGTAGCTTCTGGAGTTTAAAGTACGTAGTACCTGCTGCCTGGACGAAGTCACCAGATAGGCTTAACAATAGAGACTACCAAGTAGCGCTATCAGGAATCGAACCTGTCCTCTATTATATAACCTACTTAGCTCTACCTTAGGTGCCCACCTGGTAGGGATATATGTGGCTTACCTACCTACCTAGGTAGGTAGGTATCTCCTATTGTTATATGCCTATAGGAGGTATACTCAGGTGTTCCAGGCTCACACATATAGGTACAGGAGGAGGTAGGTAGGAACCTGGTACTTAGCTGCCTGCCTATGAGACATCACAATATTACCTTAGGTAGGTACCTCCTAGCGGCAACATGCGCGCACCTTAAGCATGTACGTGCATATGTATGTACCTACATGTACGTGTAGATGCGCGAGAGGTACATACACGCATACTACGGTATGCCCCCAACCAGGTACGCAATGTAGCTAACTTACATTCGGCTACGAACCTATGTCCCTCCTAAGCAAGTAAGTAGGTTAGGTACCTAAGGTAGCGTATGCGCATCTATGGATCAAGTCCATGCAATAGATTTGCCTAAAAGGTGGGTGGGATGCATGTACGCATGTAGGTATATGAGTATAGAAATGTACTACATTAGGTACCTAAGGTTGTTGTTGACCTCTTTATGCAGCATATGCCTATAACACCCCAGAGGAGAAAAAGGTACCTCCCCCCCCCCCTCTCCCAAGCTCACTCCGCGATCCGTCCATCCTCAACTCCCAATTCGTCCAACGGTCGCCGCCTTTCTCCATCCCATCGCCCACACGCGGATCCTACCTATTACCTACCTACCTACGCTCTGCACCGTCGAGGTCGACTCAATCCGGGTAGCAAAACAGGGCCAGGCCAGGATAAGACACGAGGCATCATTTGCCAGACCACTCCCCCGGCCTTTTCCCTTCCCGGCACATATTATTCATCCTCGTCCTTTTCGCTGGCTCTCTCTTTCGATCCCTCTTTTCCTACTCCCTCTTCCACTCACATGCCTCTGCGTACGGCGGCGTAGGCGTGCGCCCCCGTCCATCCACTTTCCCCTAAGCCTCCAATCCTACGCTCTCCTCTCTCCTGGTCGCCAGCATCGTGCAACCCGGACCCAGCAGTCCAGACGGCAAAAGGGGGGGGTGGCAGATCACCCAATAGGACGGATCCGACGCCAGAGGCTACACATAGCCAAAAGTCGAATCCCCGGCTCGACAGCTGAAAGCGACAGCAGGCGAAGGCGACACAGGCGGACAGACGGACAAGTCTGAGGGAAAAAAAAAATAATCATAATCCGACGAGACGACGACTGCGCACCATCCTTCCCGACTCCTCGCATACGTATCATCCATTATTCTGCGACGAAGGGTCCCTTTCTTCGATGCCTTTCGTCACCACCGAACCACTGCTCGAGTCAGGTCTCCAATAGACTCCGCTGCCGCAATCCGCCTTGGTTGCCCGTTTCGACCCAGAAAGCCCACGATCGAGGACTGCCGCATTCTTCCTTGCCTTCGCCCTCTTCCGCGGCTGCCATTCGATGACACCTTGGTGCCTCTTGACGACGTGATTCAGAAGCCCGACTCCTAATCGCCCGCACGTCCCCAATCACGACCGATCATGGCGCGACCAGAAGCGGGGGATATCCTCGTGGTTATCCGTCAGTCCCAACCCTTCTCCGTTTTGGCCTGCTGCACCGCTCTCCGCGATCTGCCGCGAAAGCAGAGGCGCCTATCAACCCGCATCTCTCGCGCGCAGCGGTTTGATTGATTGACTCCATCGCTGACCGGATTGCACCACAGATGATTTCCTGGCTAGAAGCTCGGACGAGTTGAGTTTAGCCAAGGGCGACCGTGTAGAATTGATTGAGCGCGATGACGAGTTTGGCGACGGCTGGTTCCTGGGCCGCCACATGGTGAATGGCAACACCGGCCTGTTCCCTGAAGGTAAATGACGATGCTGGGCGGGCGCGCTCGGGGCGCGTGGGCTCTTATCTACAATGGATGCAGGACTAATCAATTTCCCCAGTGTATACGCGGCCGGCGCCCAGGGGGATTGGAGCTTCGTCCGCTGCCCACAAACCAACCACCAGCTCGCTGTCTACGAATGGAGTCTCGCCGGTGGCCAGCCAACCCACATCGACCAGCGCATCAACGCAAGATCGTACCTCGACGTCCACGTTCGCATCTCCCGCCGAAGTCAGCCCCATAACCCTTCCACTCAACTCCGCCAAGCCTACCGACAAGCCGCTTCCTGCATCCCCAGCGCCTCTCACGAGCAGAAACATCGCCTACGGTAGCGGCGGCGGCACTAGCAGTAACGAGAGTCTAGGCCGCCTTGCTCTGCAGAGTCAGGACAACCCGGTCCTCCACGAAACCTTGACTGTCATTGACGAGCACATAACTGATCTGCACTCGACCCCACAGAATGGCTCCCTCCACCAGGCGACAGATTCTGGTAGCGAATACAGTTCCCACCTGCCTGACCGACTCTCCTACATTCAGGGTGAAGAAACCGACGAAGAAGAAGTGCTTCACTCCCGCTCCGAAGTGGAATCCTGGTCCTCGGATGATGTAGCCGAATACCTCTTTACATCCGGTGTGGAGAAGAAACATTGCGAGGTATTCAGGGACCAGGAAATAACGGGCGAAGTTCTCCTGGGTATGGATCAGTCGTCGCTGTTCCTCAAGGCGTTCGACCTCGGTTCCGTAGGGCGGAGGCTGAAAACGTGGCAAAAGATCAAATCGTTGCAGGACGAAGTGAACGGCCACAGTTCTCTGACGAGACGGACCACGCAGACCTACGGTAGCGAGGCGGGATCGGAGGATTCCAAAGTCGGCGGCAAGGCTAGGAGTAGGACGAACACCCTGACAAACTCCCAGAGGCATCATCCCGACAGCCGGTCGGCTTCGGGACCCGTCCACGCAAAGCGCCTATCCCAGACACCCAAAATGGAACCGATAACCCCCAATACCCCCGTCTCCCCTCTGGGGACCCACGACAGCCCGACGAGGCCTTCGCACCTCAAACGGCCTTCGGCAGCCTCTGTTCGGGAACTTCACCAGTCACGACGTCACTCCTCAACCGATTTCAGACTCGGCCCTCCGGGAGGTACCGGGGGACCCAAACTGTCGAACTCTGGCACATTTCCGCTGCCGGTGACGTCACATAAGAAACAGCCGTCGTTCGATCGCAACTGGACTATGGGCGCCGCTTCTACTTCAGACTCGCACCGGCCATTATCGTCAGCCGGATTGCATGACATCGCGGATGCTTCCAGTCCCGATGGTGCGCAGGATTCGCCACTCGAACACGAACGAGGGTATTTTTCTGGTACCGAGGTTGACGGCCGCAGGCGTAACGTGCTTAAGAAGCGTGAAAGTGCGGCCTCACAGTCTCACAGACTAAGCTACACGGAGCAGCAACGAGTACGGAGCGCGACGGCCATCTCAAGGCGTTCGAGGTTTGGGAGCATCGATTCAACCCGAGACGCAACGGCCCCGACTGCCTCGCAGATGTACCATAGCAAGTCCGCCGACCATCGTCGGACGGCCTCTACCAACACCACCGAATCTATCCGGCCAATACCCCCGGCGAAGGATGGGCCGAACCCGATAGTCACAAAGCTCGACGAAAATGCTCGCTCCTCACCATTGGCCGTGGTGAACCGACAGGCTATTCACGGCGGCGACTGGGTATTGAGCGCCGGGAGCAAGCTAGCTAGTTTCGGCGGCCTCCGGGCAATCTCAGATGCCGTGGTTGGAAACTCGAAGCTCGGCTCGCCAACCGACTCGTCTACTCACGATTCCCCTCTGCGATCACCATCTGGGGATGGCTCCAGCACTCCTTCGGCTGGTCGGAGCTTCGAGATGGATTCTCCGGACACGGCAAAGAGCCCGTATTCGGTCACCACTACAGCCAGCCGTAAGAGCGGGAAAAAGACGAAGAAAGAGACGAGTGCCTACTTGCGCGGACTGCAGAAAGTTGGACCGCGCGAAGCGATAAAAGAAGCAGATTACAGCGGGTGGATGAAGAAGAAGAGCTCACACCTGATGACGACATGGAAACCACGGCTTTTCGTCCTGAAAGGGCGGCGTCTCGCGTACTACTACTCGGAAGATGACACGGAGGAGAAGGGACTGATCGACATCTCATTCCATCGCGTGCTCCCGGCTGATAACGAACGGCTCACCGGCCTGCACGCTACGCTGACGGGCGCTAGCAACACCCCAATCATGCCAGCCGACAGCAATCTTACCACACCTGCTGAAAATGCTGCCGCTGCCGCCATCGAAAAGGGTACAGATTCGATGTTCATATTCAAGCTCATGCCACCGCGAGCGGGGCTGTCAAAGGCTGTCAACTTTACCAAACCGACGATACACTACTTCGCGGTCCCGAATTTACAGCAGGGGCGGAGCTGGATGGCCGCCTTGATGAAGGCTACCATCGATCGTGACGACTCACAGCCCATGACCACGACATACCAACAGAAGACCATATCACTAGCCAAGGCTCGCGCGCTGCGACATCGACCGCCCGCCTTGATGAACCTCGACGAGAAGGTCGAGGAGAGCTCAAAGGAGGACGGCGAGAAGAAGAACGGCCTGGGGATCTCGTTTGGAGAGGTCGACAGTGCGATTTCCGGCCTCGAGAAGCTAGGCCCCCAAAAGGCGGATAGCGGGTCAGGGAAGCCCTCGTTGGACAAGGAGAAGAGCGAGGGACTCGCATTCCTACCTTCTCCGCAGAGCGCCTAATTTCCCCCATCTTATCATCCGTTCGTAATACGATAATTAACATCCAAGACGTCGCGGCACGGGTCGTCGGCCTAGGGGGGGGGGCGGGGGGGGAAGGATTTCCATCGTCGCCAGACTCTTTTTTATAACCACGGCCAAAACAGGGGGAGAGTCCTTCACTTAGAGATTCGGCAGAGCCGGCCTACAAACAAGCAGTTTTTATTCCCTCTTAGAGCACTTTTGTAATCATTTCCCACAATTACCCCCTAAATACCCTCTCACTACGAAGTCAGATACGGATTCCTATGACCAAACCAACCCCAGGACGGCGGAGGGAGGAAGAAGGTAAAGGAGAAGGAGAGGCAAGCGGAGAGAGGCACCACAAGACAGACAGGACAGCGTGGCGCGTGTACGTGTAAGAGTGCAGGCGTGAGGGGCGGTTCTTCCCGTGCGAGTGTGTGTGTATGTGTATTCATGTTCTGTGTGGGCGAGTGCGTGCGTGCGCGCGCGTGCAGGCTGGGCAGGAGGAATAAATAGGAGGACGAGGAGGATGGTGGGAGGGGAAATCAAACGCATCGCGACCCTCGCGCGCCCCGACCTCAGGAAGCCAAAGAAGGCAGAGAACGAAGGAGTAAGAGAGAGAGAGAGAGAGAGAGGCCGTCGCAGCGTTGGCCCCCGCCCCGAGGGGCGCCGCCGGCGGACACGGCGGACACGGCGAGTATTCCATACCAAGTAACCCAGGCATCGTTAGATAGGCCTTAATATCACGGAAGCAGTACCTAGCCGAGAGAGAGAGAGAGAGCGAGAGAGAACGGGGCGCGTATGCCATCTGCCTTTCCGTCTTTCGTCCCGCCGTAGGGAGAGGGAGTGTTGGGTGAGGCAGGCTGTAGTAGTCTCGTCGCCGCATACGTACGCTTCGCGTGCGTGCCTACGGGTGTGCGTGCGCCTACTGAGGTATTATACACTTCTAGGTGTCTATCTATCTACCTATCTACCCGCGCCCGCCAGCCCTGGAGGGGAGTTTCCAGCTCCTGTAGGATACGGCCCGCGGCGCTGCTGCTGCTGCTGCTGCTGGTGCTGCTGGTGCTGCTGCTATTAGAACAGGTAGGCAATCCGTCAAGGCCGATGCGGTGCATGTCCCCCTTCCCGTCTACCTACCCTTATGCTAAGGCCTCTTCATTTCGAGGGTATCACGTATGATCGCGCAGTCTTCGCTGCACACTTTCTCCTCCTCCATTCCTCCGCCCCCCCCCCCCGGTCCCTCCCTCCCGAGATCTCACTCCAACCTGAACCTGACGAGCTCGATCCAGCTGCCGAGGTTCTCCATCGTCTCGAGCGCGGCAGCCCACCGTGCCCGCTCGCGCACCCGTTCCCTCGCGGCTTCGTGGTCGTGCTCGCCTCCTCCTCCTCCTCCTCCTCCTCCTTCGCGGCCCGGCGCCGCGCGATCCGAGGGGGAACGGGAGAAGATGTTATCGGAGACGATGTGGACCTTGCCGCCGAGCTGGATCTCCAGCAGGATGTTCGCCGTGTGCGACCGGAACGGGAACACGATCTCGAGCCGCGGCACCGGGTGGGCCGTCAGCGTGATGTCCACGCGCAGCGTGTCAGTGCTGGCGTCCCCCACTTCGGCGCGGGAGTTTCCGCTGCCGTCGTTAGTCTGGGACATGAAGGTCGAAAAATCGTCGCGCGTCGTGAGCGGCACGCGGAGGTTGATGTTGGCGTCGCTCGCATCCTTGGGGGCCCCCGGGGTCGCAGGCTCGCCCTCCCTCGGCTTGAGGCTGTTCGCGAGCAGTAGCGAGAGAAAGGCGTACTGCCTCAGGAGCGGTAGCATCGCAACTAGGTCCTTCGGGTGCGCAAAGTTCATCCGGGTAAGGACGTGGCCGTAGACAGGTTTGTATATGTACAGAGTATTCCGGTGGGCCTTCCAGACGGGTTCTTTCTGGCCCGCGAGCACCTGGGGGAAGGCCGGGGTGTTCTGGGTGAACGCGACCTCACGAGGCTCACTAGGGTCGTAGGTCGCCCCATCCACGATAGGGAACATAAGGGCGTCAAAGGTGCTGCCAGGAAGCGGTGGCGGGGGAGCGACAGATATCTTATAAATCTCCGCTGCGACCGCATGGGGGACGATAACTGGGGGATCGAAGGTCGCCACGAATACGACTTCGGGAGGCCGAGGGCCCGACAGAGCTACGCTGTTATCGAGGCCACCTTCCACCTTGATGTCTTCAGAGGGCGGGATAAGGGTGCTGGCCGGCTCTAGCCAATCGAGGACGGGCCCTGTGGTCGAGATCATCTCCTCGTCCGTGAGGCTGGACTTCTCGATGTTGGGACCGATCCACTTGTCGGATATCCGCACGGCGCCATGGTAGAGGTTGTCACCAGCTGCCGCCCGCGCGCACTCGATAAGGATTCCCCAGGTCCGGAATTCCTCTCCGTCTACCGTCGTCGACGGCAATTTTCGGTTCTCTTTCCAGTAGTCGAAGCTCAGGCCGATACGGCCACGGGCGTGCATCAGGGGACAGCCGTGGCGGAGGCAGAGCGCGAAGATCCTCAGCGCCTCATCCGGCATTCCGCTCAGAGCCGGGTCCTCGCGGAGCCTCTCCACGTCCCACCTGTGCAGCCTCTCCAGCGTCTCCCAGATGCCGGCGATGGCTTCGTGGCAGTTCAAGCCGACGCTCAGCTTGTCTAGGGTGGCCAGACGCTCGAGATTCGCACGGAACTGCGTCAATCGCTTGGTCAGAGGGCTCTGACCAGGAGCCAGGGACAGGTCCTTGAGGAGGATGGCGGATGCTTTGTCAACGTGCTTATTGACGCTTGCTACGTCGTCGCTGTATGCCATCGACACTTCGTGGACGATGTGATTGGTGATGCCGACCTCAACAGCCATAGTTTGTCCCGCTATGACCAAAGTTTTGGTGTTGTCGCCGGCGCCCTTCACGTCCTCCCACAGGCACTCCAGATTTAGGTGGAGGGCGAGTCTCTCTAACCCTTGGTTACTAACCCTTCCGCTATTTTGAGCCTATAGGTGGGTTTAGCTCCTTGCCCCCATATCTCGTGCCGGCATAGACGAGAACCAGCCTCGTCATCACTTACCCACAGCGCATCTATGACCGCCTCCATTCTCTTCTTGCGATCCTCTTCGTCGGTCCGGCCGCTGGGGGCTACCAGGCCCCCGACACCGATGGCGTCGAAGCCGAGATCATGAATTCCAACGTTAAGGGCACCCAGCGCCGCGGCGGCGTTGGGGCTATCGAAGTTAACCATAGCACCGTTGGCGCCGCCGCCGCCGCCGCCTCCCACCATGGCAGCGGTCGGGAAGGCGCCAGGAGACTTCTTAAACTGCTGTGGTGACGATCGCGGGCCCCGCGGGGAGAAAGCGGCAGCTGTCTGGGGATTCGAGAAAGGCGTTGAGGCCTGAGGCGTCGGGGTGGCAGCGAGGTGCTGCTGGGAGGGCGTACGGCCCTGCTGGGAGGGGCCATGTCGCATCGGCGTCGACATCGCGGCGGTGGCGAGCGGATAGCGCTTCTCGTGGAGGTCGAAGTGGTCGCTCGAGAGGGGGTTGTTGGTAGGTGGGCAAAATAAGAATGTCTTTTTGCCAAAATGCCAACTTATCACTTGGGAGGGAGAGGAAGGGCCACGGCCGTATCCCTATTATCTCGGGTAGCGGTCTAGCGTAGGTAAGGAGCAGATGTGCACGAATGCTCTCAGCCTCCAACCAGCAGCCGGCTTGGCCTTTTTCCTCCTCTCCTCTCTCCCTCTCTCCTTCCGAGGACCTCCCCTTCGCCGAGGCGCAGCCTGCACAAAGCCTTGCCTGACGGGAAAAAGAGGGGGAGAGGTGCTCTCAGATGTTACCACCACCTTCTGCCTTCCGCTGTTCGAGGAGAGAGTCGAGCGGCTTGCGGGCGAGGCTGTCTAGAGGGGACGGGGCACTGTCGGAGCTGGCAAGGATAGGTATATCATAGTATTCGTGGCCTCGGTGCGGTCGCGTGTAGCTCAACAGCAAATCCCAAAGTACAAGCCCAGGTCCATACCGCAAGTTCTCAAGCAAGAAGACAGTGGAGAATTGGGTATGGGAGAGACGTTGATGATGGCTCCAAAACAAGGGACAACCACAGAGGAGTGGAGGGTGGTAGTGGGAAGCTCTGAAGCTGTGGTGGACCTCCATCTTAAGGTGGGATGGGAACATTGGGCTAGATACCTAAGTACCTAATGTAGGTATCGATGTACCCTTCTCCATCTCCTCACAACGACCATTGGAAATTCTCGACATGTAGGTACCCAGGTACATTACCTAAGGTAAGGTACTAGGTAGGTACGTACCAGATACCTTCATCTTTACATGACAAGTACCTTAGGTAGGAGGTACCTTGGGGCCGCCCTCCAAGGTATACCGCATATGTACATATGTGCCTACACAGGTTGGAAATACTACCTAAATGCAAGCCAACCTCCCTTACGAAAGCGATAGGCGGCAGATAATACCCATGTTAGACTTGACCGGAATGGAATCATATCCTCCAATCTAACTTCCCACCACGTACCAGGTACTCTTCGCGATCTCTTTCTCTCTCTTCATGTGTTTCGCAAAATGAATTAATCCTACTGTTACTATTAAACCATCTCCTATAACTGCCCAACCATGGGATGGGTGAGTTGTTGCCCTGCCCTGTCATGTCTTTGCATACATAATGCTGTCCTCTCCTACCACCCTATCGCCAAGGCCAATGAGCGGCAAGATTACCTACATGGATAAACGGATGGACACTTAAGGACTGCTGCTCCTCTGTTCCTTGGCTCAGAAGTAGGTAGACGAGACTAGACCGGACCAGACAAAACCAGACAAGACAAACAGGTCCTGCCTCCTGGGAGGAGGCAACCATAAGACTAACCGACTGCCCTGTCGACCAAGCTGGGCGAAAGTCAGATACGATGGGAAAAAAGAAAGACGAAAAAAGAAACGGGGGTGAGGAGCTTGGACGTAATGCAGACGGAATAGAAGGAGAGGTAAAATCTGACGAATCGCGACGTATGGATGCTATAACAAGGAGAGCGTAGTGATGCTTAAACCAGTAAAGGGGAGCCGAGAAGGGTAGAGAGGGCGATGGCGAGATTTAAGAGTGCGAGACCGGGGTCGTTTGCGAAAGGAACATATATGCCTCCCCCTCCCCCCTCCCCTTCTCAAAGCGCGTCCTTTTCGGCACTGTCTGCAAAGGATGAATTGTCGATGAATGGAAGCATGCAGGCCGGCCCAGCCCTCCCCCATCGCTTCTCTTCTCTCGGGTGTCCTTTTCCTCAAGTCCACACCCAGACGCTATGTTGGAAGATGCCTCTTCTAACCCATCATAGGCCCGAATAGCATCACCAGCTATCCCCATCCATCTATCCTGTAGCTCCCAGATCCTTTACTCGGGCCACTGGTCAATAATCGTCTCAGTGGTGCCTTTGTATCATCCTGCTTTAGGCCATGGGATGTTGACCGGCTGGCATTGGGCATTGCCATACAGAATAGGATTGAGCGAGCCGTGCATATGGATAGTGAGTGTGCGTATTCCGCAGCCTGTAGCCTATGTGGCTGGCCAGTATGCACTTTCTCTCTTTCTTACAACCCGGACTTCCTCTTTACTCGATGGGATTTGTGAGGTACCTGGGTCTCTTCTGAGGAGAGTTGAGTGAAATCCTAACAAGAGAAAAGGGTGCCTGAGATACTATCTCCACCGAAGTTAGAGAAAGATGAGGCGAAGCTGGTAACAAGCCGAGCCTCTCCCTAGTAAGGCAAATCGCGCCTGCAGATTGCAGAGAAGGAAACCTATACAGGGGGGCAGCGCCGCATAGTGAGGTCGGAGACCTATCTCGCTTAGGGCAACGGAGATTTGTGTCTTTTACCTCTAGTGAGGATGAATACCGTTGAAATGATGCCATCATCGACCTAGATGTTGATCCGAACGAGACGCTGGTAGAGAGCCCCCCCTCTTCTACCTGGCACCCGACAGAGCGATCCGGTCGATTCTCGCAAACATTGGACCAAGGAAAACGTGATGATAACAATAAAGACAGATGAGGGTATCGGCAAGGTGTGATTTTGTAACAATGTAGTAACATGGGAAGGAAAGAGAGGAAAAGAAATGAAATGTGTACGTGTTCTCTTCTCTTCTCTCCGCAGAACACCATCCGGGTTTGTTGTCAGTAGCAACTCCATACATGTGTGAGTACCCGTATGGCTACCATCATTTACTGAGTCCTCAGGAGAAAAAGACAGAGTGTAGCAGCTTACAGCTTGGAGGATCCTCGTATACATAGCTTGCCAAGCAAGCCTCCCCCTCTCTCCTCCTCCCCCATCTCGCACCATCACAGAGGACGAGATATCGTGAGAAATGAGGGATACCCTGAGTGGACTAGGCCTACTGGGGCCTGGGGCCCTGCGGCGGTGCCCGTAGTGGTTTCTGCGACGGTCCCCGCTGCGGACTTGCACCGGCGCCGCTAGGATGGTGCTGTGGTGCGCGAGGACCCTTAACCGCGGGCGTCTGTCGCTGGACGCGCCTCGCCTGGCGCTGCTTGCACAGGTGGGCGTACGTCGGGTCGGCCGCACGCTTCATCTCCAGATACTCCTCGTACTGCTGCTGGTGCATCGTTGCGCGGGGATCCCCGGGGTTGACCTGGGACTTGGGCTTGCGGATAGGCTTCGGCCCGAACATGTTCTGGGCCTGCGCGTGCATCGATAGCGGTTGAGTGCCGGGACGCAGCTCTGAATTGGCTTGGATGTTGGGGCCCACGATCTGAGCCTGCTGGATCGGAGTCTGCCGGAACGGAGCTTGCTGGAACGGAGCCGAGGCTTGGCGCTGGGCTTGAGGACTATGTGAGTAGCCGCGATTTTGACCTTGCAGCGTCATCGATTGGCTGTACTGACAGCCTGGCAAAAGAGTAAACCCGAGCTGGGGCAGAGCAGCGTTTGCCCCAGGAGGGTATCTAACTGGGCTGTGGACCGCTGCTGGCCTGGCAACATCAGCTGGGTTCTCGGGAGCCCGCGGCATGGCACCTAGGTTGTGTGCTTGCTGGGCAGTTCCACATGGCACTGGGTTGGTTTGCGTCAAGTGGCCTAAATACGGTAGTAGACCGTTCCGGCCAGCGGTGTCGGGGAGCTGCTGTCCAAGGAACTGCAGCGACGGAACAGGCTGCTGCGAAGCAAGCTGGCTCTGGACGGGTAAACCCTTCAGATGGTCGGTAATGCTTTCAACCTGACTCATTTGGAGCAGAAGCTCCTCCTGGGCGGCCCGCTTGTCTGTGTCGTTCGACAGTTGCTGAGACACCGAGCCATTTGCTTTGATTTGGGCGAGATCTGCCTTCATCTCCTCCACCATGGCTAAGAGTTCCCGTAGCGGATCTGCCGACACCTTAGACTTGGCATCTACAGCTCGATCTCTCGCAGATTCGATGTCGACTCGACTCTTTGATAGCCCAAGCATATCATTGAACTCTTCAGTGCGCGGGACCAGCACCAGAGGGTCGTAAGTCACACTGGTGCTGCTAGTGCTACAGAACTCAGATGCCAAGGGGTTCAATGCGCTGCTCTTCTTCAGCTGGTCTCCGCCAGAGACGCCGAGAACAGTATTTGCAGATCGTGGGCTCGTTATTTTCAAATCGCGAGCAGGCAACTCTACATCTCGGCCCTCAATCTTGTTGTTCATAGAAGGCGTTTTGATCGCAGTCAGCGTCTGCGAGCGGCGACGGTTATGAAGCTTGTCAAGGAGCGCTTGGAAACGGTCATGGTCCTCTACGGGCCCTGGCTTCGACTCCATATTCTTCAGCGGTATCATTACCCCTTGGCGATGGTTCTCGTCGTGAACGCGGCGAGCTCCAACATCGTCAGGGAATGCCTTGGTCTGTATAGCCTGCTCTTGTTCATCGTCATCCATGAGCTGGCCCGAGGGGATGCGAGCAGAACGTGGAGCTTGTAAGGTGTTAAGCTGTGTTTTGACATGCTCGTCGATCGCGTTCCACTCCTTAGGAGTAAATCGCTTGGTATTGCTCCTCACCGCACGTATGCGGGATGTAGGGAACGAGAAGTCTTCGTTAAACTTGGCGTATATTGGGGATAACTGCGCGAGTTGGTCGGAGCCCGCAGTTTCTTCCTGGAGACTAGGAAGTTTGAGGTCCCGCCCGTGGCTGCTCCAGCCTAGTATCTCTTCGAACCCCTGGCGGGTTGTAGGTGTAAAGGATTGAAGCTTGACCAATCCATTTCGAGCATTCGCTTCAAGGGCACCGGTCATTCGGTGACTACTCGAGTACTGCGGCTCTGCTTCCACCAATTCAAAATCATCATCTACTTCTGAATAGTCCTTGTTTGTTAGGGGGGCCGAGTGAATGAAGTCTGGGTCGACGGGGGATTCTTTAATTCGACGGACGCCGTAGATGTTGGCAAGAGTGGTGTCGACCGTCAACTTCTTCTTATCCCTAAGGCTGTCGAGCCGAAACTCGGTGCGGTCTGGGCCAGCGGTAGCTGGCCCAACCGAGGATCCCTCTGAAAGATCTCGGATTCGGCGGTAGTTTCTCCAATCTGGGTTCATGAGGGCTTCGCTGGGCCCCGGCGAGGGGTAGCTATTGCTGGAAGCCTCACCACTACTCGTGCTACCTTCGTTTTGGTCCACTGTCCTCACGCCGTTGGCAGAATGGACGTCGACGGTCAACCCATGGGCTTTGGCCCGGCTTGCCGCCCTCAAGTTTTGAGCCGCACGCATTTTGCTATACGACGGCCGTCGAATCTGACTAGGAAAGCAGTAGGTTTCAGTATGGTCATGGTCATAGGATTTCGGGATTTAGCATGGGCCTTACAGTATGGCAGGGCTTCGCTGCAATCAAAAGCCCAGCAAGACTGGGGCTAGGTCGCTGAGATCGCGAATTCGCTAAAGGAAAACGTGGCGTCGGTGTTCTGTGTTTCCCATCTATCAGCATACCGGTTTCACCCAGGATGGACCGGCATCCTCCCACGGACCTAGGCGACAGACCAGAGACCGGAAGTCAAGTTGTTTTGCGTAGGCAAATTGTCTCAGGAGTATCTATTCTGCTCCGTCCACCTGCTGTTGAAAGGAGGTGCTGGGTGTTTCGACGGAACGTGATACGGAGGAGGAACGATACTCTCGGAGGTCAGTGGCTTGTCCCGGAATGTCGACAAGGTGCGTGGTTAAGGCGATAAGCGGCTGCTAAAGAGGGACTGGGGGCAGACTGGAAAGCTGGTGTCTTCAGAAAAGGATCTAATCAGATTTGCTGCAAGAACATCAACTCGGGGGAAGAGATAGTCGCTCTACGCTACACCCCGGACAGCTATGAACCGGATGGAGCCTGTAGGCGTAGGTGGAGGATGGTTAGAAGACGGCGTATAATTAGAGATGTAGAAAGCAGAGCAGAGCTCCGCACCCACCTCTAATGCTGATGGGGGTGCCTACACCCTTATAGACGCAGTCGAGATGGGCGTTGATGGGTCTGCGGAGGGAGAGGGGTGGTCGAGGATTCGCTGGGGATGAGAGAGATGGAATGGGATGGAGAAGCTCGGAAGACGAAGCCGTGGAAGGGGCTCAGGATGGTGACTTTTTTTATATCTGGGTTTCCCCGGGGACGCTGATAGTACCTAGATTGAGAAGCCGAGGGACGGGTCAAGTGAATATATTGTCCCCTTGTATCTGCTTGTTGCATCCGATGTCCTTTCGATCGGGTGACTGGTCCAGACGGTCGATGGGTATTGCCATAGGCGTCGGTCTCCTCGACAACGCTTGCGGTGCGGCCGGTACAAGAATACAATAGGAGCTGTACTGTGAGCACAGTGTGTACCGGGCCAACTTTTAGAGGTATAAAAAGAAGGAAGGCTCCAAAAACCACACTATGGTGTTGTCGAACGAACGCTGTGTGCAGGCTGGTGAGCGACGAGGAGCTACGGGAGGATGAATAGAGAGAGAGAGAGAAGAAGAAGAGTCGGCTATTCTGGATTGTTATTTTTGAGTCGAGACGAGAGTGAGAGAGAGAGGGAGGAGGGATAAGTAGCTGGGTCTCTCCTACCTATCCAGAAGGAAGGCGGCGAAGTCATCAAGAAGGCTGGAAACCGGCCTCGTTGGACCTTCTCTTCTTCTACCCGGTCTCTCTCCCGTGGTAGTCGCCGGTGACCGGTCTCCGGTGGTCATTGCCGCCAACCGCTCACGGAGAGAGGATCATGCCAGCTGCCATCTGCTCGCTTCGTAGACTACCTAGACACAGGCACTCGACAGTTGCCGAACTGGGCTACCATAACATTAGGCAACCGGGAGATAGAACACCTGATCTATTATGTCTTTTGCGGAAGAGAAGCGAGCGGACTGGGCAACCAGACGCCATCTCCCTGTTGTCCCCTATGCTTGGGTTTTTGCATTCTCGATTCCCTCCATCTCGCAAGCCCTCGCTCGTTCTGGGGCTGGGCAGTTGTTATCACGCCCAGGTAGTTAGACTGAACAATGTCGGCTTCACTTTATCTAGCACGAGAAGAGCCGCGTTTACGCCTTTTCTTCCCTCCCCAACTACGATACGTAGCTGTAGTTCGGTCCGAGGCCAGGAGCATGACCGGGTAAGGGTGAGAATCCCCCTTTGCTAGGCGCCATAGCAAACCGCCTCCCTACTGTGAACCTCCCGACCCCCCAAGCTCCCGAGCCCGGACTGGGTGACATGACGAAGCCCTGTCGCCTGAACACGAGGCCGTGGTCCTGGTTGTCTCCGGCGCGATGCGATGTTTTCCTGTGGTGATGTTGGTGAGGTGGCGCGGTGTGGTGGCGCGCGGTATCACGGTGGCGCGTCGCTGTCTGTATCCATAGGTACCGTAGGTAAACTAGGTACCTAGGTACATAGGTAGCGAGACAACAGTTTTGCTGGGGTGACCTCCTCCTCCTTTCTTTCTAGGTTGTCATCTCTTTCAGCGGAACAGAGCGTGGTACCTAGATAAACCCGAGTCTGCTTGCTTCTCTCTCTTCTTATTCTACTTCGCCTCTTGTTTTTGCTGCTGCTGCTGCTGCTGCTGCTTACGATGGATGCCTCTTCTACAGCTAATAACGTGCAGGCAGCCAGTTTGCACGAGCTACGCATAATACCTCGTACGCGAGAGACTCCGGTATACTAGCTCGATGCTGATGCCATCGAGACCTACAAGCCTAAGGGGAAGAAGAATTGAATATACCTAGAATTCAAACTACGCTGATGCCTGGCCTAACCAATATCAATACACGAAAGCGGGCATAACCCAACACACGGACTTCCAAGGACTTCGGGTTTTTTTTTTTGCGAACCACGGGAGTCTCGTCCACCTGACGCTTTCCGGACCCGATAGAAGACCCATACGGCCGCCCCCCGACTCCCTGCGGCTCGACGGGTGTGTTAAGGCGGCGCGGCATTGCCGGTCATGTAGGCGCTGAAGGCTCTCTAGAGGGGACGAGTCAGTCTATCGGGAAAATAGAGGTATAGAGGTAGAGTTGGTGGGTGGTATGGGAGCGAGAGAGAGACCACTTACAGGATTTCTCGTTTGCAGGAATACCGTACCGGGTCCGGTAAACTTGCACACGAGGCCCTCACCGCTGGCAAAGCCGCCAATGATGCCGCCGCTGGCTACGCGCTCCATGACGTACTTAACGTTCCAAGCCACGAGGTGGCCGTTGTCGACGATATACTTCTCGCCGTCGGCGAGGTCCTTTCGGATGATGGCGCCGAAGCTGGTAATCCAGAGGAGGCCGACCCCGCTGATCTTGTGAACCCACAGGCCCTCACCGCTGAACATGGCCTTGCCGAGGCCCTGGCGCTTGTAGTCGCGAACGACGCCCTGGGTGCTGGCGACGTACGAGTCCTTGCCGACGCTCCACGACTCGTCGCCGGTCAGGCGGATAGTCGTCATGTCGCCGAGCATGCCCGGAGCTAGCAACACCTCGCCGGGGCCGATGAAAGTCGACTCCCCGAGCTCGCCGCCGCTGGCCATCAGCTTCTTCATGCTGAATTTGTACTCACCCTTCAGCGTGACGGTCGGAGTCATGGCGATCAGCACGCCCGGCTTCGCGGTGATCGGGCACCCCATCGCGAGCTGGATCGTAATGATGGTGTTGCAGTCACGATGGCTGATGCGATACGACCCGCCGTTGAACGTCCCCACGTCGTCCAACGTAGCGCTGGCACCTTGGAATTGCGCGGCCCCGCCGGCCGACGCGGTCCGCGCGTGCGACGGCCCCGTGCCTAGGATGCTCTGGGCCTTCTCGTTGGGGAATCCCTCCGGCGCGTTGGGTACGACGCTTGCGTATGCGGGCGCAGCACCGCTCGGCGGGGTGAGGGCTCCGTCGTTGCGGAGGGGGAGGTTGGCATGTTGCGCCGGTTGCGGTGGCGGGGGCTGGTAGGCAGGGGTGGTCGTGTTGAGCGGCGGCGGAGATACGCCTTGCTGAGGAGGCGGGGGGTAGGCTTGCGGCGGAGGAGAGGGATAGGGTTGCGTCTGAGGCGGCGGCGGGTAGAACTTGGTCTGGTTCGCGGGAGGGGAAGTAGGCGGCGGCGGGTAGCTTTTCTGCGGCGACGAAACGGCTGCTGCGGTCAATCTCTTGCTGCTCTCGCATATCACCTACGTCGCGATGGTCGGCGCGCCCACACATACCTGGTGTCCCAGCCGCACCGGGAGGCGCTGCGGAGGACTAGTCAGCTTCGGGATTTCGCGCGGTTCGGACTCTGTTGTATACATACGCGGATAGTATTGACTAGACATTGTCGCCCGAGGACTCGAGCGTCGCGTCGCGGACGGGCGCAAATAGGCTTCTAGAAAGGAGAGGCAGACTGCAATTGGCAAGCAGTGGTTAGCATTGATGCGAAGCCGAACAAGTTGCGAGGAAGGGCTGCGGCTGGGACAGGGCCGCGTACGCGGGAGGAGGTAGAGGGAATAGGACAGCCCCGCATTCTCGCATCCCTTACCTTACTTGCACCAGCTGCTATTACACTACTGCCTATCGTAGCTATCCCCGTTCGAGACAACCACCCTAGTAGTGATAGAATTGCTCCTTGCTGTCTGCTGTGCTTGTTTCTTCTTCCTTTTTTTCAAGAAAAATTATATGTGTATATATATCGGTATATAGATAGACAGACGTGTAAGCGAGCTTCGCCTAGCTAGCTTGACGCCGTAAAGAGGGAGGCAGGTAAGGCGCAGAGACGGGATGATGAGGAAGAGGAAAAGGGAGAATCTCTCTCTTTCTCTGGGTCTCGGTGTGCGATTAGAGGGTGATGGTGGATAGGGTCGCTTCTCAGGCCTCCCGCCATGCTTCCCGTTCGTAGCCCTATATATACCTACCTACGTGGCGCATGTGCATGGCTAGGCCGTGTGTGCGTCAGCCCCTGACAGACGCAGGAGGGATACGCCGTCGTCGGCCTCTGCTAGACAGCATGATAAAATAGTAGCAATACCCCAAGACTCAGAATTGCGAGTAGCAGCGCCATATGTGGTACAGGCCAGCTGGGCAGAAGTTCTCGTCGATTAGAGGGGAATGGGGGGTGCTGTCCAATCAGCGGCGACGGAGGGGTTCATCGCCGTCCGCCGATTTTACTATTCGGGCAGCCCAGCAGTCTTGGAGGGGAGGCGAGGGAGGCGAGGCGCCGCCGAACAGCGCTAAGTTGCACCCTTCTCAGGGCGGCAAAGTCAGCGCTTAAAGTCCCCGGAACTGCCATTGGCTCGTTCCCTGTCGCGGAGATCACGGAAGCGCCTGATTGGGTGGGGATCTGTACATTGGCGTGTACCGTGGAGACGGGGTACCTCTTCCATTACATGCCGACCGTACCGTATGCAGGTTCTAGGTTATACCACATTCTATGCCGCAACCAAATTAGGCTTAGCGTAATCGCCGCTTTTACTTAGGCTCGGCTTAGTCTATAATTAGTTAGGTAACTAAGGAGTTATATTTATATAATATTTATATAGAGGGAAACGGTTCTTAAAACGGTTAAGCTTTAACCGTTAACGAAATAAAGTAACGTACGAAGCCTTATTATATCCGTATCATTTAATTTAATTTTATATACCTTAGACCTAAAGTAGCTACTAATTAGTTTTTATATTAAAAAGGAGTAAAGCGTACGCGATATAAAAGTCCCGGATAGCTTACTTAAAAGTATATTCTATCGGTAACTATAGTACGTACGATGGTTTAAGATAAATAAAATTAATATTACTTTACTAATCGAAAGACGAGGAATTTAATATAGTTATCGTATCTTAGGTATATCCTTCGGTTATAGAGATATAATAGTCGCTAGCCCGAAGGTAAAAGAGGTAAGGGGAAGAAAGGGGCTAAACGTAAAAGTTACTTATTCGGTTATTACGGTACGACGAAGTAACTTAAGCGCTTATTATTAAAATAAATATATTAATCGGAAGACGAAGAATTTAATAATAAAAACGAATCTTAAATTAAGGTAAAAATAATAAAGTTAGTAATCTAGCTAAATAATAATTATAGTATCGTCCGTACTTACGGGAGCTATAGTTACTTTATATAGGTATAAGGCCTATCGTAACGTATTACGTAATATATTAAGAGGGTATATCTTACCGTATTATTATAATACGTAAGGTAAAAAGTTATACGAGATATTAAACTACTTTAGAAAACTATATACGAATAATCTTCTCCGTATAAGTATTAATCGCTACGATAGATTTAAAGACTACCTATTATCTTAATTATGGCTTTTTTATAATCTATTATAGTATGGAATTACTAAATTAAAACGCTATTAAATAAAAGCCGATAATTATTATTATATTATTTATAACGTTTCCTTTACTAGAAAACTACTTATATCGGTATTTAAATATACGACATTACCCTTATAGTTAGGGTAGTCCTCTAAAGTAATACCTCGACTATCTTTAGTAAATAAAAACCATACTTCTCCCGGGCCCGAATTATTACGCTATATTTCCCTTAAGCCTTCGATAATAAAAGAACGCCGGTAGTCCCGAAATCTATCCTAATTTCCGTTTTTTCGGATAAGAATTTTTATCGTTCGATTATCCTATACCGGGTTTAGCTAGCTATTATCGTTTAACTTAAGCCGAGAGGGATCCGAAATAAAGGTAATTAAGGCCGAGCTTTTATTTATCGCTAACGTTATTTAAGAAATAACTTTAGTCTTCTCTTTCTTATTTCGCTAGCGCTAGACTTTAAACGTTAGGTTTCGCTACCGAGGTACTAATTAATCTCTTATCTCGTAGTTTTAACGAAGAGCTAACGCGGAAACCCCGCCCGCGTAATTAAAGTCTCCTAGATTTTAATCTTCCTTACCTATACTTATATTCTCGTTTTACGTATTAATACTTCGATTAAAGTCTTTATTTATATCTAAGATTTATTAATTCTATATATTACCGCTCCGGCCGTAAACGTCGTATTAATCGGTATCCTACTTATTACGTAGGCCTTAAAACGCCTAAAAGACGGACCTCCGGATAAATAAGGAAGAAATATCGATATCCTTTTATATATATTTAATAAAGTTATCCTATATAATATATAATCGGTCGTTAAAGTAAGCTTTCGAATATTAGCGACTATATCGTCTTTTAATTAGCTCTCCCGGATACGAAGTAATAAGTATTAAATAAGCGCCTTTAAATATAATAAGCCGCGCTTTATTAAAATATCGAACCATAGTAGCTATAAAAGCGTTTAAGTCTTATTTATAATCGAAGTATTATAGCGGTTAAACATTTATTAACGCTTTTTTAGTTATTTCTCGGTCCGGATTTAAGCGAAAGAAACGAGAAATTTCGTTAGAGTTAAACCTTAATTCTTAGGCTCGACGTATTAATTAATACTAAGCTCTTTAATTATATAAACGGATTTTTAGGTCCTCTTTATTATCTTTTTTTAAAGGATTTTTACCCGAAAGCTTTACGAGGTCCTATATAATAATAAAATAAAGGGACTTTATATTCTTTAGAAAGTTAATCGTATAACCTAGTCTCGCGTCGGCTTTATATGCGTTAGAAACTATCGTTTAAACCGTAATAAGGAGTCGGTTCTTCCTTAAGATTAACTACCTTATAATATTAATATATTATCGTAAGTATTTAAAATCTTACTATAATATATAAAGTATTAGGATTAAATAATCGATTTATAAAGCTTTTTATAAAATACTTTCCCTATCGCGCTTATTTATAACGCCTTAAAATATTATATTCGTCCGTATTATATTAGATATATAACGATCGTTATAATGCGATATACCTAAGGCGCGGAGTTCGAGTTCCCGAACTATATCGTCGTTTATAAATTCGAGCGTAGCTTTAAACCTTATTATATAATACTATATATCGTATATGCGTTTAAAATAATAAATAACTTCCTAAGAAATCGCGAGTTAATAGCCGAACGTTTATATCCTTAGGAGGAAGGCGTCTTTAAATAGCTTTAGGATAAGACGTACCTTTATTACGTTTTTAGTTATAATTTTCTTTTAGATAATTAACTAAAGCCTAAAACGTAAGCCCGGGATTTCTAATATATACCCGAGAATAAGTCTAAGTTATTCGTACTTAAGTAATCTCCTTAATATCTCAGGTTTGTTTTTACTTAGCTTCGTTTATTATTTATTTCCGTCGATCGAGTTTAAAGGGTAACTATAAATCTTTATAACTATATATCCGTCGGAAAACTACTCTTCGTTTACGAAATCCTCGGCTAGAAACCGGATGGCTTCTAGCGAAAGGTTTTAAGAGGGAATTAATACCGATTTAGTTTCTAGTCCGGGATAGTATAACCTACCTACGTATAACTTAATTATTTACTAAGATAATAAGCTTTTCGATCGCCGAAGCGCTTTTACGCGATACTTTCTATAAAAATAATTAATATACGTATCCGTAAAAAGGTAAAAGGTAGGTAACTCGGGGTTATATAAATTAACCGGGTTTAAGTTAAACTACTATAGTAATACGGAAAATAAGTCGATAGTAATATTTCCGGGGATAGTATAGCTATTATTTAAACGATCGCATCCTTTTCGCTTAAAGATTTCGATAAGGCGATTAGTTTTTTTAATATTCGACTTCCCCTTTAAATCGAAGAAGAGATAATCTAAAGAGATCTTAGTAGTTCCTCGGAATTTTAACGATATTTCGGCGTTTAGCTACTATAACCGAGCTTTTAAATTAAAGTATATTATTACGAGTTACGTATCCTAAATTTCGTATACCTTACGGGAGCCTTTTTACTAGGAGCTATATAATTCCCTTTAGTTTTTCGCGAGGAGCGTAAATCGCGGATAGTCCTACGGTTCCGAAACCGAATATAGGCTAGAAGCGGTTACTCTTAGTTACGGTTTATTTTTATATTTATCTTTATCTTTTTTTATCCCGTTAAAAAAGAAGTACTAGTATAGGATTATACCTCGACTCGAGTTAGGTACTTATATAATTATTATCGTTTATTCTTAATCCGAAATATCGATTATTAACTAGTATACTTTCTTCTTCGACGACGCTTAATCGGGTAGTAAGCTAAAGTTAAACGTTTCCGAGCTTACGTTATCTTATCGTAAAACGCCCCGGTAATAACGTATAATTAATTAAAACGCTTATAAGGATAAAGGTTCTACCGAGGCTAAACCGGCGTCGACCTATCGCCGATTTTCCGTTAAATATACGAACCGTAGTAATAACGTTACTCTTATTCCCGTATTAACGGAATCGCCGTAGAGCTATTACGAAAGAAGGTATCGTATAAGATATAGCTATTTATTCGGGGTTATTACTTCTCGTAATATAGCGAGCCTAAGCTTTATAATCCGTATTATTTCCGAACGTAACGCGGAGAAATACATCTAAAATATCCGCTAATTCTATTACTTTAATCTAGTTAAGAATATCGAAATATACGCGTATCCGGATATAAGCTACTTCCTAATTTCGGAATTCATACCTATATCTCTTTTATACCTCTACCGGTTTCTTATTTACCTAATAAAACCCTAGCTCGGTTTTATTTTATATTAGGTAGATATTTTAGCGCTTATATAGACCTAATCCCGGTTAATATTCCATAAGGTTCTTACGGGTCTTAAATTTCTCCTTAGTTATAGCTTAATTTATAAAAAGCTATCGTATACGAACCTTTTTATAAGTTTCGTAGGCGAGGTAAAAATCTACGACATTAAAAATTATAGGCGATCGGATAATATAACTAAGCTTTTAATATCGTTAAGTAAAGTAATAATAAAGCTTATGAATAAAGAAAGGACCGAAACGACGGCGATTAGCCTAACGTACCCGGATAAGTAATTATACGAGGCTATTAATTTATTTACTATTATAATAATAATATTAGATATTTAAAAGCTATCGGCTTACGATTTCTTACTTAAGAAAAACCAGGAGGAATTATTATGGCTAATTTCCTTTATATTTATTACTATAAACCATAATAAAGAATAAGAG